CCAAATTTAGAGATTTTTATAGTTCATACATGTTTAAGTTCACTACTTTTGAGAGTCATGTCTTTTATCTTTGCCTGAAGATCTTTAAGGTTTATTTTCTAAAAAAGGAACCTGTTTCAAATTTAGGCTAAATAGGTTCTTATGTAAAGGGGGTCTAAATTGATATTTTTAGGCTAACAGGTTCGTGAATTCTAGGTTCTTATGAGCGGATTAGTACTGTATTTCCGATAGGTGGGTGCCGCGGAGTTTCCTATTTAAGGATAAAAAAAATTGATACCGTTGTTAAGGCCCAAACCCCCAAAAAGACGCCCTATTCTAGGTAAAATAACAATAATGAAAAAACAAACAACGGCTGACCTCGCACTGCAAAAAGAAGTCTTTATAAAATCGCTTTGCTTATGAGTTTAACCGCCTAGTTCAGTTTCAAAAGATCATTTACTTTTCGTTTAGCTGGGCAGTTACACACTGCAATTTTAGCTGATACAATTTAGGTGGATCTCATTACCGACATAAACTGGACAGTTAATATCGGTAACGTTGTACAAGCAATATAACGTTAAGGACCTGTTAGAGCTATAAGAGCTAAGGAATAATAATTATTTTAGGTATGTTGGATTAAGGGCAGGATGACATCAGGGATAAAGCATAAGCCGGGTAGTTTTAGGAATAATGGAAATACGTTAAGGTACAACATTAATTACACAAGAGCGACCAACTTTACAATGTATTTCTCCATTACCAAATCGGAACATATATCGAAAAAACCTCGCACTCTTTCTTAGCCTATTTTCTTCTGAGCGATATGCTCGGTAAGTGAACCTATACTTGGCCGATACTTGACCGATACTTGGCCGATACTTGATCGACACTTGACCGATACTTGACCGATACTTGACCGATACTTGACCGATACTTGACCGATACTTGACCGATACTTGACCGATACTTGACCGATACTTGATCGACACTTGACCGATACTTGACCGATACTTGACCGATACTTGACCGATACTTGACCGATACTTGACCGATACTTGATCGATACTTGACCGATACTCGACCGATACTTGACCGATACTTGACCGATACTTGACCGCTACTTGACCGCTACTTGACCGCTACTTGACCGCTACTTGACCGCTACTTGACCGCTACTTGACCGCTACTTGACCGCTACTTGACCGATACTTGACCGATACTTGACCGATACTTGACCGATACTTGACCGATACTTGACCGCTACTTGACCGATACTTGACCGATACTTGACCGATACTTGACCGATACTCGACCGATACTTGACCGATACTTGACCGATACTTGACCGATACTTGACCGATACTTGACCGATACTTGACCGATACTTGACCGATACTTGACCGATACTTGACCGATAGTTGACCGATACTTGACCGATACTTCACCGGCAGTTGATCGCTACATATCGGCCGATGCATCGGCTGACAGTCGGTCGATATATCGATTGACCATCGGTCGACTATCGGTCGACTATCGGTCGACTATCGGTCGACTATCGGTCGACTATCGGTCGACTATCGGTCGACTATCGGTCGACTATCGGTCGACTATCGGTCGACCGATATATCGGTCGACTGTCGCCCGATATGTCGACCGAGTCCACCTATAGTACGCATGATCCGGTTCTACATCATTCTTCTTCTCAAATTCGAATCGACAACCTAACCCTATTCTGAATGGTAACTAATGACGAATACGATATTCAACTGATACACTGCTTAAGGAAAACTACCATCGTTCTTCTAAGTTAAAGATCTTTGAAAGAATTCACCACATATTCAAAACATCTATTCTTCAAACCATTTTTTAGTACAACACATGCATTTTTCATGGCTGTGTAACATACAAGTTATTAAGGAAGGAGCCCTATCCATCATCAAAAATGCCCTCTTCTCTTCCATTTTTTGGAGACCAGTATATTGTGTCACTGGCAAATATGCTTCAAATTAGTAAACTTTTGGCTACAGTTAGTATTACTGCGAATGGTTTTGTCAGTGCACATAGTGTGCAGCAACTGGCTGATTCTCTAATGGTTAACTAAACAGTAAATGACTTACTGCTAAGTGGAAATGCATGGGGTGATGATGCAGTCAGGATCTTGGCAGGTTATTTGAAGATGACTGAAAGCTTGAGTTCCTTAAATCTAAATTTTAGTGATGTTGGTGATGCAGGAGCCAAAGCACTTGCAAAAGTTTTAGGGACCAACAACGCTTTAAACAGTTTGAGCCTTCTTAAAAACCCAGGCATTAGTAATCCCAGTGTTATGTCACTATGTGAGGCTCTGAAAGTCAACACAACCCTAAGTTCACCAGATTTGTCTGAAACTGGTATTAGTGATGCTGCTGTTCTTTCTCTTGTGCAAGTTCTCAAAACTAATATTAGCAGTGTAACCTCTTTGTCACTGTCAGATATCAAAACTCATCACAGTGTTAAGGCTATTGCAGAAATCTTTAGAGTCAACTCTACTTTGAAATACCTTAAATTCAAAGGAAATGAGGTTGGTGTTGGTGGAGCAAAGTTGATAGCTGAGAGCCTTAATGTCAATAGTCAACCCTGAAACTCAGTCTCTTAAGGAACAACATCAAAGAACCTTGTGGTTGTTTACTTTCTGCTGCCCTCAAGGTTAACGGAACACTGAAATCTCTGAGTTTGGCTAAGAATTCTCTTGGTGCTCATGGTGCCCAACTTCTGTCAGAAGGGCTCAGAGTGAATACCTCTCTAACACATCTGGACCTGTCTGGGAATTTGTTTGGCAATAAAGGTGCAGAGTCTATCGCAAAGACCATCTGAATTCATGCTTCATTGACTAGCTTAAAGCTATCACGGAACAGTATTGGTGATCCTGGAGCCAAAAAAGTCTCTGAAGCCCTTAAAGTCAAAGTCTCTCTGAAGAACCTTAATCTGTCATCTAATGCCATTGGCACTACTGGAGCTGAGTCTATTGCTGAGGCCCTTAAAAGTAATGCTACTCTGACCACTTTAAGCATTTGTTCCAATGTCATTGGTGATAATGGAGCCTAATCACTTTTTGAGGCTCTTAAGATAAACCTTGGCCAGCCTGTATGTTTCTAACAACAATATCTAGTCAGCTGGTGTTCAGTCATTTGATGAGCTCCAAAGATATAATAACACCTTAAAGAAAGTGATTTTGATCAATAACAATATTGGTGATTTAGGGGATCATGGGGATCAAGAACTTAATGCAATCCTCATAGCAAGCTTACCTTGTTTTCCTTTTTCCCATGATTTGTCAGTGTGCTTTACTGATCAAGGAAGTTTTGATGTACTTGTGTGTAAAGAAACTTTGATGCTACCTCAACAGTAAAGCATTTTGTGCCTTACCAAATCAAAGCCAAGTTGTAAAAAGCAAATTTCATCTTTGTGCCTGACTTGTTAAGGCTCAGACCCATGAAAAGGTATGTTTCTTATTTGATAGTGAATGTTGATCTCTTTCCTCTAAAAGAGAAGGGCCCTCTGTTGCTCTACTCAAACCCCAATTTTTAAAAACCAACCAAGTTTTCTTTCCTAGAGTTTGTTGAAAGCTCTGATGTTTTTCTTGCCTGAAAGAAATCTAAATTCACTAACATGGAACATATTCCTTTTCCACATTTTGCTATTGCAACTTTAGGATTAAGTAATGCATAAATTTAACCATGTACAAAAAAAAATGGTGTGTTGAGGTGTTTATACTTTTGTTTACCTGGTAATATGCTATATCAAAATGGCTAAATGTGTTTGAAAGACAAGATTAAGAGAAAGCAAAGGTTGTTACAACCAACATAATATCACCATACAGTTTAGGAGAGTAGAACTAAGTCTCCCTCACAGCTGACACCAGTTATCACACAGGTACCCAACCTCACAAAATGAGCCTCTGTTAAGATGCAAATATGTTTATGTTGTGTGTGAATCCTATAGGAAGTAGATTTCATTTAAGTATATATTATAAGTTCAGATATTTAGGTTGAGGGTGGAACTGTTTATTCCCATACAAATCCTTACATTTTGCCCACTGAGCAACATAGAAATATTTTCATAGTTATGGACACTTGTTTTTTGTGCTTTGGCTACTTGGGGTTTTCAAAACAGATTTATGCCCAGGCTTTAAGGTATCTATCAGTAAGAAACTCCAAAAAGTAACTCTGCTACCATTTCATGGCAATGGCTTGATTTTTGTAATTTACAATTTCAAGCTAATGTGGACCTAACATATTAATAAAACATTTCTAACAGAAATCACCAAATAGAATTAAAGAAATGAAAATCATGAAAACTGTGATATCTATTTTATTTTGCCAAACCAGTGGCCAGCAAAGTTCTACAGTAACTGTAAAAAGAACATAATTTGATTTTATCAAGTGAGTTGATAATATAAATTGGCCTCCATAAAGAGTTTCTAAAGCTGAAGTTTCCAGCGTTAGCCCCTCATCAGGGCAAATGACAAAGGGCTAATGCTTGAAACAACAGCTTCAGGTCAGACTACCTCAGGTCAACTTCAAGTCAACACAGATGATAAAACCAGATTATCTTTTAATTCCCCCCCCCCCCCCCACCAAAGCAGTGATACAGTTTCTCTTTTAATCAAAACTATAGCAAAATGATTGATTATCACCAGCCAGATTTGAGCACTAATAAGACAGTGCACGTATCATGCTTGTAATTGGACAGTGTAATACCGGGACAGTTCAAGGTGCCCATACAGTTGTCTTACATTTCATTAAGTTAACTGTTGTTTGTTATGAACATGTATAACCAATGTCTATTTTCTTTCTCAAATTTTGTCATAGTCTTGATTAATTAGTAACAGAACTTTGTGTTGTCCAATTCTGTCTGTAATCATACTCGTGATAACCAAATCAGACTCCCACTTTGCACTTGTCCTATTTTGTCAATCACCTGTATGATTACAGACCGAAATGGACTCCACTTAGTCCTATTACCATTATTAATCAGAATCTTACCCTATATTCCACTGTAACACATACAAACTAAGGTAGATAGCATTTAAAAATCTTTTTTCAAGACAATAATCAAGCTCAACCTTCAAAGTCAAATTCCAGCCCAGTCCCTATCAGCTTGTTCATAACCTCATTTTCAAACATCTTGTTCTGTTCTGGGGTGAAGTAATTTTTCCAGTCACCAATCTTTCCTTTGCGTAACAGTTTTGGCCCCTGAGCTGTGCACTCTACCCAGTAATTTGACATGTTCTTCTTCATTCCTTTAAAGCTGCACTGTTCAGCAATTTTTGTAATGATATCTTCTGAGAGCTGTTTACCAAGGAATTTGGCTATTGTACAGACATTGCTGTGCAAATCCTAAAAGAAGAAGAAAAAAAAACAATCAGTATAAAAACTTGAGGTTCTAAGACAGTTTAGGTTGAGCCTCCCCCAGCTTTAATTCCAGTGTGCTGTATGTTACATAGAACCTCAAGTTATCATTGTTGTTGTTGTTTTTTTTTAATTGTGCCTAATGCAGGCACCAAATGAATGTGACTAAATTTTTCAATTTGGCAACCAAACCCTAAAAATTAGTTGCCAAATTGGTGAATAGAATGCTTTATCATAACCTTACCTAGGGATATAGTGAATTAAAAAGATTTGCAAAGATTAATTCATGGCAAACTTCCTCGTTAAGTTTGTTTCCAAAATGTGGCACATGCATCTGGATCAATAACTAGATGCCATCTAGGATTTAGGTGAGCTTGAAAGTTGTATATCGTCCATCTTAGTGTTCACTTTGTAGCAGGTTTAAGATCTTTTTCCTAACTTAATTTTGGAGGGTCAACAGTGTAAAAAAAGCTTTTGTTTGTCTTTAAAAATGGTGCCCAACTTTTTTTTAAATGGCTACCACTTTGAAAAATTCAGGAGCCAAGTGGCTATCAGAAAAAAAAAATTAATGTTCCACCCTGATGTATGACAAATAACTGACACAATTATACCTCTACTAAAAGAGAAAAAAAAAAGGTAAACTTAATTAAATGTTTAAGAGGGTAATCTGCAAAACACTAACATATTCCAGTCACAATGAGTGCCAAAAACAAGCTAAGTTCCTATAAACTAGACATGCCAGCATCATATGACGAAATAGGCTGAGGACCAATCTAATGTTATATCTCCTTATCTCTGATCCCATTACTTTGACCCTTTACACCACAACATCAGTATACATATTTCCCATACTGCTCTCTATACATTTGCTTTGGTCTTGACAAGGAGAATTTATTTGACAATCAAAAGCTACTATAGTTGGTAATCATTTTTTATATTCTCATAACCTTGATGTTTGCTTCAGCAGTAACACTGTAAGGAGAAATAGGATGCTAATCACTGCTAGGATTTAAAGGGATAAGAAAGAAAAAAAACCCTAGCATGCTTATAATTGTTGCTAAAGAAACCACCTGGTAAGTAGACACCTTTGGTTGAAGACTGGCAGACCCCAACCTGTTGTGATGGTTAATAAATAAAATCTTACACTATCTGATATCAACCTACTTTAACTTGATTGTTGAATAAATACATGTAAAAATGGAATTTTTTTAAACACAATAAATTACAATCTAACCTTAATCAAGTCTTCATACTTGAGAAATAAGACATTAGGATCATCTCTGTGCCTCCACCAGCCTAACACATGATCACTCCAATGACCATACGACACTAGAATAAAACAATTACAAATTAAATTGTTCTTCAAAATATGATGACACCCATCCACAGCTTAACTTGTTTATTCTACATTATGCCAGAGAATAAACATGCAGGCAGAACAGCGAAGTACATTTGAATTAAGGGCCAGAGGGGAAGGAAGGAGAAGGGAGGACATTATGCTTAAATTGTGTAGCTTAACTTTTAAAAACTAAACACCGAACCCTCGGACAGATTTTTTTCATCCAAAAAGGTTTTGGAGTTCATTCTGACCATTTCACCCACAAATTTCACTAATAATTCTTCTTATTATCTGTCACACAATTCTGATGATGTAACTTCAGAGAATTTGGTTTAGATCAACTGATAATCCCCAAACAGATATTTTCCCTTAATCTCAGTTGTTGTCTGCTAGATGTTATATCGATATTGTTGTTCTGCTAGATGTTATATCGATATTGTAAGAGGAAATTCTCTCTTGGTCAATCATGGGAGTAAAAGAGTTATTAAATACATCTTCCTGGTTGACTTGCATACTGTGGGTAACACAGTTGTTTCATCAACACTTAATTTCTGGAAATGTTCCAAAATCTTTTTCTTTTTAGCCTCTAGGAAAAATCCCTGCCCATTCTTACCATTCATGCAAAAGTAAAACTCACCTTTCCCAGTTGCAAATAATCTGGCAAAAAATTCCCATGGACCGTTATACCCAGCAAGAGAACCATGTTCCTTCATAAATTCATAAAATGACACAGCCACATCCTTTGGATTCCGTGCGATATAAATATACTTGCACCTTTCGTCATCGCCCTCTCCTTGAGGAATGACATCATGGGTCAAATGAGAATGAAGAAGCCGTGGACCTGGGGAGAGTTGTGACATCAGCACGGTCACGCTCCAAAATCGAAACTCGGTCAAAAATCATTTTTGTACTTTCTGCGCCGTTATTATACACCTGCCAAAGGATCTCTGAAATCCATGTTGTCCCTTGAATAAAAATGCATTGCAAATTATTACTTCTTTTTACTTACCTAATCATTCAGTCATAAACACAAAACATTGGCAGGTCAAGCTTCTTTACCTGATTTCGGATAAGTCACAACAAACACATCATTGTGTCTTGTTTGGAAATTGATGATCATCTCGCGCAGTGCTGTAAGATTTTACACTGACCTATATAAAAAGTAAAAAGTTGACCAAATAAAAAGTCGACTTGACCATGTAAAAACTAAAACTTGATCTTATTAAAAGTAAAAAGTTGACCACATAAAAACTCGAGTTGACCATATAAAAGTAAACTGGGCCACAGAAATATAAAAGGAATATTGACTGGTTTGGCGCCCCATAAGTACGAGTCGGGGAATCCTGGGACTGACTAGCAAATTTTAACTTCCGCGCCAGGATGGTCAACAGGAAACCTCTGTGGGGGTGACTGGCGCAGGAAGAGAACACTGTATGCTCTTTGTCTAAAGAAGAAAATTTCACTTTCATCGAACATTATGTCACGCTTTTCATTTAAGTATTTGTCAGTATCAATAAGGCTACCTGTATCGTACCCAAAATAAAACTGACCTTATGTTCGGGTGACATTTACTTTGTTACATTTACCCGAAGCTCACAACAGCGATAGATCATTTACACCTTTTCAGGACCTCTCTCCATTGTAGAACATTATCAGCAAAGTGGTCGGTCTTAGAATAACAAATGATTCTGTTATTTCAACCTCACATGGTATTAAAAGTGAAACACTTCGCTTGACTTACATTAAGATGAAATATCCCTTCAGCTTTGGATATTGCGAATTCAAAAGTATTTTCAAAAATCAAAACCTATGCGATGACTTTCTACAACCTCGCGATTTGGTAACTGAGAGCATTTTTTTAAATAATAAGAACAATCACAGATCGTTTTTCGATCAATGTAACCTTTGGATATAACATAAATAAAATGAAAGAAAACTTTTGCATAATTATCTTTCAGCAAGAAGAAAAATCTCAAAGACATTGGAAGACTTTCGTCCTTGAAACAAAAAACCATGGACATGGTATCTTGTAGCTATTTTCCCAGTAGATATGATCTGATTCACCAGTTCAGTTATATAGTTCAACGTCACCGTTGAAATTTCCAACAAGTGTCATCAGTAGAATTAAGATAGATTCAGTCTTTTTACTTTCATTTCACTGATGTTTTGTTGTATGTGTGATGCGTCAAGTGCGTACGCCTGGCGTGGTTATGTGTGTCTTGTGTGCGGTCACTTTTGCGCTCCACTCCCTGGCCTTCTTGGTCAATACTTGGACTCTCCACAATAATTCTTCACAGAACCTGTAGGAGAAAACATTACGTTTTAACCCTGAATAAACCATTTACTTACGGTGCCGTCTTGTTAACAGCACTCTGTAAGTTTGCAGATGTGGACGAGCGATTTGGCCATGTATGAATTGACTTCTTCTCGGTACATTGGCGATACAGAGAGCGAGTCTAACTCAAGTCAACGCAAATATTGTATCCTCATTTGAAAACTGATTTATTCTATAGCAATTCAGTGCAAGACAAGCACACTAAATATAATTTGATGGAATAAACTTATCCAATTTAGCTTTGCCCAGTTGCAAATTTATTTATAGTTTTTACCGAACAGTGTTACAGTAAGTACATTGCGATCGGCCGGCGGTGACCTGCTGCGTTGATTCTTGTGTTGAGTCTTCCGGTGAAAAATAAGGTAGCCCGCTACGGTGCTGTCCACTTTTATCGCGCGATAAAGAATATATTGTCGCGCGATAAACGATAAATTATCACGCGAGAAAAAAAAGTTATCGCGCGATAAATGATAAATTATCGTGCGATAAACGAAAAACTTGTTAGGTCGCACGTGATCGGCTGTTAAAAAAAAAAAATGTGGCATGTCCTCTATGGGCCAACGATCCACGTACGACCCAACAAGTTTCCCATTTGTCGCGTGATAATTTTTCATTTATCACGCGATAATTTCAATTAATGCGCGATAAATGAGATTTATCGCCCCCCCCCCCCCAAAAAAAAAGGCATGTCCTCAATGGACCACCGTATGGTGCCGGAAAACTAATGTTGTGCCAGAAAATTAAAGTAGCATGGAATGTTAAAGTCGTGTCGGAATGTTAAAGTTGTGCCGGAATGTTTATGTCGTCCCGGAAAGTTGAAGTCGTGCCGAAAAGCTGAAGTCGTGCAGGAATGTTGAAGTCGTGAAGGAGAATTGGAGCCGTGAAGGAAAGTTGGAGTCGTGAAGGAAAGTTGGAGTCGTGGAGGAAAGTTGAAGTCGTGAAGGAAGTTGAAGTCGTGAAGGAAAATTGGAGTCGAGAAGGAAGTTGAAGTCGTGCCAGAAAAAACTGAGATGGTGAAAAATAAAGTTGAGATGGTCAAAAAATAGTTGAAGAGAAATGCGAAATGGCACTAACTGGGCTCTTTACCGTAGTGTTAGGTGTCCCAATTCACAACCCGCACGAATGTCACGCAGTCTATTTTCATACACTGTTCGGTGCGCGCGACGATCTTCAACACCATCGCTCCAGTCTCCGCTCCCCTGTTAGAACAGAGAGGGCATTGGAACGACTCTGTATTCGAGGACCAGCCTTGGCGTTTGTGGCAAAGTTTGAAAGTACGGCTTCGCGCGAAAGGACAAATTGAGTATTCATTTTGCGTTTATGCACTAAATCATTTTGTCAAGAACGTCTCATTTAAATTATTGTGTTTTAAGATTTACCAGGTGGTTAGTTGGAAGATTTATGAATTAGATAGACTGTGAGCGAAATGAAAAATGAGAAAGTCATTGACAAAATTGAGCATTTAACTGATTAGTAAATATTCAAAGAATAATTTTTGGAAATATTCCCTCAGGACGTGAAGGGCTCTAAACACTACGAATGAGAATATCCTCTTAAAGTGATGGATTATATTGCTTTATCGCCTGCAATAACAATGTAATAAAAGTTCGGAGAGCATAAATCTTTGACTCAATGATTAATTTCCCTCAACTTGAGTAATAAAATTTTGATACAGTTTTCAGCTGCCTTACCTCGCGCGCACCGATAACTTCATATAAGCTATACATTTCCTATAAGATGCAATCTTGAATCAACGCTGTACTGAGCTCCTCTAAATTCCATCCTTTAAACCGTAGAAACTTGAAAATCTGTTTTTTATTACACTCACTAGCTAAAACCGAGATTTTTGTTAATGCAATGTCCACGGCGAACTATGATATGATCACACACTTAAATTAAAATGTCAAAATGTGTAATTGCATACGAAGTGGTACTTGAGACGGAATTTACAAAATGTCAAAATCTTTTGAAATATCGTTTAAGCGAACATAAGATCTTCAATTAGACAACTCAAAATTTATAACTTCAGTTCAAGTAAAAGAACCTTGATTCAGAATAGTTATAATCTGTCGACTGGATCACACGGAGAAAAAAGTAATGTAATCATCTTCCTATCTAACCTCTGCTTTTAAATAACTAATCTTAGCTCGTAACAACATCCTAAACCAGTCTATGCGTTAGCTAACTTTTCATTTCATGTTGTAGCGATTACCAGATGTCGCTCAAAGTCTTTGCTGCGATAATTCTGTCCATATCAGCCAAGATAACTGCAGAATCTCCTCGGGGAGTCTACTTTGAAATAAAAGAAAACAGTTTTCTTTCCGCTGATACTCTTTGGGATAGAAAAGCTGACTCTTTGCTGTCCTGTACACTGCTGTGTGCGAGGGAAGCTGCTTGTGAAAGTGTAAACTTCTTGGCAAACCAAAGATCCTGTTCACTCCTTGGAAACGGACAAACACACCTGACGGAAAAGCTTTTAAAACGACTAGAGGGATCTTTCTATGCGAAAAAGGTATTTTATCTCGAAAACCGGTTTAGGAATCATTCAAATGATAAGCATGTGGCTCTGATTTAAATATTTTAAAATAGGATAATAAAATTAAGTGTGAGCGTTGCGCTTGCAGCGAACGCCAGCTGGTTCCAAAACGAGATGTAACAAAACGACCTCTCGGCGTGACGCAACTAATGTGTGGGACTGCTTTACAGGTCGTCTTCAAAGGCGAATAAACTACGAAGAACCAAAGTTGACAGTTTTCGACGATTTATTGCATTCAAATAAACGATCGTAAAATGTCGGTTCCGGTTGAGCCATGGGTTAAGAATCAAGAAACCTCGATAGAACGAGGTTGAGAAGGTCACGCGAAATCGAACGAAAAACTACTTTAAAAAGGGACGCTAACTCAGCTTCTATATGCGAGTGATAACGCCTAAAGGTCCGATTACAAAACCAAAGAAAAAAGAAGTAAACATTGTAACTACGTTCGTAACTAAGATATGGAGATATAGAGACAATTATTATGTAATCGAAATAGGCCTTTGTCTAATGTCATTAACAGAGGGATTTTCTGTTACAGACTGAACTTCCAGAAATCGCCAGTCCATTGGGTAGGTCATTAAGAATGTCTCTAGGTATCAGGTCGTTTTGTAATCACGGTCGTTTCGCACCCAATCCCATCGTTATCAACGATAATAAATTCGTTTGATCTGACGAAAAAAAAATGTATAAGTATTAAGTTGTAATCTATGTTTAATTAGGATGGAATGAAAATATAAATGTTTTCTGGTAGAAATATCCTTCGCGTCTATCTCATGACTCCCAGACTCCCCATTTTCGGCTCCAGACCTTACACTAGATGATTTGTTTTTATGGACTGAGCTGATAATGTAAATTGGGCATACTCGGTGGTCGCGCTTCAAAAATGGACACCTCGTTAACAAAGCAAATTTGACGCAGGTAATATTACTATTCAAAACAAGAAACTGACCTTACTTTAAACAATCTTAACATGGAAAACATATTTTAATAATTTTATGTACGAAACGACCGAGCTGGGTACGAAACGACTCACCGACTAGGTACAAAAAGACCGGTTACCTATCTCTATACGTGGTCATAAACATTCTTATTTCATATCGTTCTACTTGCTCTCTTAGCCGGGTAAAGCAGTGCAGGTGAGATACTAACGGTATATAAGATGGCTTTAGCAGATACTGAAAAATATCTTAAATGATTGTAGTTTCTGAAAGAGAAAGCTCTTTCGAGCGGAGAAAACATCTGCATCTATTGAACACAAACTCTGGTCTTGAGTGAAACATTTTACGTCATCATGTGCGCGTTACCTTCATTAAAGTGATATCTCCCTCAAAAAGAACAAGGCACGCATCGCGACTGGAAAAAAGGTGTAATATTGCACTCAGTTGAGCATTTTAAAATCGTAATATTTATCTTTATTATAATCATACACTCAATTTAAGACCACGTCACACCTTGTATAGGTTCTACTCAACTGTCAGCAGTTTCTTCGTGCCAGATCCTTCGCGGCCAACTCCCCTCTCTTTCCTCTGGTGTTTACTGGATCGACCCAGACGGTGGATCCCAGGGCACGGCTTTCAGGGCCTACTGTGACATGGAAACAGATGGAGGGGGCTGGACTCTTGTGTGGAGCTATAAATTCACTGATTACGATACGTTTTCTTCGAGTTTAAATGCTATTACACCGAGGCCGAACTGGCAGATAAATTCTGCTCTCAACGTCCCTGTCTCGGTAACCCCGCCGTTGGGTGAAACAGACTTCAACGCCATGAATTTCTCCATATGGAAACAACTCGGCAGACAGGTCCTCATCAAAAGCAACATAAACAACTGGCTGGTTTGTCATCCGGGAACTGGAAGCTTGGTTGATTGGCAGGAAGGGAGCGTCAAGTGTCAGGTCGTTAAAAACGTGACTGACACGTGTCAAGATTCGCCAGCGCCATCTAGGTTTGTGCCGATTCATAGTCAGACCTTTGGACCGATCTTTTCCTCCTCCAACATTTATTATTATTTTGACGGTTACACATTGATGCACTGGCCTACCCATGATCCTTGTGGAAAAAACGAACTCAACCATCTGAAGAATGTCGACAATCCACACGGAAACATTTTCATTCGATCTTGACGAGATTTAAAGGATTCAAAACTGATGGAAAACTTTCTAACGTCAAAGTCTAATCCCTTGCACAAATGTTTCACAAAGTAATGAGGAAAATAAAAGCTGCAAGATAACTGTTTCGTTTTTTCTGTGTGTGTGTGTGTTAAGACTGTAAAGTATTCAGTTCGTGAAATCATAAAAAAAAACCTAAAAGAAGTTTTTTCTGACTGTGTTTCAGTAAAATAACAAATATAAAATCTCGAAAATGGAGAGAGACATGAAATACCTACGCACTGTTTTAATATGCAAACTTTCAATCATCAATTGTTAAAAATTATAATTAAATGCATCGAAACTGGAAACAAAATTACTTATTTCTGGAAATAACTGATTACTATCAAATAGCTATTTTCATTTATATCTGAAACAAAAAACGTTTTACCACATTTATCAGCGAAATGCAAACCAACAGAACATATATTTGGATTCTGTTATCTTAAACGATGAATTTATAGCTGTTGATTCTGCATTCTTTGACGGCAGGAAAAAGAGAGACAGGCTCATCTCCGTCGTAAACCAACATTTTCTCGAGTTCCACCAATGTCATCGACTTTATGGCGATGTTTTCGTCTTTAAAGTCATTGTTTCCCATGACTGCGATGGACTGGGCCATTTCTTTGTGGTTCTCGTCTTCCCAAACACAGCATCCTGCTGTCCACATGGAATTGGGGCGCACAATCGACCCGTTGGAGCCGGGGCCGGGGAAATAATGAATCTGAGAAGGAAAAAAAACCAAACAAAACAAAATTCAGGGGGTGGAAGTTTCCTTTAACTGATCAATCAAAAACAGACTCAGAACTTGAGCGGGGTCGCGCTTTGGATATTCAGCTTTTAAACGACTCCACGACTGCATGAAGACGAAAGCTGGAACTAACTCTTCCTTTCTTGCTCCCTCCCCTCCCCTCCCCCCCTCGTTCACTTTTTTAAAGAAGGCGACTTGATTTGACGAATTCGTCTAAAATGGACTATTAACTCATCAAAGATCGGTAGATGGGGTGTAAAGGGCCAGAGGAAACTATTCGCTAAATGCGTTCACATTGAAAATCATCGTTTTGCTAAAACCAGTAGCATCTCTGTGGGTCTCCTAAACATATGGTGGTGCGCATTTGAAAATTGAGAGTCCCCATAAAGTATATTATAACTTCAGTCGGATTGAGTTCCATTAAATTAATTTCAAATCTAAGAGACCTCAAATTTGTATATCAGACAACTCAAAATCAAAGTCATGTCGACAAAATAGCATACCTTGATCTGGCCCTTGTCGTGGACTGGTTTTTCTGTACCAACTTGTAATCGGAACTTCGACGAGCCAGTCATTAAATACATCACAGCTGATGATTTATTGCATTGCGTCGTGACGTACTTCACAATTTTGCTTTCAAATGTTCTCCAGGGGCCGCGGTTAAAGTGACCGTATTGTGGAACTGCGTTACTGTAAGTAAACGTGGCCAACACGTGCTTTTTGTCAAATGAGTTAATGTAAGCTGGATTAAGGTGTCCTTTGTCAAACCCCTGTTTTCCCCTGCCGTGGCCGTGATACATTTCGTTAGTGCCCTGATGGGTTAGTTCTACAATTAAGACGAAACATCAGGTCTGGTTAGAATTGGACTCAACTAACATTTGCCTCTATCTGACGTTAAGTGCAGATGACGTCGTTAACCGTCCATTTCTTTTGAAATGATATTGTCTCGGAGTAAACGGGACATTAAGCGAAAATGGTATGAAATTGGAAGAGACGACGGGCGCGAAACAAGATATTATTTCATACTCTCTTGGAGATTATTCACTCTTAACGCGAAACCAATACGCGTTTCCAGCACGCGAGGTGGCTGCCGTTGATTACCGCGTGCGAGGTCGGTTCCTTTGGTTACCGATGAATAAAGGAGGTAAGTTTCTAAAGAAACTATGGTGCTACGTCGGAGGGAGAGTATAACAAGGTAACCTAATATTATCAACTGAGTTGATAACGTAAATTAGCCACCATAATGAGTTTAAAAGGTGACGTTTCGAGTGTCAGCCCTTTGTTAGAGCGATTGGAGGATCCATTAAGATCACTGATGACTCACCTCCGCCAATGTCATCTCTTGCATAACTTGCAGTTATTGCAAAAATTAATACATCGGTGAAACAGGAAGACGACTAGGTGACCGATGTAGATGACCCTCGCGATGTAGAAAAAAATAACAAAGACGCAACTAAACCAGTCGCTAGACACTTCGATCTCCCTAACCATTCTAAGCAGTACAGGGCAGTTTGCGGCCTTTCCCTACATCTAGGCATTTTGGAAAGCCACAAAATTCTAGAACAAAAAATTTATTTTTCAAATCGGCACTCTTAATCCCCCCGTTATAAACCAGTGCTTTCCATTCAACTAATTTAGTCTTGTTTCTCGTCACCATGTTCCCACCAATAGGGTACCTCCATTTTCTGCATATAAACACACATAACCCACAATTCCTCCAGTCGCTCTGACGAAGGGCCAACGCTTGAAACGTCAGCTTTTAAACTATTTACGGTGGCCAATTTACGTTATCAATTCAGTTGATAATATTAAATTACCTTTGATTACAGTCGATTTCTATCGAAATGATATCGTTTCGGCATAAACAGGACATGCATCCTGAGTTCGAAAACAGAGGAAATGGGAAAAAGAAAACGCGCGCAAAACCAATACGCGTGGCTTATGCACGAGGTGGGCGTCTAACTCATTTTAATCCTTCCTCGGTTACATCTAGCTCCAGTTTTATGCTGAGGAATTGAGAAAATACATTATTGGAGGATATTCTAAGTCTGTCCACAAAATATTTGAATGGGGTTGTAGGAATGAAAGGTATGAAAACATTAATAAATCTTCTAACGAGTATTCGCTGAGCTTACCTTTATTTGTTCGCCAGCTATTTGAAACATTTTCTCTTGGAAACATACCCATGTGACGCGCCTGTTCGTAGGTGACGGTGTACGCGGACAAAATGGCAATGCCTGCTTTATCGTCGAACAAAGTTGCGAAGAAGTACGTGTCAGGGGATTTTGGGATCGACTGGCAAACATAAACTTCCGCGTCAGGATGGTCGATGAGAAGCCCCTGTGGGGGTGACTGGTGCAGGAAGTACTTCAAATAGCACTCAGGGGGAGGGCCTTGGCTTGGAGAGAACACTGATTTATGCTCTTTGTCTAAACAAGAAAATTTCACTTTCACTGAACATCATACTTTGTTATTTACTGTAAGTTCATAGTTTCCTTTTGGATTTGTGGACTGTCACATATATAATTTTACCAATAAAAATATGCACAAATTTCTGTATTGTTTCAGTTTTGTTTTCTTATGTCACGCTTTTCATATAAGTATTTTTCAATATTAATAAGGCTATCTGTAATGTACCCAAAATAAAACTGGCCCTATGTTCGGGTGACATTTACTTTGTTACATTTACCCGAAGCTTACAACAACGATAGATCATTTACACCTTTTCAGGGCCTCTTTCCATTATCAGCAATGTGGTCGGCCTTAGAATAACAAATGATTCTGTAATTTCTACCTCACAAACTCACATGGTATAGAAAGTGAAACACTTTGCTTGACTTACATCAGGATGAAATATCCCTCCAGCTTTGGATATTGCGAATTCAAAAGCATTTTCAAAAATCAAAACCTATGCGATTATTTTCTATAACTCCGCGATTTGTCAACCGAGAGAATTTTTTCAAATAATAAGAACGATCTCAAATCGTTTTTCGACCAATGTAGCCTTTGGATATAAAATGAAATAAAATGAAATAAAACTTTTGCATAATTATATTTCAGCACGAAGATAAATCTCAAAAACATTGGACAACTTCAGTCCTTGAAACAAAAAATCATGGACATGGCATCGTGTAGCTATTTTCTCAGTTGATATGACCTGATTCACCAATAATATAGTTCATGGTCACCGTTGAAACTGCCAACAATTTCATCAGTAGAATTAAGAGAGAGTCGGTATTTTTTATTTTCATTTTTCTGATGTTTTGTTGTTTGAATGGTCGTGTGCAGCATCAAGCATGTTCGTGTGATGTGTCAAGTGCGTACGCCTGGCGTGGTTATGTGTGTCTTGTGTCAGGTCACTTGTGCGTGCCATCACTCCCTGGCACTCTTGGTCGATACTTAGACTTTCCACAATAATTCCTCATAGAACCTCTGTGGGAACACATTACGTTTTAACCCTGAATAAGTCATCTACTTACGGTGCCATGTCGTTAACAGCCCTCTGTAAGTTTCTTCCGAAGACGTAGGTGGTATACACCATGTCTGCTGTGTCAGGACCAACAACGCCAATACGACGTGAGGGAGATGAGTAGCCATGAAACTGTTCTTGTAAGAACGGTACATCATGAACGAAGCAGCTCCGCGGGAAATCTGTGATTATATCTGAGTTATAACTTTTAGTTTCGAGCGATTTCGAAACATTTAAGAACAGAAGAGGAGGTTTGGGACCAAATTTCAGTTAAAAAAATCTCAAAAGTTGCAGGACGAAATCTGAGATTCGAACCAAAGCTGTCTGAAACAGTATTGCGGGCGGAAGGTTCCTCCTAAGCTTAAGGTTTATTGGAAAACCCGATTAATTTTCAAGTATTCGTGGAAGGGGAGGGGTAATAACGAGGCGATGGTCTGGGCTGGGTAGAATCATAACTTTTTACGGAGGAGTATGGGGCCTGATCACGTCAAATTTATACTCTCTGCCTATGGCAGGGTCTGTGAGGTAACAAAAGAAATAAAAGAGAAAGCCTGGAAACAAGAGTGAAGGAACGGTTGAGGGGAAGGTGCCTGAGATGGAGGAGAAGTGCAGGGCTACTGAGACCTGAGCCCACGAGCAAGGCTACATCGAAACCTAGGATACGATTTGTTTTTAAAAACATTTATATCACCGGAAATTATACCAGTTGTTTACATAATACTCCAATCGTTATATGTTAGCTTGAACGGTTTAGGACCGGACAGTTGTGGAAACTGGAGGTGGAAATTGAAGCCCTCCATAACGAGCTCCATCTCTCATCACAAAAGACAGTAAGAAAAACGTGTAAGAATATTATCAGAGTAAAACCTGCAAGAATTTCTAGAGGTGAGTTTGTAAATAACAGGAGGTATACCTGAAAAGTTTGACATTCTTAGAGAAGCGAGGGTAATATTGAGGCGTGAAGAAAGAACATTTCCTTTGTTATAATCGAGATATGATCGATAAACTCACGAGAACAAATTTTAATAGAAGAGGTGATCGGAGGAGATTATATATACTTCTAAAATTTATTTTGTTTAAAATTTAAAAAAAAAATGGCGCGTGACGAATACCAGAAAATCAAACAAATGATAAAAGGTGAAAATCATTGATTGTGGACACAAAATAAGATCGTCTAAATAATCCGAAAAAGATTAAACAAATCCAAATATTGCTCGTTTGCCCGAATAATTTCTTTGTAATAACTATATATTAAACAATATTTAGCTAACACAAAGTTCAAGTCGGCACAGGATATGAGATTCCTTGATGAGGCTCTCACGTTACTGCTCCTACTGACTTTAACAACAAGAACGGCGAGTGAAACTCTGTATTGGGGGTAAGGACCAATTGAACTTAAATTGCAGGAACAAAACATCTTATCATTATATGATAGATAAATTCGAGCGTTCTGATAGGCTCATATTTGGTCCGTATTTTACCGTACGGACTGTTTCATAGGACATAGTCATAAGCAGTGTATTTTTGCTCAAGAAAGCGAAATTCTCGAAATTCAAAGTAAACAAGTTTGGTCTGAGTGTTGTATTGTAAACTACTTCCTAAACTCGCTTGCTCGAGCCGTACTGGGGAATATTTGCCCTAGGTCGTTTTTGTGAGGACCTCGCTGAGCTCGGTCCGTACTGCACGACCTCGGGCCAGTATTCCCCAGCACGGCCCCCACGCTCTGTTTTCCAGAAGTTATTATAATTTATTCCGTTTTGACCTCTGGGTCATGTCTTCTCAGACTCTGTATACTCGAATAATTGTTTTTCTCCAGGCATAAACTTGTCACCGCTTTCCCATCAACCGTTGCCGAAGTAAACATTTTGTTGCATCTCCAAGGAAAAGAAAAATTAGTGGTAAAGTGTAATGATAAAATTTACCGAGTCCCCCCATAAGGTTCTTTAATATTCTTATGATCAGTCAGGAAGTCAATTTTTACATTCTTCTCTTTATATACTCGGCTGATTCCCCTTCTGTCGCCCCTGAAAATCAAGTGATCCCCCACAAGATCCTTCAAACTCCCCCCTCCCCCACGCCCCTCCTCATAGCTATAAAAAAAATTGATCTGGTTTAATCTGGAAAAAAATAATTTAAAATATTGTTTCAGGCCGAGAGCTAGCGCCTTTGCACAGAGCATGGAACATTGAAAAGCCAATTTTCTGCTTCAGATTACGATGTGCGCAGACGTTCCTCTCGGGCAGTTTTATTACTCATTTTGGCAGGTGACAGCTCGCGACAAACATTCACATTAATTTTTATTTTCCTTTAAAAGATTTTGTGAATGGCTTTCTTCTAAACTGCCAGTTATATATTTTAAATACACAAATATAGCCTTAGTATTATAAACTCGGATATCTGATATGATTTATGTACTAGATAGACTTTTGGCGACCTCCTTCGCACCCGGGTGAGACAGTTGACATGCAGGTGTCACCGGAAGAATTCATAAAGCTTACAAGATTGTTGACTCAAAATAAGATTCGTTACAAGGTACCAATATTCGACCTTCAAGCCGTTATGAACGGACAGAACGATGTGAACTACAAAAGATCATCTTGGCATAATACGTACCACACGTTTGATGAGGTAGATATCCTGTATATTTCTCAATTATGATTAAATCGTAAACCGATATGGCAAGGTCCAAAAAAACTTCAGAAAAGAGGAACGTAATTTTATTATATAAACTGTAGTGTTTTACAAAGAATTACAGCCCTGAGAAAAGCCACAACTGTACAAGTGTAAAACTACGATAATTTTTTTACGTGCGTTTAATATCGCCAATCAGCTGCTGACACGTCACTTACCTTTCACGCCTCTCTCTCAGGTTGATGAATGAATGGCCAACCAGGTCGAAACGTTGGGTCTATGAATTGTAACTTCTTCGGTTACATTCATGAAATCTGCAAACCAGAGTAGCATCAAACTATGTCTCATTCTCAATCCAATATCGTTTGACAAGTTTTCCTGTTTGAAAGGCTTATAGAGTTTATAATATTAAAAAAAATAGATGGTTGCTTGCAAAGATGAAATTCAGTTCTCTTCTCGTGTTTACTTCGATATCTCATTCGTTCACTGCGCTCACTCGTAATATCGAGTTGAACATTTAAAGAGAAATTCCATATCTAAGAGCGCCCATCTATTATTTTCTCTGTTAAAAAAAGACGATTAACCAAACAACTCTTCAGAATTATCTTAACAATCAGGCCTTCAAATGGTTTTTCGACAAGGGTCAAGTGAAATACTGATGACAAGAATGAAAAACCTATATTACCTTTATTCTCCCCTTGAACATGCAATTTTTTGAAAATGTCATTATTTTTGTTTTTCTCCCGGTCATAAAGATTGTATCCTGGATAAAAGCTACCAGTCAAAGCTCAAATATTATACGCATGCACAGTCTTGGCAAATCATATGAGAACAGGGACCAATATATACTTCAGGTAAGTTTGATCAGGTGTAACAACAGATATGGTGGTTTTTCAGAAGAGTTTAAACATCGACCTTCTAACAGATAAAAGGCGTATCAAAACTTCAATTCAGTTAATATCTTCAATATTTTCTATTATCTAGATTCAAGCAAACCATCAAGTAATCAAGCCGCTGGTGTTTATAAATTGTGGAACACATGCTCGAGAGTGGATTTCTCCAGCCTCCTGTATCTACATCATTGATCAGGTAGGAAAAACTACGTTCTTTCATTAATAGAAATAAAGCCAGTTGCCATCATTCGATCATCATTGTCATGGAAACCGACTTAAAAACAAATTAAGGCGCAGGGTTTTAAAATTGTCAAATGTAATTGTTATGATGTCTTCCATATCTTAATACTTAACCCTCGAACTCCTAGAAGTGATTAACGTGCAACTTCTCTCTGAGATATCCATATATAGTCCAGCAAACAAGTGATGAGAATACTAAAACTAATCAGGTAAAAGTCGTTATCCTGATCTAAAAGCAAATTCTTGTAACTAATTTATGAGGAAATGTACACCAGCTGGAGGAGAGAATTAAGAATCAGATCTTGGAAGTTTAACGGTTAAGAAAGTTTTTTTTGCTTTCAAGTAAGAGGTCTTGAAACGTCAAAAATCATAATGTCTTTCGATTACGAAGCACTTAGTATCGCCAACTCAAATGCAAAATCAAGAAAATGTCACACAAGCTCGTAAACATGCCACGCAACAGTTAATAAAGTTAGTGTTTAAAGCCAGGCCACTTTTCAGATTGTTTCCCAATACGGAAAGGACCCCAACGTGACAGCCTTGCTGGATAAAATAGACCTCGCCATTGTACCCGTATTTAATGTTGATGGCTACGTTTACACCTGGACTCAAGTGAGAACTTAACTTCCTTTTCTCTTTAATTTTGCTTTTAAAAGCGTTTGCTTTTAACTTAACTTTCTTTTCCTTTGGTAGAAGGAGATCAAACCATGTGGCAACCCATGGGCTATCATGCCTTTGTGGTTTAACTGTCACACAATGGTCCGGTCCTGTTTTAAAAAAAAAATTTGGGAAAGTCATGCAGTGACTGGGTAATGTCAGTATGATAAAGCGTAATGGATTGTTGTAATTATAACCATTTTTTGATAAGTATGGGGCTTCGCTGTGTGCGCTGCGCATGCTTTGAGCTCCGCTATAAAATTACATTGACCGATAAGTCTTTCACCATACCTAACATTACAGGATCGTTTATGGCGAAAAAACCGAAGTCCCAACCACGGATCCTTGTGTTTTGGTACCGATTTGAACAGAAACTGGCAATTTAGTTGGGGAGGTAACAACGTTGAGATTCATTTCTAAAACTGCTGCAAAGAATACATCAAGGATTGTTGGATCAATGTCAGTATCTGAGCGACTGCATAACTACCCCTCCCCTAACCCAATTTTAACCCTAACTTGTTCTTAGTTGACTGTTGTGGGGTTGGGGGAGGGGTAGGGGCCCAATTGCTCAGATACTATACTTACGTATATCCGTTTATTATATAGATATCACCACTAAGAAACATCTCTATATATTTCAATTTTGTTAAAAGTTTAATTTTCTCCCTGTCTTCTGTTTAATTTCGACTTGGGTGTTTTCACTACCATAGCAGTAATAGAAGAGACAATGATATAATGCATTGTCAGATAAATTTTGATGTGCGATCTTTCTTCTCCTTTTAGATCACGGGGCTTCTGAGAACCCTTGTTCATTTATTTACCAGGGTTCATCAGCCATGTCTGAGAAAGAGGTTCAGAACTTAGATCGCTTTTTGAAGTCTCAGCTGAAGAGGCTTGCGGGATTCCTTGATGTTCACAGTTACAGTCAAATGTGGATGATTCCGTGGGGTTTTGCGAAGGAAAATATCAAAGATTATGATGAACTTGTGAGTTACAGTAATCCCTTCGCCAACCTTGTATACGATTACTCCGAAAGAGGGCTCCACCGTCTTTTCGTCCATTTCGTCATTTCGTCCACCAGATGTACATAAGCATGAATCAGTTTTGTGACCTCGCTAGTTTTAATAATTTGGGCAACGAACTTAATCGGGGGGTACTTCCTAGCTTAAGGGGATGTACTATTGGATAAGATGGTATTTTCACGACAGGATTAATTATAATGTGGTTACGTTTTTAATAGATTTACCAGAATGGGGTGGTACATTTTCGGGACTTTTGGGCCAAGAAAATTCTGGTAAGAAGGAATTAAAAATGGTAAGATTCACGGTTAAAAAGTGACTTAGTTGGGATCGCGAAAATTACATTTCCCCAAATGTGACCGATGTTGTTTATAATTGGCCTCAGAACAGACCATAATGGGCTAGGGGTTCTTAGAGACCGGTGGCACATACTCAGCAAAATTGACCTAAGTAACCCCCCGAACTCAATAAGTTCAGTTCCATGTATACTTCAGTTTACGTACCAGAGCCTTGCAGACCCATTTTGTAATATGATTGGACTTGACTTGCAGATGCGTGTTGGGAAAGCCGCAGTGGATGTTATAAAGTCCATGGAATTTAGCACAACTTATGATTTGGGTCCCTCATCTAGACTGTTATGTAAGTTTAGCCCATAGGATTACAACAAAAGCTTCTGTAAAATATGTGTTATGATATCACAGAATTTAAAAGTAACACTGTGACGCTATACGTTAAAAGTAACCGGACTTAGTAGTGATAACATCAAGATTTGGTTCGTAAAAGGGCTGGTAAGAGGAGCGAGGGCAACAACATAACGGAGAATTTATTTGCGTTGGTAACAAAAAATTGTAGAACGATGATAATAAGCCGCAGGAAACATTTTCTGTTTTCTAAACAGCTCATCAATTAGAGAAATCAACCTAAGATAAGAGCGCTAACGAAGTAGGGCGTTATGGTTTCCCAAAGATTTTTAACAAAGATTTTCAGGATATCATCACAAATGGTGTAAATTGTTACAAAGTAAATTGGCCTCCAAAAAGAGTTTCTAAAGCTGACGTTTCGATTTTTCTTAGGGCTGATGCTCGAGACGTCAGTTTTAGGAGATATCTATGGTGGCCAATTTACGATATCAACTCCGTTTATAAAACTAAATTATCTTGTAAAACTACCTACCGACGCAGCAACAGTTTTTTGTTTAGGAACTTCCCCTCCTTTATCATAAAGTAGTCAGCCTTCTGTAACAAGTACTTTTTTTATCCTGTCTTTCTTTAACTCAGATATCAATTCCGGGAGCTTAACCGATTACGTCTATGGTGGCTTGAAAGTGAAATACTCATTTGCAGTTGAATTGCGAGATCAGGGAAAGTTTGGATTTGTCTTGCCAGCATCACAAATAGAACCTACTGCTAAGGAATTGTTTGAAGGATTAAAGGCTATGGTCAGGAAAATGCACATAGGATAAGACGAAGAGGAATATTTCATTGGTAAAGTTACACACGAATAATGGTAATCGAACTGAATAGAATGCATTTTGGTATGAAATCATATGCTTGGATTCAAAATTGAACAAGCACGCATTGAGAGTTCGATTTGAAATCACTTGTGTGTTTTTAAACCAAAATTGCACGGAAGGAAGTTCAATCACCATTTTATTACATCCATTTTGTAATCGCAAAATTTAATCGCCTCTATGATTCATTTTTTTGTTTTAGAAAAAAAAGAAAATTATTGGGAACAAAAGTTGCAAAATTTACCATCAAATATGACTTCTTTGTCTTTCATTTTCCTACAATTTGATTGGTTACTTTAAACAAGCCTGGAAATCTGATTGGTTCGTGGATGAATCGCACTGCTGAGAACCAATCAGATTACAGGGATCACCAGTGATTTCAAAATGGATTTAATAAATGGAGTAGCTACTACCCCTCCTTATTCCTCTCAGAAGTAGGACGGTAGACGTTCGCGCTGTATCATCAAACGATGGCGTCCTGATTAGTCTTCTTTCTCAAAGACTGACGGGAAAACCTATACCTTCGAGATACATATTTAACCGCAGTAAAAAGACGTATATGATTGAAAACTGTAACAGTAACTTTAATATTGATCCATTATTATATTACCCGTTATAACAACATATTTACACATTATTAATGTATCATGTCACGATCCATCTTTTCATACTAAGGCAATAAGTTGACCTCTAAGAATATTTCTGTGAATATCCGTGGTCCTACAATAATTCCTTAATTCCTTCATGTGTTTGATAGTCCTACAAAATATTGACAAACGACTTGGTGTTAAACTTAGTAGTTCAAGAAATGTTTTTAATTTTTCAATTCCAAATAAAGTTGTCTTGTCTTGCGCATTGCGTATTTCCAGTTAAGTAACTCTGAATATCCAACGAGGACGACTATCTTCCTCGTGTCCAATATCATCAACTAACTTCCTTGTCTGTCTATTTTACATAATTGAGATCTTAAGATGGAGTGGTGTGTAGACATACATCTGCTGGGTCATGCTGCTGCAGTCCTCACACTGCAGAGTGAAAAATAACGCGAATTAGCAATCACTAAATTACTGTAACTCACATTTTTTTGCATAATCTTCCAAGCTATCTGAATATTCTTTTATCACTGGTCCTCGCATAATTCGGTAAATTGCTTATGACTGAGAAGTTTGTAGTTGAGTGACGAGAGTAATCCAGGAGTGCTTTGGTTTTGCTTTACTTCGATAAGTAATTGGTCCAGAAAGCTCGCGCTACTTTCTCAATCAATCAGATTCAAAACTAAAACAAATCGCACCTTAGTCGCCTTCATTTTCCCGCGCTTAAGGCAGTTTGCTTTTTTCCCGACTTGGAGTTTTCAGTGGTTCCTCGTGATGTTATGATTGGCTGTGACAATTACATTGCTTTTGGTTTTTACGACAGTCATTTAAAGGGAGCTCTAATTGTGCGTAGAACAAAACGTGATCGAATGGGCCTTTTACAGGCAATTTCTTCTTCCTTTCTGTTTTTTTCAACTGCCTTAAAGCCCTCATTTTGAATCCACAAGTCTAACACACGTATACGAGTCTTTGTAAAAACAAAAAAGAGTTATTTGATTTTTAGCCGAAAAGGTCTCCTGTAGTTCGTGCGGAGAGGGAGTTTAAGGGTCGTTTAACCCTTTACCTCCCATGAGTGACTAATAGAGAATTTCACCTTAAAATATCAATACAATATCAAGGATAGAAGTGATGAGAATAAAGTAAAATATAAATTAGGGGATTATTAGTTGATCCAATACCAAATTCTCCAGATTGACATCATATGAATTGTACGGCAGACAGTAAGGAGAATTACTAATGAGATCTTGAGAGTTAAAGGGTTAAGCTCTTGAATACAAACTGAATTTTCTCCACCCTCATAAAACTTCGCACAATTGAAAATCTATCATTTAAATTCCATGTGTTCCTTTTTGTTTGATCAGCTGAATTATACACGCATTTTGGTTCAAAATTAACTATCAGCATTTTCATTTTTTATTGGTTCCTTCTTGTGATCTATTGGAGGCATAAGGGACTTTACCATTACCAACATTTTGCTATTCTATCATGCCATATAAAGCTGATAGACTCCTTGTCTCCATGGGTCTTTACAGAAATAGATCAAAAAAGACGTCAAAATGTGGTAAAAGCATCCAGTGAAACACTCAGCTGCGCACTGTGAGCAACATCTTTTTCTTACCACATTTTGACGTCATCTGCGATCTACTACTGAGCAGACATGTGGTAACATATATAGAATTTATTTGTTAAATTGACGGTTTGTAAGAAACGTCAAGTAAGCTTACCATCACATCCATATAACTCAAGCCTCAAACAAATAGCGTTTTCCCATGTCCTTGGATTGACACGAATGTATCGCGTAACAAGAGGTTTGTCTAACAAGTTATGATGAACTGTGAAGGAATCGTTGTTGGCTTTAAATATCTATAACAAAATCAAAGAGAGAACTTTGAAGGGGAGTAATTTTTGAGTTGCAGGGGTCTAACGCTAGCAAATGTATGAATAACCAAGTTCGAAGTCCGTACTATAAGTTTCGGACCGATTTGTTTTCCCGCGGCCATACATAGTCCGGGCGGAAAAAACGAGGTCCCGTAACTTACAGTGAGGACCGAGAAAACGAGGTTGCTAAGACACATATTATATCTCTGGGTTCAAATAGAGAGAGAAGATTTTAATTCAACCAAACCTATAAATTTAGCAGGCTGTGAAATGTATCACGGCCCGCTAAATTGACCCGGCAATCACAGCGTACGTACTAACTGAGAGATAAAATGAATGAAATTAAGATGTACAATAACTTCACCTTCTCCTTTCCATGACTCTCATACTGTTTCCATTTTTTTCCATCATCACTATAAAGTAATGCATAAGTCTTCACATGTCTGTCCTTACTACCAATCTCCCCTTGAGTGGCAAGTTTTGTTATTTCTGTTTTTCTTGACAAATCCACCTGCAGATATTGATTTTCATCGACTTTTGGTGGACACCAGGCGTCAGTTGATGAAAAGTTCTTCAGCATACTAGAGGCTGCAATCTCTCCATCGTCAAACTCGCCTGATTGAATCCCAAGTGCTTCAAAACAGCCTGTTGAGTAGTAGCAACAGATCATGAAAGTATTCAAAACGAAGAAAGGTGTTAAATTAACTTGTAGCGAGTCTCTTTGCTTGGTTAAAGTGGCAGAGTATCCTATTAGCAATACGGGTAGCCCTGCGACCAGGCCCTCATTATCAGCCCTGCAAGACGTGCGTTTCTCTTCCCGCGTGGAGATTTGAGACGAGTCGAATAAAGGTTCATAGCTACTCCACTGACCTCTAACCGGCTCGCGCTGCTCAAAGCCACATAATTCCTTGCAGACGAAGAAACGCTCGCACCGAAAACTCCAATAATGATGGACTGCTCGCAGGCTACGATACGGGTGTCGGTGCCTCGACTTCTCTCCGTCATTTTCTCTCTCCCTCTCCGCTTATTTTTTTTCAATGTGTGGTACTGCATACATATAGCAACAAAATTTAAAATACTCGGTTTGATTCGCCTTACCATTATCTCCTTCTTCGCCAAATGTCAAAACAAAGCAGAGAAAACCAATCAAAAGGATTGGTGAGGGTCGGTGGCAGACCATGCCTGGAATGTAAGACATACGTCAATGAAGCTGTTTAAAGTAATAATAATAATAATGATGATGATGATGATATGATGATAATGTAACACTGACTACAATATCACAATAATAAAAATGGCAATTTAGCTCAGGATATCGGCGAAGTGGCTCTCCTTGCCCATTGTCTGCAGGTCGAATTGAAATCTTAAATGTTTGTTTCGTGGAGAGAGGAAGACCGTAGGACTTGGAGATAAAACCTCGGACGGACGGGGACGGGGACCAACAACGAACTCGACCCACATGTGACGACAGGATTGGGAATCGAACCCAAGCCACGGCGGTGGCGAGACGAGGGCGCGCTCTCATCAAAATATCTACCGCCCATTTACCAATAAAATGAAATAGCGGGATCATGGCCAGTTAGCCAAGTTTCAAAGGCTGCTCGATTTAGAGGAATCCAGGTTCGATACAGTAAAATTCTACTACGACTCCAGTAGTTCTTGTTGGGACAAAACTGGGTCTTCTTACGATGTTTAGCGACCTCTTTTCGGTGGAATCTTCTGTTGGTGCCATATCAATCATTTGTAAATTTTTCCTGAAAGTCCTGGATTCATAGTAGAATTTGACTGGGCATCTTAACTTTGATTGACTGAACAAACCTGGAATGTAACAAACTTCTATCCTTCCAGAAAAAAAGAGTTCGTTGTTTGAGAAGAGATTTGTCTTCGTAAGGACACCGTACTCACTGACCGCGAAACGTTATCATTGCAGACTAATGACATAACTGAGTTTTGTCGCCATGGCCTTAGCAAAACAAGTGTGCGAATATAAATACAGTGGAAACAAAGTGATCTTATTGCAGGATCACTGGCTTCTTGCATGTTTGATTTGATATCTTCCACGAAGCGCATGAACTTTCTGTCTTTGCCCACAGGTGTGAGTTGGTCTGCCAAAACATATCATTTATTATTCATGCATTGTTGTTCAGTCCACTTAGCTTAAGTCTGCAACGCTCACCATCTTAATTATTGCTAGCATTATTATTTCCTGACGGAAATGATTTCCGCAGGCCGGTATAATGAAAAAAGAGAGGTATGTTGAAGACAGTTCAGCTGACGTAATCCCTTATAGAAAATACTAAAACAGTGGATAGCGTCGAAGGCGCGTTCTGATTGGCCATTTAACTCTGAATATCCTTTATTAATTAACCTCCGAGCAACTCGCATGGGATTTGCAGGAATAAATAGGTTGAAATAATTTTATTTTGTACCGTAATATCTTTAGTATATACTGAAACAGCTATTCACCTCGGTGTCTGTGATCAGCGGTCTCTTATCACATCCACTTCAGTGAACAGTGATATATAATATTGTTCATGGCTGTGAACAACACGTGCCGAAACATGAAGCTCCTTGATTGGCTGCCCTATTAAGTTTCATTAACCCTGTAATCTTGTCCGTAATACTACAAATAAGGAATTATTTGTAGTAATATCTGATTACTGGTTTAACATCATAATTGTCAACAACATAGAAACTGTCGTGAGACTCTAAAATGCTTTATTGGTCGCAAATTTTGAATTAAAGTCAAGACAAGCGAATGCTCACTGATTCGGTGTAAAGCACTCTCGTAGAAAATCTCGCCAAGCTCAGTTCGCCGCCCAAACACTCATTTTCATATTCTGCCATCGACAAATGCATTTCTGATGGTGGCTGAGCGCAATTATGGTGTAATCTTACATCTGACACCGTGACTGTTTTCGACACAGAAGTCAGGGTTCATTTTGATTCACTAGAGAGTATATGTTTTGTGATCGTTATGGCCGCGCAATTGACTAAGAAGTCGATGAAAATACTTAAATTTCCTGTCTAGTCGAGACACACTGCCTCTGATATCGTTAAGCTTCTTACTGAGTTCAAAATAATTAAATCGAACTTATATCTAACTCGGTAACAACACGGGAAAACGGTTCAATCGAAGGTTTTTTCTGTGTTTATGTGGAAAATAATTAGAGTAAGTCCCTTTTAATCTCCGTTTTAATATTACATTTACGCTCGATTCTTACCTTCCTTTCTGCCCCAATTCTGTTTTTTTCTTAAGTTGAAATCAAATATATTAAACAGTAAAGAAAACTGTAAAAGGGTCTTACCTAAACTGCACCACTAGAGTCCAAAATCATTCAACAGAAACGTCCCACTTCAAGTTTAAACGCCGGGTAACTAAAACCAAAGATGGATAGCTCGTTGGAAGAAGCACATTAAAGATTTACACCGAACTGTGTTATGAGCGGATTTCGTGATTTATTTTCCTTACCGCCCGTTCGAGTCAGTGACAACATAAGAGGTAATCTATTGTTCACATATACTCTGAACTGGTGGCGCATTGTTCAATTGTGAAATACCTGCTGTTCTTGAACCTCGCTTGGCGCTCTCTGTGTGGCAAGAGGTGAATCCCGCTGAAACCCTAGGGTAACTGAACTGTTGTTTATCAGCGAAACAAAGGATCACTTGAGGTTATTTGAAGGTGTTCAAAATAGCGGAACTACCATACGTAAAACACGTACATATGAGTACGCCATGTCATGAGGCGCAAAAGCTCAGGCATAGCTGCAGCTTTCAAAAGCGAATCATAATAGGGTTTGTAAAGCTGGCCCTTCGAATGTTCCCCTATCGTCAGAGCAAATAACGAAGGACTAACGCTCGAGAAGTGGGCTTCAGAAACTTTTCACGATGGCCAATTTACATTTAAAATCAACTCAGCTGACAAAACCAAATTCTCTTGTTATATTCCCAACCGACGCACCACCACAGTCTCGTTAGAAATTTACTCCCTTTCATGATTTGTCGGATTACAGAACAGTTAGACCCAAGGTCATTAGCTCGTGAAGCATAATTTAAGCCCAAGGCAGAACATAGGCAGTAATGTGCTCGGGGGAATCCGATTACTCAAACAAAAATAAAGGGTTATGGACTAGAAACAAGCTCAGACAAAAAGATCCACGAAATAAAACATCGGATTTATAAATACAAATTGAACATTCACTTATTTACAATTTTAGAAACAACTCTCCGTTCTCTAACTGCTTGCAGAAAGTTGTATACAGTCGAAACTTTTCCATCTGCATCCTTAGTGACTACATCGTGATACAATTGATAGAACTTAAGTATTCTTATTAATACTCTCAATTCTCAGTTCTTGTTCTGGCCAGCAGGGGTAGCGGAGGGTTTCCTCTCAAGATCTTCTCATGCACGGAGCCTAGCCTCGCTTGTATTTCTGCTGTTACAAATCCTTGCCTTTACTGGTAAGCAGTACTTTCCAGCTCGTCATTTTCTTGTTATTTGCTTGAGGAACCTCGTGCGAACCTCGTGATCTTGCCTGCAAAGTATCACCACGAGCACGTGCACCACGAGACACACGCATTCCCAGCGCATGCGTAGCCTTCATTTTGGCTTCCATTTCCAAGATGAATTTCGGAAAAAGGCTTCTTTCGTCGTAACGCATTTGAAGGTCTATAGAATTCAATAAAGGAAGTGTGAGGGTAGTAAACTGAAAATTGGGCTGTGGTATTTCATTCTTTTTTGCAACTTGACCGTAATATGACAAGTCTAATTTCAAAAATAAGGGAAAAAATACTTACTGTCAGTAACACTTGGTAATGTAGGTACAGTGGTATCTGCGCTTTGACGTTTCCCAGCTGAGCTTTCACTGAAATACTTTTCTGGATGAGCAACAAAGTCTGGCTTATGAATGACACCAACATCCTGAAGGTCTGACGTCTCTAAAGACTGGAAAATAAGGTACAAAAAGCTTCACTATCAATTGCTTGAAGATGAAGTTGTAGCTGTTGTTCGGCTCCACCTTTTGCCCGTCACTGTTGAAACATTTCAAATCGTTCCGGTATGTTTGCACTAACACATTCTTTACCGTCAATTCTGATGCTTCATAAAATCGCGAGAAAGGCCACTAAAATAATGTCCTATCAGCGTATGCAATGGTTTTAAGACTTCTCTTTTACAGGCCAAGTTTTCCTGTTATGAAAACACAGTTACAAAGTGGTACCGGTAGAATTGAAGCAGAGTATTACATATCACTTCAAAAACCTCTCTTTTTATTATGAACCTTTCAAAGAACATACCGCATAGGGTCCGGCTGGAGCCTGTCCTGTCTTCTCCCAGTTCAGATATGGAAGATCAGGGATGACTTGAGGCTGTCGTCTTTCTCGTTTATCGATTCTCTTCTCTTGATAGGCCTTACCTAAACAAATAATAGCACAATGTGTATTCAATCAACATGTTTTTGGTTACTCAGAGCTCAGCACTCTATAAAAGAGATTAAAAATTTAGGAGCCAAAACCAAATTTGAAGATCGAATGAGTCTCTATAAAAAAAAATTATTAACACATTTCTCATAGCCTGCTAGTAGGCTCTCAGCCCTGCGTAACGCGTGCATCTCCGTCCGCGGGAAGTTTGGGTGAGGAGACGGGGTGAGGTTTGCTGAGGGGCCTGGCACTAGTAACTTGAAATGAAGGGAAGGGAAGCACTGGAAATGAGGGGCCCTCATCATGTGGGCCCCTCATTTGCAGTGCTAAACTCCATGCAGACCTCTCGCCGACCTTCGTTGCTCAAGGCGTCGTAATTTCCCCTAGACGAAGAAACACTCGCGCAAAAGCACTAATCATACTAACCTGATCGCAAGTTATTTTTTCGATTGATTTTACTTTTTTGGATTTCATAAGAGAACCCGATCAATTAGTAATGCATTCATGGTTGAGTTCAGAAGCCACAAGATTCTGACTGATTTTCGGTTTTCGAGTTTCGTTGTACAACAACCAAGAATGTGTCTCAGTGAAATAAAAAGGTGAGAAGTTTAAGGTTAGAACTGAAGTTAGAACGACAGCTTACCTAATATGGTTTGTTCCCAAGTAGAAACTCTAAACTCTGCGTCAAAGCCTTCATCAGCGAAAAGTTGTACATCATCTGTTTCGCCTTCCTCTTCAGCTGGCTCGTCTTTGTCGGTGTTATCGGATTCCGCCTGTTTTAAATGCAGAGCTCCATAAGTTTGACATAAGTTTACTTTATTGACAAATTTAAAACATGAAGCGTCCAATAGGCTATGTCCTCAAATGTTTTCACTTTTTCCAAGAAAACATATAAACAAATACATTAGAGACCTTTCGCTCTTTTGCGTGTTACTACAAGTGTAAAGGGAAAAAGGTACAGCGTTCATCTTTTCTAACTTATTCAAAAGGGTCACACTCTTGAAAATTCAATTGGTTAAATAAAAAGACAACAATTCAAATGCATCATGACAAGTTACATAAAGCCGTGGACGACTTTTGAGCCAGCGAATCACAAACCTGTTCAGCCTGTTTTGCTTGCTCAGCTTCTCGTTCTTCAATGGAGATTGGCTCAATCTTCCAATGTTCTTCCTGACGGTAAGACAGGCATAACAAATCAAATAAGTAGTACATAAGGCAAATTGCCTTCTTTACAATACTGTGCAGCATGCCCGATATCAATACATGCGAAACTAAAGAATTCTAACTCTCACAAGTTATATTGTGTATGCGCTATAGATAAAAGCTTGTCTTGTTCATGGAAAACTTGTTTAGCCTGCGCAGCTCGCAGTTTTGTGAGCGATATGAAGCGTTGAAGGGCGAAGCAGAGTGAGACAAAGGACGAAATGATAGAGAAACGCTGCTCGATTCGCGGCTACAGCGACGTTTCTTTTTTTGTATTGAGTGCCCAAATATAGTATCGGAAAAAAAGCTTCCTTTGCAGAACTGAAGGTCAAAATTATTACACCTAAAACGATCATATAGTACCACGAATGTCAATATATCTCTATTGCACTGAGAGAGCTTGAAAACAAGGGTTTAAGAAAAGTCCCACCTGCCCGAATATTCCAATATGGCGACCTTCCACATCCCACAATGCAACAGCGCAGTCACTGGACGCTGTAAGCACCAGCAGTCTCTCTGAGCGGGTAAATAGCTGGATGCTGTTGATGGTGTCCGTGTGAGGTTGGAACTGTTTGAGGAGGGCTGCAATGGGGTAGGTAAGAAATAAGATTTTTAAGACTTGTGAGATCACATTCTCCGGCCTGTTGTCTAGTTATCTGTCGGAAAACGATTGTTGAAAAACGCTCTGTTGCAACAAAACCTCAAAAATAAAGATTAACCTACGTGGTGTGCTGTCATTCTCAGTCACAGAAGCGATACAATACTCTGATATGTCCCAGACTTTAATGACTCCATCTGCGTCACCAGTTACCAAGTAAGAGTTTGTTTCATCCACAGTCATCGTTAGAAATCCAGCTGAGGAGATGATTAATACAAAAGACTAGTTAGTCCTGCTTGTTCTTTGAAAAAATTGGTTACCGATGCTTTCTCTGTGCATCAGAGCTCGGAGGCATAATAAGCAACTATTGGATAAGGTTGAGCATGATATGAATCAATCGACTGATTAGGGTTTTTTCATGGTGAGTCTAATGTACAATAAAATAATTTATCAAGCTTGGAAACGTCAATCATGACGACATAACTGGATGATTACCGTTTTCATGAGCTAAAAACTGGCCGATACACAACGACTTATGTGTATTCCAAAATCGGACCTGTTGTAAAATAACAAAATGAAAATTATTACTTTTCGCAACTGTTATGATACTTGTAAACAATGCTGCACTGTTGCGGCAACAAATTACATGCCGTAACGTTAAATGTTTGGTAAGGAATGCTTCAAATAGCAAATAGCGAAAATGGGTCAGAGGTACCTCAGTATAGTTAAGCCTGAGCCGATGAGGACCTAGATTTTATATAACTGTTGTAGCTGTGACGCAGCTCTTGACCCTATTCCGTCTCTAATAGCATTTCTTACAGTTCAGCATATTTTTCTAGTTGTGTGTTATGTTTTTGCCATAATAAACACAAAATAAACGACTCAGAATCATGCGATCATTTTAGCGGCTCGGGTTAAAATGACTCTGAAAAGGGCCCAAAACACATATAAGCCCCAGAACATAAACTCTATTGTCACTTTGAAGGGCTTTGATTTGAGAAAATAAAAAAGGCTGAACAATTACACGAGTAGGCAAGCGGGCCAAAATCTTCATTTTAGCCCGAAAAAGCGCCACAATGCCCAATGAACAAAGTAATAACAATCATGGTTTCAATGGGAAAAGTTATCTCTAAACAGACTTACCCAGCCACTAGCGTTACACGACACTAAATTTGCTCCAACACTTGACGCAGACATCGGTCTTTCATTGAGGAATATGAGTTTAGTGACAGCATAACCAAAGTCATCCTGATGAGACCAATCAGAATCAATTGGTTAATGTCCAACACACAAAAGACTAGTTAATATACATAGGATACCTTTGTCAACATTACCATGATATGTTTTTTCTCGTCTAGGAGCATTTAGTTACAGTGCGAAGAACATACTTGCAAGCCCTCATTATTGACGCTGTAATACCTACGCCCCCCCCTCCCTTTTCGGAAGATCTGAGGAGAGGTTAACCAGAAGCCTGGTACTAAAATCAGGCTAGACCCAAACAGACCTCTCGTTCACTCGCATTGTTCAAGGCTTCATAATTTCCCGCGATCGGTTATCATTAGAGAAAATCTTCGCTCCACCTACAATATGACTAAAGACAATTTTACATTGTACCTGCTCGCTCGGTGGCCGCTCAGACGTTACAGAAGTCGCTGAGGTTAAACGATTCTGTGTTAGAGGCGGCTTTAATGACGTCTCTGCTTCCACTGATCGCTGAGGAGGACTGGTAAGGTCCATCTATGAAAGGAACAAATACTCACAAATACTCAACACGTACAGTGATGTACTCTAACGTTATTGGACAGGGAATGTGACATCACATTAATCAACCAATTGATTGGTCAATCAGGCTAGCACTCAATCAATCAATCGATTGATAAGTCAATCATTCAGATAATGGTTGGTTTAGCAGTAGGTCAGTCAGTGAGTTAGTTAATCATTCACCCATCAGACACTAAGCCAGTCAGTCAGTGGGTCTATCAGTTTGTTGGTCGGTCGGAGAGAAACCCAGACACCAACACAGAAAAAAAAAAAAGACAAAAAATGAAGATCCAGCTAATTTCGATTTTAACCCTTGACACCCTCGATCAGTATGTATATTCTCCATATTGTTCTCTATACATTTCCTGAGTGGCTGACAAGGAGAATTTGTTCAACAATCACAAGCTTCTTTAGTTGCTGATCATTTCCTTTATTCTCGTGACCTTTAAGAGTGATTCAAGGGTGATAATGCAGGGAGAAATTGGATGCTGGTCATTATAAAGGGCCAAATGGTTAAATAAATGGGTGGCATATGTACCGTTTTTCTCGCTCTTCTGGAAGACCGAGTAGTTTTCCTTTTAGTGTGCGTAGAAAGATGTCTGAAAGCTTGCTCTGAATTCAAATTCCAGAGCACAATTTCACCATCATAGCTTGCTGTGGCCAGTGTTGTTGGAGCACAAAACGCTTCGGACAAAACATCATCTTGGTGTTCCTAAGGAAAAATATGAACTTTAAGGTTACTTGTCAGAAGGCATCAATCTCCAAATGTTCAATGCTTTCAAATACAGGTGAAAGAGGTTTGCATGTTCTGTGTTCGTTATCGCTTGGAGAAAATGAACTCATTACCAGTCTTCCTTTCCACTCTGAGGGGTAGACATAAAAAGAGTTCAGCTGATTGTCTCTGAAGACAGAGATGGTCCTGTAACAAGAGAACAGTTTTGGTTTAAACGTAACTTCACCTAAGCTGCGTCAGAGTACTTAAAAATGAAACGAAAAACCCGAACATCTTCAGTCCAATGACGTAAGATAAGCAACCAAGTGGGCTCAAAGTTGATGTTCCAGTGTGATTTCCACAGCAATATATTTACTATGGGATTCAGTGGGAGGGTCGCAAGGGAGGGGGGAGAGGGGGGGGCAAACTCCTCCACCCGTCAGACCTGTGGGTTTTTTTTTCACTTGTCTGACATCAAAACTTTTTAAACCTCATAATCAGGATCCATTATAGTTCTCCTCAAAATCAAGTATTTCAAATTTACTTGTCTTTGAGTATTTTTTTTGCTTGTTCAGGCTCTAGTATACATATTTTTTTTCTGTGCTTTCTGAATCGAAGTTTTGGACTCCCCCCCTATAAGAAATCCTTACTGCCCTAATTTATCTAAAGCCAGATTTTATGTACATAAAACAAGCCTTGGTTGTGCAAAGACTGGATAGTGCTATCAAGTGGATAAACCCCTTTCCAGTAGATAAGCTCTTGCAAAACATAAACCGTTATCCTCTGGATAGCGGTTTACCCAGTGGATAGCATTATCCAGTCTTAAACAAACCAAGGTGTGGCCTTTTTCCCCTACCTGTCCCACCCAACCACAATAATGATCCTCTTTAAACAAAGCACTTGACTGATCTCTGCTGGATCTCCATTCCCAGCCATTAAAATATGGTGACAATGGCCATTGAAATCCCAGATCTGAAAGAAAAATTAAGATAACATATTGATTAAATAAATGAATGGTATAAAGATATCATTGAATCATTACAAGATCATAGAAATATCAAGCTCTCCCATCTGCATTTATGAATATACACTTAATTAACCCTCTCCCAATCAGGCTCTTCATTTACATGAATGAATGAGTAAATGAATAAAATGTATGAATGAATGAAAGAATAACAAACAGAGTGTTCAAAAATCCCTACAACCCACAGGCAAACCAGTTGGCTGTATACAGAGCACACCCAAGGAGCTGAACTTGGGGAAACCAAGAATAAATCCAAAGTAGCAGTTTAGAGGGCTTGAACCTGGGGCCACCAGAGTACAAGTCCAGTGCCCTTACCACTCCACCATACTGCCTTGATCTAACTTTGGTGACATCAATCAACTCAGTCGAAAAGAAGGGATTAACAGTTTTCCTGATACAGATTTTCTCCTCAATGCATCAAAAAAGAAAGCAATCAATAACTGAGTCATACCTTAACTGTACCATCAGCACTTGCTGTGAAAAGTCTGGTCTCTGTAGCATCCTGAGCCAAGGTGGTAATTTCTGAGTTACCATGTGCATTGGCAAACTAAAAGAAAAAAAAATTTTAACATAAGAAAGGTTGGAAGAAATGAAAATACCATGACATCCAATCAAGATGTTATTTAAGCAAAGCAATGATCCCACAGGTGACCTGCAATTGAAGCAGCTGCAGAAAAGAAGCCTTAAAGAATAAAGGCTTTGACAGAAAGTGACCCTGAGTTTCCTAGATACTGGTTGGTCACACAACTACTACGAGAAAATGTTATTGCATGCATCATTTTACCACAAACTTTTGTTAAATGCTGGTTAATCAACCTTGGGATTGACACTTGCAATATGCAATGAAGAACTCCTCTTACTTGTTTGACTTTCTGTCCAGTTTCTATCATCCACATGGTGATAACAGATCCTGTACATGCACTGACCACCTACATAATAGAAAGAGGTGCTTAGTTTATAAATAAGAACCATTAAAAAAAAAAAAAGATTGGGCCCTTAATTCTGAAAAAATAAAATAATTTGTCTACAAAAATGACAGTTTTTGGTTTGTGAATTTTCATGTACCTGGTTAAACTTGCTGTTGTAAATGGCAGCAGTGACTGGATGTTCATGGCTCATGATTCTGTCTTTAACTTCAGGCTTCATCACCATCAGGGTCAGCTAACAGGTCAGAAAAAAGGGAAATTTTTTTAGAAAAGTTTTTTTTGAATATAATACTTTCAGCAGCCAAACTGTAGGCTTTGGGAAAACAAAAAGAAGAAAAAAGTGTTGCTGTTGATGGCAGCTTAATGCTTTGAATAAACCACCTTACCTCCTGTAAAAGTGGGCAACCTAATAAAACTGTGTTAATATACACAAAGCTTTGATAAATGGTTTCTAGTTACTTAAAAATGCTGTATATCTCATTTACCTGCTGATTAAAAGCTGTGAATAGTTTGCTGTGTTCTTCATCATAATACATTGTGATAGACACTGTAATGAAATGAGTTATATAATTTATATCAATTAGCTGGTGAATTTAGCATCCTAAGGAACTTCTGATACAATTGGTTTGGCACACATTAGTGTACAACTATTACCTGAAAGGGGTTCAATGAGAGTTTTATCTTTCCCCACAGATATTAAAAATAAATTACATGTACTAACTGGTAAATTAATTATAAATTACATGTAAAAACTGGCATGGTCTATTGATGTCATAGTTTGACTGAATAATTCATTTGTTTGGGAAATATGGAGACTTCTTAGCCTTTTGCTCCACTACCTGATTTAATTACAGTTCAAGCGAAATAATTTACTTAGTAGCAATACGATGAAAACTAGAATCAAGTTGGAGGTTTATTAGATCCGAATATACATGTAGAAAGACTACAAACTGTATGGAGATATACTGATCATGAGGAGGTCATTTCTGTCTCATGAATGAAACACAACTTTCAAGTACCAAATAACAAACCTCATCCAATAGGGCAATATATTTTGATGGTAAGCTGCCATTTAGTTTGCCTTACAAATTACAAACTACTTTTAAATTTCAATGACATATCTGTTGTTAATATGAGAAACACAAGTCTGTTACCTTCTGATGGACCTTTGGGAAACATTCCTGATAGACGCTGAAGACAAACTTGAAGGTGGGTGTCCCAGATCCGGAGAACCTGATTCATACAGGAAAAAGAACATGTCAGTTGAAGTACTCAGAAATGCACTTTTGAAAAAATTTTCTTTTATCCCCACTATATAAGACACTCAATGAGAACTTCATTAATTGTCTTGAAAAATGAATCTGTCCAATGATGTTGTTATGAACTAAAAAATTTTAAGATGAAATTTAGTGGCACTGAGTTACACAATGTGCTGATCACTCGACTACTATATAATACCTGTAAGTTCAACAGATAGCTTAACAACACAACAACATCGAGTAGATAAAATGAGTGATAGCTTACTTTGTCTTTTGACAAGCTGATGAGCTGGCCTCTTGTTTCAATGAATCTCACTGAAATAACACTTTGCATATGACCTCTGAGAACCTGAAAACACAACATCACAAAAATTAAGGCAAAGCGGTAATACTATACCACAAAACAATTGAGAATTCACAAAACAAAAGAAAGACAGACATAAAGGGTTTTTCTACAACATGGTGGCTTTTCCTCTTGCCATCAATAATACAGGTATTCACATTTTTTAGATACAATTGTCTGTTGAAGTTATCTGTTATCCTGGACCATTTTGCTACTTGGCCACATGACCCAGTAATTAGCTATCCAAAACACAACCAAAAGAAACTTTACCCCAACTGGTTTGGAGATGACATAAGGATTCCATAGGCACACATGATGATTGACTCCTGCTGTGGCTAAAAAAGGATAAGAGAATCCTTATAAACAGATTGTACCTAAGATAGGAACTTTAAAAAATGACTGAGATTGATGGAGTTATATTGTGTGAAATATTTTGAGCAAACTTCAACACAGGAATGAAGTACGTGGTCAGTAAAAAAACAAACAAGAAAAGCAACACAGGCAAAAGAAAATGAATAAGAATGGGAATTGTTGAGGATGGGTACAGATTAACAGGGAATATATAAAAGTCAACCTTAAAAATTATTTGTAGATAAGGGTTTCAAAATGTACAAACAACAAAGGAAAGTTCTCTAATAACAGTAAGCTTAGGTGTCTGTGTCATTCCAAGTGAATAGTAAAAGTACAGGTGCATTTTAACATTTTGAAATAAGGAATTTTTTTATTATCATCCAAAAACAAAGTGTGTGCTACATGAAATCAAGAAAGAGACAAAACCTCACCAATCAAGTTGATTCTTTCACTGTAGTCAAATGCATTCACACCTTGAGGGATCTTAAACTGTGTTCTATTAAAGGGAAATGAAATGATCAATTATGGCTTGTAACAATGTGTGATCTGACATTTTACAACACAAGTGATCTTCAAATAATTTTCTTGTCTTTTTAAGTGTTAATCATGACAGGATGGAAATCGAGTGCACTGTAAGTATCTCTCATTGTTCCTTATAAATCCTTGGAAAACTTTTCTAAGGATTTGTGAAGAACAACAGGAGATAGTTACAGTGCAATTGGTTTCTTTCCTGTCATTTGTCAGACACTCACGTTCTCATATTCATTTTGGATTTTTCTATCCATCCAAGCACTAGAGAGTTCTTGTAGTTGGTGGCACATGATATGAAGCAGTCCAAATGAGCTGAGTACATAACTGTAACAACAAGAAAACTGAGTTACATTTAACAGGTTCAATGTCCATTCTGTAAGTCACAGAGTGACCAATTAAGTTTTTTTCCACTCAGATTAATTGCCTAATCACAAAGCCCATGGGCCAGAAATCCAAGTGAAAAAAACAAGGTTCTGCTAACTTCAGTAGCAACAAAGAAAATGAGGTTAGTTCTACACGGAAATTGAGGGGAAAGATTTTAATTCAGACAAACTTTTGGATTTAGTGGGCTGTACAGTGAAATACAGCCTGTTTAATTGACCATTCCTGACAACATACTAATGCTAACTGAGAGATGCACATCAGTCATTCTGCACATCTTTTTCTGGTCATAACTTGACTGTTGTTTGGTTGCTTGCAGTTTCCATTCATTCAATAGTTTTATTGCATGCTCACTGTTTTCCTCAGGGCTTCTAGTTTCCTTCAACTTACCTTGTCTTGCCCACTCTGTGTGTCCCTGATGCTTCACAAATCTTGCATTCTTGTAGTGACCTCTATTTACATCATTAATATTTACATTCAAACAAACATCTGCAAAAAATTGGTAGTAGACATAGAGAAAATACATCTAGATTTCTGTAACATGCTGTAATATTGTAGTATGTGTAACTACCAAAGAGAAAAATGCCAGAGACTAAACATACTGCAGGTATCAACCAGCGAAATTTGAAATTGCCACTTGCCCTTTGATCCCTAAGAGTGACTAGAATCTTATTTCTCCCAACAATATCACTCCTTAATCACACATTATGGTCATGAGAATATCAGAAATGATCACATACACAAGAAGTGCAACAATGTTAAACAAATTCTCCTTGCCAGTATCTTAGGAATTGTTTGGAGAACAATATGGAGAATATACATGCTAATCAATGAGAGGGTAGTAAAGATTAATAACTCTTTCTGGTCAGCTACTTGTCTGGGAACACAAAGGAGAAAAATTCAGCCATCATTCTAAGCAGAAGTTACTTGCAGACTACATCAACACTTCATCAAACAGGAAAATGCTCCACCTTGTTTACTTCCTGCTGGTTGCGATGGTCGATCAAACAAAGCCATTGTCGCTGCTGAAAACAGCAGTGCATTAACCTGGCCATGAACATCTCCATAAACAAGAATTGCTTCATTTGTTTTGTATGGGTTACTCCTGTTAACAACAAAATTATGATTGAAATTAATAACCAACCCATTGTGTACACCAGGTTTGCTATTCATGTGGTATGTAATTTAGCCCTTTAACTTCCAGATCAAATTTGTAATTCTCCTTACTGTCAACAGTAGAATTCTTATAATGTGAGTTCAGAGAATCTAGTATTGGATCAACTAATTATCCCCAAATTGTATTGATATTGTAAGGAGAAATTCTGTCTTGGTCACTCATGGGAGTTAAAGGGTTAAAGACAATTCTTCATAACAAAATGTAAACATAAAATTTAGAATAAAATTACTTCCAATCATTTGAAATAAATTGAGATTACTGGTAACTGTAAGACACAAGTACTTTTATTAAAAATTAGCTAAATTAAAGTTAACTTTTATTAAAAATTAGCTGAATTAAAGGACATACCAGTAATCCATACACAAAGGTGTATGTTCCAGGCCTTGTATTCTGAACTGGCAGTTGAATTCTGATTTGGAACTTAAGTCATAAATGGCTGAAAAAATAACCAGGCGATTTGTTGAACTTCACAATTTACTTTCATCATAAATTGGAGCAATTGATAGCTATGGCATATATACATTCAAGTATATTTGATAAAGTGATGTCTCAAAGGTCTTTTCTATCTGTGTGTATCATTCATCTGGCAGTGATAAGCTCAGAAACTGTGGTGTTGCTTCAATGGAGGATGTTACAACATAAGTTTGGTTTCATCAACTGAGTTGATAAATGTAAATTTGCCATGGTAAAGAGTTTCTAAAGCTAATGTTTTAAGCAGTGGTCCTTCATTAGAGCAAAAGCTCAGGCTTACACAACTTGCATGAATAATATGATCACATAAATATACACATCTTGTTGATAAGGAAAAAGTGTTACTACTACTGACTATTGTGATGCAATATCATGATTCCATTGACCATTGACAAGCCTGTCTAGTTCAGATATTGAGATACACCTACCCACTCTATCAGTGATTACATGTATTTATGATTTGTCAGTATTATAATTTATTGTGTTGATTCAGCATCGTCAGACAGAAACACATGTATACTGGCTGTGTTATGCTGATTTGATCTTCACTTATCTTACCAATTTCTTTGCTTGTAAGAGCAAGAGCCAGTTTGTAAATATTTTGCATTGGTATAAAGTCTGTCACCCACAGATCTCTTTGTTTTACTTCATCTTGATCAGTTTGGACCTGGCAAGAAATGGATATTTATTTGACTCTATGAATTTTTTTTAAAAATTTTCAGCATAAATTAATTAACTCCCAAAGGGAGGAGTTCATGACATAAGACAGTGAAAGCTGCATGTCCCTCTAACAAAATTAAAAGAAAATATAAAAGAGGAGCTCTTGGAACCCTCCTTACCTGTACAGTTCTTAATGGCTTCATGTTCTGTGCCCAAAGGGATATTACTCCTTCCTGTAAAATTATAGAAGACAAAAAAAATGTCAATTAAATGATTGACAGCCAGATCACTACCTCTAGAATTTCTGGTAAGTGAATTGGTAGCCATGAAAGTGTTTGTGGAGACTTACTGAGACAAGTGAAAGAGGTACACTATGAGTTGCACATATACACAGTTCATCTGGTAGTAGTACATGCTTGGTTTCAGTATTGCATACCTCCTATTAATCAGGTTCAAGGTTCCTACTGTAACTTACAGACCAAGCTTCTTCCACACGGATATAGGGCCCGAGCATGAAGCACATGGGCCATAAATCTGAGCAGAAAAAACCAGGTTTTGTAACTTACAGCACAGACTGTAAAATATTTATCATATCTCTAAGTTACAATCTGGTGACCAAAACAAACTTTTAAATTTAGCAGGCTGTACAGTAAATATGTCCCGCCAAATTGACCAATCGTAGCGTATACACTGACTCATAGATATAATAAATATTAAAGAACATTAGTGTCATTACACCAGTATTTAAATGTAAAGACCAGGATGCACTGTGCATTGGTAGAACTGAAAATGAGTGACTGAAAAGGAATTCAAAGGAACTGACAATTCTTTCCTTCAATGTACTTGTTGGCAGAGAAATATGTATTTGCTCTTTGTAGAAGACAACAGTTGCTTACCTTACTAACTACAATGTATCTTGATGGATTCATCAATGGAGATATTCTAATAACAGGTTCCTTGTGAGGACTGGAATGTTGAAAATAAAATACATTTTTCTCTTAAAATAATATACATTATACATCTTGAGGATACATCTAAAGCTCTATAATCAAAACAACTTCGGAATTTTGTGTTGTAAAGTCAGTGTGTTGGTTCACAAAATCAAGAAAGCTGCTCTGTACACGATTAAAGTTTTTAACAAAAATTAAACAACTTTCAACCTTGTAATATTCCTGAGTTCTCGCCATTGAGGAACCTGTGAAAATCAAGAAGGGCAAAGACAAAGTTAAGGGCTAAACTGAAATTTTGGAAACAGAAGCTTTTGTTATACCAGTAATTTTTAGTGGCTATTTTTTCCTATCTGAGGCAAAAGAAACACTTGTAACTGAAAACAAACTTTATTGCACAGATTTCACATCCTAGAAATTCTCTGAAGGAGAACTCTTTGCAAAAGATAAAATTAATCATATCTCAAAAAGGCTTAATATACCTACTTTCAAAGCCAATAACTTTTCCTGGCCTCACCTGGATTATTAAACCTGATTGCTTATCAATAGACAATACCCAGTTTACTTAGATCCAATGATTCCAATTTATACTGAGATCATAACTCCCTTGTCTGACCTCAGTTGCTCCTCAAGTAATTTTTCATTGGCCATATTCAGCAAATTTATCCACAAGAAGGTTTCTGAGTAGACAGGGTCTAGCCAGTTTGGGCCATCAAAAGGAAAGCCATGATAAAACCAGGATTAAAGGCATGCTAGCTGGTAAAGCATCCCAACCCAGGTCATGAAATCACTACCTTTGGAGAGATAGAAACCTTTGGGGTGTAGGGAGTGGAACCTGGCGCTACCCGAACTCTGAGCCAAGAGAAGGTAAAATTAGTTCCAGTTAATGAGGAGTTCAAGTTTACCAGACAAGTTTGAGTTAATGACTGAAAAAATGGATTCAAATCCATGGAAAATTGCATTTTGTTTGAGACGGAGCAAACTTTTAGTAAAATGAGTTAGATTAGTTAGCAGAATTCTACAGTATGTACACAGAAGAATAAAAACATGCTCCTTACCTGAGTAGTTTTCATCCTATCATCTTTTTCATAGTATTCTAGCAGCATATGAGAGCAAAATTTGTCCCAGTCAACATAACCTTCCTTTCCCACATCAACTTTGTTAAACAGATCTTCATATTCTTCTCTTGAACCTTTGTTGAGCACAATGGAGAGAATTTCACAGAACTGATTCACATCCAGGCTGAGTTCACGTTCGTGGCCTGATTGGTTTATCTAAAGTAATCACAAAAATTATAGTCCAGGTTTTGCAATTATTTGTGCTTCTGGGCCATGCTGTTTACAGGGTGGAAAAAAATCCTATCCAGTTGATAAGTGCTCAAAAAATGTACTGTACTAACCACCAAATAGACATATCCACCCTTTAGAAAACTAGAGTCTGGATTTCAGGCTATGCATCAGAAACTGATAGACTTTGGATATGGAGAGTTATAAAAAAATACAATTTCGCACATACAAAGCATTATTCTACTATTTCATATGATATAACAAAATAACCCGTACCATGAAAGCATCCTGGACTGCTTTCAAGTCGTGCATTGTCAGCCTGTTGACCAGTTTATAACCACCATTGAATGTTGTCATCTTTGGATCAATTTTCCTGTGTAAGAGTATACAATAAATTTATATTGTTATCAATAAAGTAGATAATTATACATACTAACTTCACTTAAATTGTAAGATTGTATCTTTTATACATATTATATGGATGAATATAAAATAAACTGAACAATGCACCTATTTCAACACGGTCTTACTTATGATCTATTGAAGGACAGTCACCTAAATGACATTACCAATGACAAAATTTCCTTTTTTTATCAGTCATACAAGACAAATAGATTCTATGCTGCCGTGGGTTTAACGGGGTAAAATTTCTGCACAGCCCCACACTATTGTAAAACAAATCCGTTTTCCCAATGGAAATGTATTGTTTTTGTCATTGTTTTCTCTATCCAAGAACTGAATGCATAATGTAGGATGGGGCTGTGCGGAAATTTTACCTTTAACGGTAGTATATGATAGAAGACGTCAAAATGTGGTAAGAACATCAGTGAAACACTCAGCTGCACCTCGTGAGCTACTTTTTTTGTTTTCACCACAATTTGACAGCATCAGTGATCGATTACAAAACAGACGCATAGCACCATTGAATCTATCTGTAAATAAATGCAGTGGATATACAGACAATCGATGAATTTCACGTGAAATTTAAGGTTATTTTATCGCACATATACAGGTATCATATGGAAAAATCGAATAAGTTTAGACTGGAGTTTAATTAAATCTAAATAGCATTCGTGCAAACTTCTAATTTGGCTTCGATAAATCTCCCGATGCAGTCGATACTTATTTACTACACGAAAAAAGAAAAAATTGGTTATCCTTTAAGGCATCTGTGTGAACTAGAAGAAGTCAAATGGAAATAAAGAGGAAAATATCTATCAAAATTCTAATGTAAACAGATTACATTGTAAATCGATCTGCAGTTGTGCTTTTGGTGTCAGAACTCTCTGGAGGTTGTACATAAATTTGAACTTATTGTGCAAACCTTTCATTGTTCCCTTCCTGAGTTTGCTCGCCATTTGTTAAAGCGACGGATGAATCTTCTCCTCTGGGTGATTTCGACATGATCTCGAAAATTCAAGGGCAGATGACATTAGTGATCTTTCGATCAATTCTCGCCGCCATATTCTATCAACAAGAAACCACAAGAAACCATAGCAATCACAACTAGTGCCAGTCCAAATCGGTGATCTATCCTGTTGGTCGTTTCCAGTGTCCCGTCGGTCACGTCAGCCAGGCAACAAGTTGAGTTGAGTAGCCTGAAAATGCTACAACTCCTGGAAGTCGACACTCGCTCAGGGCAAACATTATTCGCACCAAAAACTGATCGCCAATCGTTGATAATACAATAAAAATAACTAAAGTATTGATAGTCATAATTATTGTTAATATCGCTAAAAGTTACATGAAGAATTTGTGTGCTAACTGAGTCTTGGAAATCAGATTTTGAAATAGAAGCGGCTGACGATGGAATACATTTAATTCCTTATTGTATTTGCCAGATCTGTAAATATCAACCGGCTAAATTCATCGTTTTCGTATATCTAAGAAATGCTCCATATATTTCGCAGAGAGAAATTTTTCTCCGTTCCAGAGAAGATTTAGAAAGCAATCAAGACATACTGCAATGGTTTTCGAGAAAGTGACAACTTGCCCCTTCTAATGAGCTCTGGCTACAGAAAAATTATTGTTTATGAGTTCATTGTTGATGAGTTCACCATGCCGTGAAATTATGTAAGGGAAGATAAGTAATGCACTTTGCTCTGAAATGCGCTTCAGGCGTAGAGGAAAGCCACACTGAACATCTGAGGACTTTGCCGCTTTTTATCCTGCCGCATTTTGCACATTACAACATTGTTACCTGTAAGACTGGAATAAAGACAGGTCCAACTAAGGTTTCTATCGCTGTTTAGTTTTATGAGATCCATGGTCGAGTCCGCAATTTGCATCATAATTAAACACGTGAACAGATTTTGAAGATAAAAATCAGTAACACCGCCTCGAAAGCTCCCCCTACGAATAAAAATACGCCAATTTTTATTGAGCATGCATTAACTATACGAAAATAATGTACAGGAACGCCATACTGAACATTTGAGGGCTTGACCGGTTTTTTCTAAATACAACATGGTTTTTTGTAATATTAATTAATGACTGGCCGGGCCAAATAGTTAAGTATATTTCATCACCGCATTTCCTCAATCAAATCATTGTTTCAGTCTAACGAGATTTGCAGCGAGACGCGTCTGAAATCTGTACCGGCCAGATTTTCCGGGTATGTATTAGTAGTGAACATTGGTCATTACGCGCCTCATTAATAAATGTTAAAACATTAATAAAATAAAAATTTCAGGTTCAAGTTGTTCAACCGTGTGTGATTTCGAGTAGTTTCAGACTTCCTATCGTTCAGTACTACCACTGCCTTGTAAATATTCTGATTTTAACATGACAGTTGACAGTTTACATATAAGCAAATACTGTAGGATATACAAAAGCATGTAAATAAGGTGATACCGTAGCTATTTCATAGTGAACGCAAAGTCAGTGCAGAGTAATCATCCGATTATAACCACAATTCATCTGAATTCATTGACTGGCCTGCAAGGTCAAGTAAAAGATACTCACCAGTTCCGTTTTAAATAGAACTTACCCAACGAATTTCTTAAATTTTACTTCTTGGAAGTCAGAATTTTGAAAAAGAAGCGGAAGGTCATTACGCTCATTTTAAGAACAACGATTTATCCATGGAATACATGTAATTTCATGATACATACTGAGAGTTTCACGACGAAATCTGTTGTCTCAAAACCCAGTTCACAGCTGTTTACAGCCAATCAAACCAGAGAAACGACAATTTCACGTGTAGAGAAAACGTTTCGTCCAATCACGAAGAATTTGTCAGAAGTACTGGGTTTTCGCACCTTCTCCTCTTCCTGCCCCTTTAGTTTACTTGAAACTTAGCTTCGTCGTTGGTTGTGTAAACATTTTGAAAGGGGTTCGGAGTTCTGTAGTCAAGTTTATTTCCTAAAGTTAGCTTTCTGAGATGGCCGAAACCTCAAGTTTACGATTTCTTGTCTTAAAAGAGCCCGTAAATGAGTTTTTTCAGGAGCAGGAAAACAAGAACACGCTATCAGTTCTCAGGGAAGATCTAAAAGCAGTAGAAAATGACAACTTGCTCCCGAGTTTTGGTTACAAAAAAATGTCGACAATTTTCAACGAGCATGCGTAGATTACCTTTCCGTGAAACTATGTACAGGAGGATAAGTAACGCATTTTGTTTTCAAATGCGCTTCAGGTCTCTAGGAACGCCATAATGGACATCTGAGGGTATGGCCGCCTTTACCCTACCGCATTTTTCAAATTACACCATGGTTATCTGTGATTTTAATAACGAGCTGAGTCAGACTAACTTTGTCACCTATAGCTAGTTCCTCAATCAAACACTATTGTTTCATTTTGACATGATACTCAGTAAGACGCTTCTGCAATTTGCACCACTATCAATACACATTTATGAGTTTTAAGATGAAAACTATCACTTCGCCTCAGAGTGGATCTAACACACACTGTTTAAAACGTGTACTGAAGAATTGATGCAGAATACGTGATTACCGTCCAAAGACCAAGCGAAGATCATGTCACAGACCGTACCAAACCTCTTGGGATAGCATTCACTTATAGTTAGTTTGACATAACAACAACAACAACAACAACAGCATTTATTTAAACACGATAAAAAATTCAGCAAAAGCTGATTTAGATCTAAATAACTAAATCCAATAAAACTAAATTCTAATAAACAATGTCAACAATAAAAATTTTTTCAATAAGTGTAGTTTGATCGTCCGGGCGTCAACGTCTTGTGGTTGATTTTCCAGAGCGAAGGATTGTTGTATGAGCATGCACCATATCGGTCTTAGGACTGAAGGATAACAATGTTGTAATTTTTAAAGTTTGAGCGGGTGAATGGTCCTTCTTCAGAAGTCAAGTCTTCATGAATAGTTGTGGTCAGTCAAATGTTCTCAGTCCGGTTTGTATAATTGCTTCGACTGCCACGCTTCCTACATCGGAGAGACTGGCAGAAACCTCACAACAAGACTGACTGAACACAATCAAGCGACGAGGAATAGGAAAGCTGACGTCAACAATCACTTTACTGAGCATCACCAACTCATATCGAATAGGACTCTGCCTAGCCTACAGCACTAACTACTTTCAACGACTGACTCTGGAAAGCTGGTTTACTAACTTAGAGCAGACTCCCCTCGACAGGTGTCATCCGCTACCGGCACCATACACGACATACACATTACAAACGAACCGAACAGAACGACCTCGTTAACTTTACCGACGGATTGAGACCTACCCACCACGACCGACCTACGCCACTTGAGTCTTACAGCCAATAACATCGCCGCAAAACTGACCAATCAGTTTATACGAACCGGACTTAGAAGATTCGACAGACAACTGCTACTAACTTAACTATGATGATGACTTCCACTCAGGTTGTCAAACATCAGTCACCACTACCGATAACAGTCCTCCTCAGGACTACACTCACCCGGACGATCAACCTACACTTTTGCATGTTACCCACGGGTTCAAACCATTTACTGAATGTTGTATACGTAATAAGAAAAACGCGGCAGGACAAAAGCGATCAAGCCCTTGGATGTTCAGTTTGACGTTTCTGGAGACCTGAAGCAAATTACAGAGCAAAGTGCATAGCTTATCCATCTGCACATAATTTCATGTACAGTTCACGCATGCTCATTAAAAATTGTTGACTTATTCTTTGAAGCGATAGCTCCTTTGAAGGGGCGAGTTGTCATTCTCTGGAAATACCATTACAGCGGCATAAGATTGTTTTCTAATTCTTCCTTGGAACTGAGAGAATTTCTCTCCGTGAAATATATATAACATTATTTTAAAACCCTGCGAAAACGATAAATTTAGCAAATTGATATTTACCGATATAGCTGAAAGAGAAGAGAAAAGATGGACTTGAGGGAAAGCCTGGTGTCAAGAAGAGAAAAAAGAAATCCAGGGTCACTTGGTAAAAATGGTGCCCTTGGAATGATGGGAATAAAAGGAGATAAAGGTCATGAAGGGTCACGTGGTAGCAGTGGACCGCCAGGAATCAAGGGTGTGAAAGGAGAGCAGGGATCTAAAGGAGAGAAAGGAGAAATCGTGAATAGTGCAGTGCCACAGACCAACTGGAAACAGTGTGTGTGGAAAGGAGAAGATAATTAGGACAGTGGAAACGTGAAAATAAGGAAATTTTTAAGAAGATCTTCAACTGTTCAATTTATTCCTTACATTATCATTATAAGAAATTTCTCTGCACTAAAAATGTTTTCTTCTTGTTTTCCACCCAAGCTGCGTATATTTTTTTCTTTCCAGAGACCTATTTTTGCTCCCGGATTTTCCGGGATTCCTGGATCGAATGGCATACCTGGAATGCCGTGAATTACCGGCGCCCCGAAGGCGGCAAGGACCACAGGAAAGAGATGAAGCTAAGGATGAGCCTGGTGTCTAGGGACCGTAGACCGTGGCGCACCTGGAATGATAGAATTCAAAGCAGATAGAGGTAAAGAAGGTTCACGTGGCAGATGCTTTAGAAACTCTCTACGCTGGTCAATTTACATTATCAATTCAATTGATGAAACCAAATTATCTCTTAATACCCCTCACCGACGCAGTACCACAGTGACACAATTACCCTCTTTAAATATCTAGGGGCTTGGCTGCCTTTTCCTGCTGCATTTTGCTGATTAAAACACTGTTATCTGTAGTATTTAAAAAAGGAGACAAGCTAAATAATGTCATCACCTATTTCCTAAATAAACAAGTTATTACGCCAGTTTAATTAGATGCTCAGTAAGATAAGTATTTGAACGTACGGGGGAAATAGCTTGAACAAACTGAGTGGAAGGTACCATGAATCTTGGATCTAAAAGTCTTCTTTTTTTACGTAACATGTCTTGCTGCTACAACTCTCGCCCAAGCTAACTACAATCACCAAAAGATATCCAAAGATATTCTCACTTGGTTGTGTTTTCTTAACCTTGGAAGTTGACACCACACCTGTGTTCTATGCGAGATAGCGGCACATTAGACTGTGTGAAATATAATCTGAAGCATTGAAGGCTCACATTCTAGAGATAAAGTCCCTTATCCGAAAACAGAAACAGATGTGACCCTTACACTGATAAATAAAAAACTTTTGGTCTTGTAGATAAATGAAACACCTAAATTAGTGGTAATTATAAAAACATCATTTTCGAGAACATACCAAAAAGAGACACAAATATATCGTTCTTAATTTAAACTTCTCAAAGGCGAGTTTGCAATTTGTACCATTAATACAAAAAAAGATTTTCCAGATGAAAATATATCTCACCGCCTCAATATAAGTATGAATACCGTAATCGACCAAAGAACAAATAAACACGATATCAGGCGCTTCAGAGTTCGCAGAAACGCTCTCCTAAACATCAAAGGGCTTGACCGCTCTTATCCTGCCGCAGTTTGTCAATTACAACGTTGTGATCTGCGATATTCAAAAGCGTGAATGGCACATTGTCACAGACCAACTGGAGACAGTGTGTGTGGAAAAATCTGCATGATGATAGAGATCGTGGAAAGATTATGGAGCAGAAATATCCAGAAAATGCAATGAAAAATAAATTAAGTGTTGGAGCCAATTTGTCACGGCCATCTCTGAAAAAGACTTTTGAGAAATGCCGCCAAACTAAAAATATCAATTAACAATTCTGTGCATTCAAGGTCATCATCAAATTATTCCTTATAAGACATGTTTTTTTTCCACTGAGCCTGTCTTCTCAGCATATTTTATACGATTGCTCATTTAACAAGCTGTAGTCTGATACAGCTATTAAAATTTTCATTCCAGCGAGATAGCGGCACACAAGACTTTGTAAAAAATTTTCTAAAGCATTGAAGGCTTACATTCTAGAGATAAATTCTGTTAGCCAACAACAGTAACAGATGTGACCCTTGCGCTGACAAAAACCCTTTCAGTCTTGTAGAATAGAAACACCAAAAATAGCGATAATTAGCAGAAACATCACTTTCTAGAACATACCAAAAGAGACACAAAAATGTCGCTCTTAGTTTTTAGTACACAACAAGCGCCTACAATTTGTACCATTGATACACAAAAACAGATTTTAGAGATGAAAATACATCTCACCGCCTCAATATAAGCATGAATACAGTAATCGACCATAGAACAAATAAACCTGATATCAGGCGCTTCAGAGTCTGCAAAAACGCTCTCCTGAACATCTAAGGGCTTGACCGCTTTTATCCTGCCGCAGTTTGTGAATTACAACACTGTTATCTGTGATATTTAAGAGCGGGTCAAACCGACCAATGCCATCATGGGTGCCGCTACGAGCCACTTTTTTGCCGGGGGGAGGGGGGTGAGGGAGAGGAAGTGAACCACTCGCTCAAAAAATTCTCGCAAGTTGCCCAAATTTTTATGAAACAGTCGAAGGGAAAGAAGGGTCATACGATAAACTAACATAGGCCTACATACGAAATGAATATATTCTTTCCTATCAATCTATCACGAGCCCATAACACACGTTAAAAGAAACATAAAGCTGTCTCTGCCATTTCGACGACCGAAGATATCAATGATACGATCCATTGCTGACTACAGAGTTGGCATATGCCCTTTGAAAGTTAATAAGTGCGATGCCGTTACCGATACTTTGTTGCTCCATGGTGCTGCAGAGGTAACTTTTAATCTCCGCAATGCACCAAATGATCGTTCTGTAGTGGGTGTCAATGCAACGATATGTATTACTTTATTCGGAAAAATGTGAAAACGTATCAAATAGAACCTTTTCCTGTATTGCCATTAGCAATTCGGAAACAGTCGTGTGACCTAATCCGCGCACACGACGAAAGCTCGCGTACCTCTTCTGCTCAGTTTCCAGAATCCCACCGTCGATTTTGTAACATTTATCAACGCTGGAGCTTTCTTTATCTGGTGTTTCACAGTAACACATATTTTCCAAAGCACATATTATTTCTACTAAAACCTGGGCTCAAGCTCGGTCATCACCTTGTTGAAGGACGCGTAGTAAGTGTTTATATGGTGGTGCGATTCCACTGTCAGCCGCGTTTGTCTTTGCACGTGATCACCCACAAGGTCTTAAAGGCTGTGCGATGGCGTTTGTCTGAGTACCCTGGTTTCTTGTAATTCAAACTGAGAATTGTTCAACCACTCCTTAACTTAAAGACCCATTGCTAAAACTATCTGCAATACGCTGTTGGAACCTTCTTCACTACGACAGTGGCGTAGGCTCTGAATGGTTATGTCGGCATTTCTACGAGTGGAATGACGTCGACCGTCTTCGCCTGAAGATATCAGCACAAACTACAAGTGTTGCTCAGAATTGCTCTAAACACACAGTCCGGAGATTAATTGAACTGGCTTTACCACGCCGACTTAAGCTCAAAATAAAAAATTCTTTCAAAGAAAAAAAAGAAGAAACGAAACATGGAAACTTTTGTAAAAATTTGGTTTGCCCAAATTTCTCGTTACCCCAAACATCTGAGTTGCCCAAAATTTGGAGGGGCGGGGGGAGGGGGTGTGTTTCAGCCCCCCCAGCCCCAATGGCACGTACCCCTATGGGTGCTATAACCTTTTTTTTCAGTTAAATAATGGAGTAATAATAATGGAGTGGATCCAATAACATGGATACTGAAATCGAGCTAAGGACAAATGAACATCATATCACAGACCATATCGAACTTTTTTGGCTTCTCAATATATCACGTTTGATCATGAGGAAGATTTTGTGGCCCAGATTTTTCTGCGTTATTTCTCTGAATCTGAGTGAAACATTGGTCCGTTGGTCAGTACGTGCTTCATCAGTGAACTGATAAGGATGTCACAGTCAAGTTGTTTACCCGGTGTGTGAGTTCGAGTAGTTTCAGACATCCTTATCGTTTAGCTCCAGGCTTCTTAATTAAGATTGTTATTTAACATGAGAACTGACAGTTGCATTTGATGAAATTCAGTAGGATATAAATAGGCGCGTACATAATGAGATATATATTTCAGTCATAGAACACGAACTATTCGCGCAAAGTAACCATCGAAGTATGGCGAAGCTTCTGATCCTTGCTACTTTGTTATTTGTCTCATTCAAAACAGGAGGAAGTTCCGTGGGAACAACCACCAGTCCTCAGCAACAGAATCCACAAACTGGTGCTGACAAAGACCCATGTGAGGTACTGTTAAGCATGCTTTATCTGTCATACCTCAGTTTACCCCTCATGTCTGCCAAGTTAAGCACAAAAAACCCTTATCAATCATAAGTTTTCAAAGACAAAGTAGAACATTGCTGAATTAAGTTTCTTTTAGGGATATCCCTACGTATACAACGTTACGAGATCATTCGATGTTCCGAGCTGTTTCTCCTAAAATGAAGCTAACTTCTCATCAAGATTAGTTTCTGAAGAAACTGCTGTGCTACTTCGGCGAACAAGTAAATATCAATGAGCATAAAGTACATCCATCAAATTACAATATGTTCTTTTTTCTTACTCAGAAGTCCATTTTTGCTCACCGATTTTATGGCATTCCAGGATCGAATGGCATACCAGGAATGCCGGGAATTCCTGGCGCCCCAGGGCCGCAAGGACAACAAGGAAAAGATGGTGCTAAGGGGGAGCCTGGTGTCAAGGGACCGAGAGGTATGCCGGGAACAAGAGGACTAAAAGGAAATCCAGGGTCACTTGGTAAAAATGGTGCACCTGGAATGATGGGAATAAAAGGAGATAAAGATCATGAAGGGTCACGTGGCAGCAATGGACCGCCAGGAATCAAGGGTGTGAAAGGAGAGCAGGGATATAAAGGAGAGAAAGGAGAAATCGTGAATAGTGCAGTGTCACAGACCAACTGGAAACAGTGTGTGTGGAAAAATCTTGATGATAATAGAGATAGTGGAAAGATTAAGGTACAGAAATATCTAGAAAATGCAATGAAAAATAAAGTATTAGAGCCAATTTGTCATGACCGTCTCTGAAAAAGGCTTTTGAAATATGCAGCTGAACTAGAAATATCAATTATCAATATTCTATGCATTCTTGCAGGCTGCAAAAGTATAAGGTCATCATCAAGTTATTTCCTGTAATACTCTTATAAAACATTTTTTTTGGCAGTAACACTGTATTCATGGCATTTTTTATAGGATTGCTCATTCAACAAGCTGCAGTCTGATACAGCTATTAAAGTCTCATTCCAGGGAAATACACAAGTCTATGGCACTTCTTCTAGATGCAACCGGTGGTTCTTCAAAATTAATGGAAATGAATGCAGTGGACCAATGACAATTGAGGCTGTTGTGTACAACAGCTGGCCATCTGGGAATCCTCAGCTGCTTCATCACAGATCATTTGAGGGATACTGTGAAAATATTCCACAGGGCAGGGTTACTGTGGAGTTATGGGTAGGAAAGTGTTCCAGTGGTCATACACTGGGTGATGCTCGCACTGGATGGCAATCAGTATCCCGGATAATGATAGTGGAAGTGTCTAGAGCCCAGTCCTAATCAGCCCTGATATCTTCACTTGAGGACTGGAGTAGAATATTCTCTTTTCCATTCATCCTTTATTCTAGATTTCATGATTTTCTCACATTTTCCATACCACCCAATAATTAAAGTTATATCATATATCACGAGTACTATTTTCTATCACCTTTTTTTCAGTATCTTGAAAAATAGTCTTGAAACCCTTTTAAAACATTTAATGAAAACAAGAGATTTGTTGCAAGATCCCAATTTGAAGGAAAAATATTTATCACTGAATCTCCCAACTAATTCAATATTTTAAAATTGAATTATATTCACAATTAGTTTCTTTTTATGGAAATAAATTTGATCCATCCTGTTTGTTCTGGAAAGTCCTTTGGATCTGGGGGTACATCTGGAATTTCCTTCATATAAAATGTAAAAAGAAAATTTCAAAGGGACAGTGAGCACAGATTGCCCAAGCTCATAACAAGAGTATCTATTCTTTTAGTCAGGAGATGAGATTTATATTGGCGGTTTCATTAAGCAAACATAACTTTTGCCTTGAGGAAGAAGCCTGTTATATCAGAGAGTTTTAAAGAAATTTAAAAGTTTTAGTGAGCAAAGTGAGGAATTATTGTGGATTGTAAGAATTCATGACTATAAAATAAACTCCCTTTGTTTAAATGCTTTGTAAATTGTCCTATACTTGATCTCACTCATCAAATCTGAATCCAATTTGGTAGGTTAATAACACATATTATTCCCATTTTCCTGTTTAATCCTTACTCATTCCCCGTCCTTAGTCACTAATTATCACATAGGGTAGAGAAGAATTCAGTTGGAAGCTGATTGCATACTTTATTTGACAGAATCAAAACTTTTTCAAAACAATTTTGCCCCCTTTCGATCAGGGTTTCCATGCCTGCAAGTGGAAAATTTCTGCTAACAAAGAGCTTCAAGTAAAAATGGCAGCTCCAATTAATTATGGACAATCAGTGAAACCTACAATCAATTCCAACAAATGATTAATGTGAAATTTCTCTCCATAATTCCACTGCATCAATCAGTAAGCAAATCATCAGAATAATTTAACTCCTCAGATACAAGATACAACTCTTAATTCTCTTAGCTTTTAAACAAATATTTTATATTGCAGCTCAGGAGAATAAAAAAAACACAAATCTTGAAAATAAAGAGTCAAGTTTCTGGACTGCAAACAAACAAAAATAACTCGGCTGATCTTTCAGACCAGTTATTTTTAGAGGTGCAAAAAATTTTAAAAGGAAACTTTGCTGAAATGTAGGTAAATCAAAGAGTAAGTTTTTTCAGTCAGGATCTATTATCTCCTAATTGTTCATGAATCATAAAATAAACACAACAAAACAACTTCACCAGATTTGGTCTGTAGTACAAGTGCACCACCTGACTTCCTGCCAGGTAAGTTGCTGAACTGACTGCAAAGAAAGTTAAATATTGAGGCCACGATACCCCAGCAGGCATCCTCAACATCTATGGTTCTACACTCTGCTGTTTATTTGTGTTTTCTTGTTCTTGTTTTCTTCTTTCTAGACATCTTTCTGACTCATTCCTGACACAAACTTCATCTGTAGGACATACAAGTAAGAGGTTTGATCTTCATTTGTCTACTTTTTGGTTAATGTTTTCACTCCCAAGATCTCATAAGTAATCCTCTTTACTGTCTGTCATACAATTCTTGTGATGTGAGTTTGGAAAACTTGGCATTGGATCAACTAACAATTGCTAATTGATATTTTGATATACCTGCATCACTTTTCTGCTTAACACTGAAGTGATATTGTAGAGAGAAACTCTGTTTTGGTCACTCATGGGACTTAAAGGGTTAGCAAATTATTTTAACAGAACTGATCATTTCCATGTATCCTTTTGCATCAGCTGATTTATTTTTTGACCAAATCTCTCTCAAAGATAATTTAAAATTGAAGGAGACACTTACAAGATTTTTAGAAGAAGATTTTCCCACCTAGCAATACCAACGTTTCTGATGGTGGCTGGATTCCTATACTTTAAAACAAAGCCGTAGTCCTAGAGACAGTTTACTCTTTTCGCCATTATTTTCATTATCCAAGTACTGTATGCATAATGAAGCATGGAGCTGTGCGGATATCTAACCCAGTAACTTTCTGACCACGAAAGAAAAAAATCATCAGCCGCCTTTCAAAACTGCAAGCGATCCTCATGCGGCAAACGAAGTCTTATTATTCAAAGTGGACGTAAATAGTTCATATGGAGAATTATACAACAAAAATGACCCACTTGTTCGTTCTATTGATAAGGCTTTGATAAATAAAAAAACAAACAAATATAAAAGAAGACAGTACTTTTACCAGATCAACGTACACATTTAATAGTTAAGCTCACTTACAAAAAGTTCCCTTTCCAATGCGAACCTTCATCATAAAAGACTCAATTCCAGCCTCCATGTTGAAAGTCAGCACATTTGAAGTACCAAAACCTTCAACTTTTTACCGCTGGTAACTTTACTACGGGCGCATAGCTTTTAAGAACAGTAAACTCATGGATTTGGTGGGTCGCCTCATTTAAGGTAATCCAGGACAGTATTAGATTCTGAATTCCACTTTAAGGATTCCAGATTCCAGGTACTGGATTCCGGATTCTACCCCTGCAGATTCCAGATTCCATCTCAAATTACTTTTTTAACTTTCCTTTTAAACAAAGACTAAATTGAGGAGAAATTTCAACTACTGAAATACAATTTTCATAACAGCCTGTGTATGTCGCAAATAAATCGCAGACTGTACTAAGAAAGGCTTGTTTTCTTATATGTAATTGGCGATGATGTTCGACATTGGAATCCGGTCGTTTCGATACAAAGTCGTTTCCATACAAACTCACGTTACTCTTCAAGTCGTTTCAATACAGAATACTATACTATATATAAATGACCAAACGAACCTTCAAAGACATACTTACTGGAGCGAACACAAACCTCCGTTGTAAATAAAACAAACTCCTACCTCCGCGAACCTCCACATGTACCCAAGCCTCCTACGCAATGAGAACACGCAAACGAGACTAAGTTTTCGCTAAGTTTATTTATGGAGAACACAGCTTTTTATAAATACATTTGAGACTTCTTCTATAACTCCAACGCATATTATGCATGTTATGCTTACGATTAAGGAACAGAAATACTGTAATGTCGTGTAAGTCGGTGATGCAACGAACCTGTGAGGAAACTGCAGTAATTCTGGCGCCTGGGTAGGCGGGTTTGTAAATTATCATATCAATTGACGCGTAAACTAATTGTTGTAAAAAAAAAACTCGCTGATTTTACCTTATTGTTCTTATGATAGCGAATTAACCAATCCAATCCGCTTTAATCTAACTGCTATTAGAGTACAAAACACACTGGGACCTTAAGAATTATCATTCGATCAGACGATCACGACAGTTGACGAGAGTTCGATGTTGACGATTACGCGATGAACCTTTTCGGCCTGAACCGTGACGTACGAGATTGTGAAGAATTAACAGTTCCAAAAGAGGCCGGCCGAAGTTGATAGACAGCCAGGGGTACAGCTACACCCTACAGAGAAGGCGAGGCTTAGTCACTGTCTGACAGTGTTCCATCCGTCCCAAAGTCAACCTATGTAGGGCCACAGTTAGACAGCGCGGCGATATTCTTCAGATATTAATACTCATGAGGGTGCGATGCTTTAATGAAATTCGAAATATTTTTCCTGTGTGATTTCCCGAATTATGACAACAACTTAATTATTTCTTAGGGAGCTAAGGGAAAGCTTGGTGTCAAGATACCGTGAGGGATGACGGGAATAAGAAGAGAAAAAAGAAATCAAGAGTCACTTGGTAAAAATGGTGCACCTGGAATGATGGGAATAAAAGAAGATAAAGGTCATGAAGGGTCACGTGGCAGCAGTGGACCGCCAGGAATCAAGGGTGTGAAAGAAGAGCAGGGATCTAAAGGAGAGAAAGGAGAAATCGTGAATAGTGCAGCGTCACAGACCAACTGGAGACAGTGTGTGTGGAAAGGAGATGATAATTTTAATTATCATCTCCTTTCAATTGTCTTAAAAGACAATGGAAAGATCAAAGTAAGGAAATATCGAGAAAATCTTTCAGTTTATTCCCTATGTTATCATTACAAGAAATTTCTTTTGCACTAATACTGTTTTCTTGTTGTTGTCGTTTTTCCACCTTATCAGTATTTTTTTTTCTTTCTATAACTCCTTTTTGCTCACAAATTTTCTGTGATTCCTACATCGAATGGCATACCAGGAATGCCGGGAATTCCTGGAGCCCCAGGGCCGCAAGGACAATGAGGAAAGATAGAGCTAAGGGGAAGCCTGGTGTCAAGGGACTGTAGTGACCGTGGTGCACCTAAAATGATAGGATTAAAAGGAGACAAATGTAATGTAGGTTGTTCACGTGGCAGATGCTTTTGAAACTCTTTACGCTGGCCAATTTACGTTATCAGTTCAGCTGATAAAACCAAATAATCCTGTAATACCCCTCACCGACGCAGTACCACAGTTACAAAATTACCCTCTTTGAATATCTAAGGGCTTCGCCACCTTTTACTGCTAAATTTTCTGATAAAAAAATTGTTATCTGTCATATTTGAAAAAAGGTTCAAGCTAACGAATGCTATCACCTATTTCCTAAATCAAACACGTTAGTACGCCAGTTTAATCAGATGCTCAGTTAGAAAAGTATTTGAACATATAGGGGAAATAGCTTGAGCAAACTGGGTGGAAGGCACCATGAATCTTAGATTTCATAATCTTCTTATCTTATGTAACATGTCTTGCTGTTACAACTCTAACCCTAACTAACCCTCACTAGCTACTATCAAAAAGATATGCAAAGATATTCTCCCTTGGTTGTGTTTTCTTAACCTTGGAAGTTGACACCACAACTGTGCACCATGTGAGATAGCGGCACATAAGACTGTGTAATAATCTGAAGCAATCAAGGCGGCTTACATTCTAGAGATAAACTCCGTTATCCGAAAAAACAGATTTGGCCCTTAGGCTGATAAGAAACCTTTAAGTCTTGTAGAAAAATAAAACACCCAAAATAATGGTAATTATAGAAACATCAGTTTCGAGAACATACCAAAAAGAAACACAAAAATATCGTTCTTAATTTTAACTTCACAACATAAGTCTGCAGTTTGTAGCATTAATACACACAAACAGATTTTGGAGATGAAAATATATCTCACCGCCTCAATATAAGTATGAATCCCGTAATCGACCATAGAACAAATAAACATGGTATCAGGCGCTTCAGAGTCCGCAGAAACACTCTCCTGAACATCTGCCCTCTTGACCGCTATTATCCTGCCGCAGTTTGTTAATTACAACACTGTTATCTGTGATATTTAAAAGCGTGAGGGGTACACTGCCACAGATCAACGGGAAAGAGTGTGTGTGGAAATATCGGAATGACGGTAGAGATCGCGGAAAGATTAAGGAACAGAATTATCCAGAAAATGTAATAAAAATAAACTAAATATTGGAGCCAATTTGTCATGGCCATCTCTGAAAAAGACTTTAGAGAAATGCCGCCAAACTGTAAATATCGATTAACAATTCTATTCATTCCAGCAGACAGGAAAAGTACAAGGTCATCATCAAATTATTTCCTGTAACTTTCTTATAAAACATACTTTTCCTCTAAGGCTGTCTTCTCGTCATATTTTATGGGATTGCTCATTCAACGAGCTGCAATGTGATACAACTATTCTAATTAATCATTCCAGCGAGATAGCAGCACATAAAGACTGTGTGAAAATAATCTGAAGCATTGAAGGTTTACATTCTAGAGATAAATTCCGTCATCCGATAACAGTAACAGATGTGACCCTTACGCTGATAAAAAACCTATTAAGTCCTGTAGAAAATATCGTTCTTAATTTTAACTACACAACAAGTGTCTGCAATTTGTACCATTTATACACAAAAGCAGATTTTGGAGATGAAAACATATCTCACCACCTCAATATAAGCATAAACACAGTAATCGACCATAGAACAAATAAACATGATATCAGGCGCTTCAGAGTCCACAGAAACACTCTTCTGAACATGTAAGGGCTTGCCCGCTTTTATCCTGCCGCAGTTTGTGAATTACAACACTGTTATCTGTGATATTTAATAGCGGGTCAAACTAACCAATGCTATCATGGGTGCCGGTAGGGGCCATTTGTTGCCGGCGGGGGGGGAAGGAGTGAACCACTTGCCCAAAAAAGCACTTTATGAAACAGTCGAAGAGGAACAGGGGTCATACGATAAACTAACATAGGCCTACATACGAAATGAATATATTCTTTCCTATCAATCTATCATATGAGCCTATAACACACGTTAAAAGAAATATAAAGCTGTCTCTGCCATTTCGACGACCCAAGATATCAATGATACGATCCATTGCTGACTACAGAGTTGGCATATGCCCTTTCAAAGTTAATAAGTGCGATTCCATTACCGAAACGAAACATGGAAACTTTTGTAAAAATTTGGTTTGCCCAAATTTCTCTTGCTGCCCCAAAAATCTGAGTTGCGCAAAATTTGGAAGCGCGGGGGGAGGGGGGTGTTTCAGCCCCCCCAGCCCCAACGGCACGTACGCCTATGGGTGCTATCACCTGTTTTTTCAATTAAATAATGGAGTAATAATAATGGAGTGGATCCAATAACATGGATACCGAAACAGAGCTAAGGACAAATGAATATCATATCACAGACCATATCAAACTTCTTTTTGCTTCTCCATATGTCACGTTTGATCAGAAGAGGAAGATTTTGTGGCCCAGATTTTACTGCGTAATTTCTCTGAATCAGAGTGAAACGTTGGTCTGTTGGTCAGTACGTGCTTCATTAGTGGACTGATAAGGATGTCACAGTCAAGTTGTTTACCCGGTGTGTGAGTTCGAGTAGTTTCAGACATCCTTATCATTTAGCTCCAGGCTTCTTAATTAAGATTGTTATTTAACATGAGAACTGACAGCTGCATTTAATGAAATTCAGTAGGATATAAATAGGCGCGTACATAAGGAGATATATATTTCAGTCATAGAACACGCACTATTCGCGCAAAGTAACCATCGAATTATGGCAAAGCTCCTGATCCTGGCTGCTTTGTCATTTGTCTCATTCAAAACAGGAGTAAGTTCCGTGGGAACAACCACCAGTCCTCAACAACAGAATCCACATACTGGTACTGACAAAGGCCCATGTGAGGTACTCTTAAGCATGCTTTATCCACGGTTATTTACTACAAAATCGCATGTACTTCATGGAGCGTTCATTTGTCACACCTAAGTTTAACCACTCATGTCTGCCAAGCTAAGCGCAAAACAAATCCCTCATCAATCATAAGTGAAACATTGCTGAATGAAGTTTCTTTTAGGGATATCTCTACGTATAGAGCGTTACAAGATCATTCGATGTTCCGAGCTGTTTCTCCTAAAACGAAGCTAACTTCTCATCAAGATTAGTTTCTGAAGAAACTGCTGGGCTAATTCGGCTAACAAGTAAATATCAATGAACAGCAAGTACATCCATCAAATTACAATGTTTTTTTTTTCTTCCTCAGAAATCCATTTTTGCTCGTGGATTTTCTGGGATTCCAGGATCGAATGGCATACCTGGAATGCCGGGGATTCCTGGCGCCCCAGGGCCCCAAGGACAACAAGGAAAAGATGGAGCTAAGGGGGAGCCTGGTGTCAAGGGACCGAGAGGCATGACGGGAACAAGAGGACAGAAAGGAAATCCAGGCTCACTTGGTAAAAATGGTACACCTGGAATGATGGGAATGAAAGGAGATAAAGGTCATGAAGGGTCACGTGGCAGCAGTGGACCACCAGGAATCAAGGGTGTGAAAGGAGAGCAGGGATCTAAAGGAGAGAAAGGAGAAATCGTGAATAGTGCGGCGTCACAGACCAACTGGAAACAGTGTGTGTGGAAAAATGAAGATGGTAGAGACAGTGGAAAGATTAAGGTACAGAAATATCTAGAAAATGCGATAAAAAATAAGATTGAGTGTTGGAGCAAATTTGTCATGGCCATCTCTGAAAGAGACTTTTGAGAAATGCAGCCAAACTAAAAACATCAATTAACAATTCTGTGCATCCTTGAAGGCAGGAAAGGTAGAAGGGTATTATTAAGTTGTTTTCTATAACACTCTTTTATGCATTTTGTTGCACTAAGACTGTATTCATGGCATTTTTTTTAAGGATTGCTCATTCAACAAGCTGCAGTCTGATACAGCTATTAAAGTCTCATTCCAGGGAAATACAGTAGTCTATGGCACTACAAGTAAATGCAACAAGTGGTTCTTCAAGTTTAATGGAAATGAATGCAGTGGACCAATGACAATTGAGGCTGTTGTGTACAACAATTGGCCATCTGGGAATCCTAATCTGCTTCATCACAGATCATTTGAGGGATACTGTGAAAACATTCCACAGGGTAGGGTTACTGTGGAGTTATGGGTAGGAAAGTGTCCCGGTTATGTACTGGGGGATGCTTACACTGGATGGAACTCAGTAGCCCGTATAATGATAGAGGAAGTGTCCAGAGCCCAGCCCTAATCAGCCCTGTCATCTTCACCTAAGGACTGGAGTAGATAATTCTCTTTTTATTCATCCATTATTTTAGATTCGTAAAAGTAGATACAAAACGTCAAAAGGTCAGTGAGCACGGACAGCCCAAGCACATAACAAGAGTATCTATCATTTTGCTATTAGTCAAAAGATGAGATGTAAAGTTGCAGTTTCATTAAGCAAAACTTTACTCTTGCCTTGCAGAAGAAGTCTGTTGTATTACAGATTTTGAAATATTTTGAAGAGTTTGAAAGAAAGTAAACAGCTTTTCTGACCAAAGTAAGGTTTTATTGTAGATGTTAAAAATCCATAACAATGAAATAAACTTCCTTTGCTTAATCACGTTGTATTGTCCTTTACTTGATCTCACTGAATGCAATTAGGTAAGCTAATAGAACATATTACTCCCATTTTCCTGTTTAATCCACCCTCATTCCCAGTCCTTAGTCACTTTTTGTAACATAGGGCAGAGGAGAATTCAGTTGGAAGCTGATTGTGTACTTCATGAATGACAACTTGGAATAGGTCAGCTTTTGACAGAATCAAAACTTTTCCATAACAATTTTACCCCCTTTGATCAGGGTTTTCATGTCTGCAAGGGGAAAATTTCCGCTAACAAAGAGCTTCACCTAAAAATGGCAGCTCTAGTTAATTATTCAAAATCAGTAAAACCAATCAATTCCAAAAATTCATTTTTGTCGTATAATTCTCCATATGGATTATTCACGACTACTTTGAAAAATAAGACTTTGTTTGCCGCATGAGGATCGCTTACAGTTTGAAATGGCGCCGTTGATTTTTCCTTTCGTAGTCACAAAATGACTGGGTTAGATATCTTCATTGCTCCATGCTTCATTATGCATACAGTTATTGGATAAAGAAAATAATGGCGTAAAGAGTAGATAGTCTCTGGGACTACGGCTTTGTTTTTAAGTGTAGGACTCCAGCCACCATCAGAAACGTTGGCATTTGCTAAGTGGGAGAAATTGAAATTTTTTCGAAATCTTTAAGTTTTAAGTGTTTCCTTTAATTTTAAATTGACTTCGAGAGAGATTTGCTACAAAAATTAATCAGCTGACGCAAAAGGAGAAATGGAAACGGTCATTTCTGACGGTTATACTTTGCTAACCCTTTAACTCCCATGAGTGACCAAAACAGAGTTTCTCCTTACAATATCAATACAATATTAAGCAGAATAGTGATGAAGATATATCAAAATATCAAGAAGCAATTGTTATTTGATCCAATAGCAAGTTCTCAAAACTCACATCACAAGAATTGTCAGGCAGACAGTAAGGAGAATTACAAATGAGATCTTGGGAGTGAAAATGTTAACCAAATATTAAACCTCTTACTTGTATGTCCTACAGATGAAGTTTATGTCAGGGAAAAGTCAGAAAGATGTCTAGAAAGAAGAAAGGCGAGAGATCATATGAGACAGCACGGCGCTTGCGCAAGTCATAATTAAAAGCCACGCACAGGGTGCATCTAAAAATAGCATGCAGGCTGAAAAAGCCAAAAGTAGGAAGAGACCGGTAAATTGCCTTAGAGAAGGTGGGTGTGATAGTGGAGGGCATGTGTTCTCTCGCCTTCTGATGTCAGGTGATATAATCTCAATCAAACTTCAACTTATAGGTAAGTCTCGTTTAATTTTCCAATTCTGTCACATGACCAGAAGGCAGAGATCCCATGAGACTTTAAAGCGTTGATGCACTCATACGACATGCACTTGAACAAGAGGCATGAAATCCACACAAAAGTAAGAGGTTGAGCAGAAACGATGATAACCATTTTTGTAATATATTGTCTAACTGTAACAAAAGAAGCAAAGTAGCACATGTAATATTCCAAAAACATATCAAAGTTTTCAGTGGTCAAGGATAGCGGAAGCAAGTCTGTTTCCTTGAATAACCGGTTTGTTGTAATATTTACGGAAGGTCTCTGCAGACTTCCAGCTGCCTTTGCCATGATCTCATGGAAAGAGATGTCCTTTTCATCAAAGCTGCATGGGTTTTATTCATCTCTTTCTTCATGGCCAGGCGTCGGGAGTGATTCACCTAGGCCTGGTGGTTGTATTGAAGTGCCATTGCAACAGCATATGTTAATAAGGTGATCAGTTCTTTGTCTTGGCTGTATTTGCCCAGCGCCAAATCGGCGGCTTTTGTCATGGCTGTAATGACGGGCCCGTCATTAGAGGCGGTTTTGACCGTCCTCATCGGAGTAGTCGTGCCCGTTCAGGAGCACTGAGCTCACATTCTCGTTCAAGTTCGTCAGCTGGCTCAGAACTGGAGCCAAGGCAGCTTTGAACAAATCCGCGAAAGCGTTTGCTGAAGGCATATTCTGGGCGTTACTGTCCGTTGACGGTTCAGGGGCGCGCTCGTCAGTTGTGTGGTCTTCGTGATCGGACATAATCACACTGAATTATCGGCACCCAACTACGTTAGGGCCTGAGCTGGACTCCAATTAAGGCTAACTACGCTAACATCTCCAGCAATTCGTGTCAAAAAGGTTTTCAGCGTAGAAAAACCAAGCTCCAAGAGTTTGTATGACGCACCGCGTTAGGCGCAAATCGTGCAATAACTTGCGCAAGCGCTGTAATTTCAAACGGCCACCATGTTAAAAGACAGCATTTCGAGGTACCAAAAACATTGAACTTCTGACCGCTGGTCTATTTACTACGGGCGCATAACTTTCTTGTAAACAGGAAAGAACGATAAGCTTATGGGTATGGTGGTTGTGTTTGTATGTTTGCCCTGATTCACGACTAAACCTTAACGCGATCGCGGATAACAGGATGCAGAATCAAGAGGAATCCCTTCGTTACAGTTCAAACTTGTGAGTGGTATTTATATTTCTGCCTTAACCAAACAATAATTTAAGAGTTTATGATGGAGCCAAAGAAACAAATAATTTGAAAGACGAAGGCAAAATCACCGGGAAAAGTCCTAAAAAGCCAAGACGTCCAGTAAAAAGATTTTGAGAAATATCTGAAGATGTGTATAAACTAGAGCTTCCAGAACAGCTAGACTACAATCTAGATATTCTGTTTTTAAGCTTAAATTGCGCATTGTATTGCACAAAAGAAGTGAATTTCACATTCCCCAAAACATTGAGAAATAAGAGTCGCCATGAAACGGTCATAAAGAGAGGTAACCTCCAACAGACAGCCAGGCCCAAAGAAATCGAAGGCAGAAGATTTTGATGACGCAAACATGTCTGACGTCACTATTTGCTTCTCTTGGTGAATTTTTTGAACTTCGCTTAATCTGTTTAACCCATTCGTTTTCGTCGCAAGATGACCTTTCCCTCGAATTTTCATGGACCTCTTTGTCATGAGGTTAATATTGCCTCTCATTGGTTGGTGCCATGACTGCATCGACACAAACTTAAATGAGGAGCGAAAACTACGAATTTCAGTTTAAGGGGTTAAAAACTCGAGGTTTGTTTTCACGCAAGTTTACCTCTACTTAAACAAATTAATAGTTAATAGCGTATGTAAATTTTTCGGATTTTGGCGAAACATGGCCAGAATATTCTTCAGATATTTCTGCAGAGTGCGACGTTTTAATGAAATTGGAAATATTTTTCCCGTGTGATTTCCCGAAATATGATAACAACTTAAGTATTTTCTAGGGAGCTAAGGAAGAGCCCGGTGTCAAGGTACCGTGAGTGATGACGGAAATAAGAAGAGAAGGAATCAGGGGTTTGAAAGGAGAGCAGGGATCTAGAGGAGAGAAAGGAGAAATCGTGAATAGTGCAGTGTCACAGACCAACTGGAAACATTGCGCGTGGAAAGCAAATGATAATTAAGACAGAGGAAAGACCAAAGTAAGGAAATATCAGAAATATCTTCAATTTATTCCCTATATTACCGTTATAAGAAATTTATTTGCACTAAAACTGTTTTCTTTGGTTGTTGAATACCGGGAATTCCTGGCGTCCCAGGACTGCAAAGACAACAAGGAAAAGATGGAGCTAAGGGAGAGCCTGGTGTCAGGGATCTTGGTGACCGGGGTGAACCTGGAATGATGGGATTAAAAGGAGATAAAGGTAATGAAGGTTCACCTGGCAGATTCTTTAGAAAATCTTTGCGCTGGTCAATTTACATTATTGATAAAACCAAATTATCACATTAACTGCGGTGTTATACATGGATTTTCCGGCCCTGAGAAAAGCTGTAACAACACACGTGAAAAAGTATCGTATTTTTTCACGTGTGTTGATATAGCCAATCAGCTGCTGACATGTCACTCGCCTTTAGCGTCACTCGGTCAGGTTGATGAATGAACACTTAAAAATCCGTATCGCTGACAGACAGTGAGGTTCAAACTTTCCTAAAAGGAGAAGAAAACCTATATACTAAAAGAAAAACCGAAAGTTACGTATTTAGTGGCCTTGATGTTAGCATTTCTCTCGGCTTAGAATGAAAATCGACAACTGGAAGATTTGGCACTGGCCGATTTTGGCCGTTTACCTGAAAGACTTCTTCTGTCCATAAGAACAAAGTCGATAAATGAGAATATTGTAAATTGAAAATTACGGCCATTTTTGTTTTTGTAATCATGATTCGACACATTTTTCCATCATAAGGGTTAGCGCCAACACACTACGATTGTTATTCGGGGATTGTCGATTTATTTATTTTCATTCATTAATGAAGTCGGCTTTTCTTCTCAGTAAAGGGCTATTGTGTTTATATGATAAACAAAATAATATATGGTTGCTTGTAGATATGGAATTTCTCTTCTCGTGTTCAACCCGACATTTCACTCGTTCGCTCACTCGTGAGCTATCGAGTTAAACACTCGAAGAGAAATTCCATATCTACGCGCGCCCATGTATTGTTCTCTATTTGTCTTGTAATACCCCTTACCGACGCAGTACCACAGTTACAAAATTACCCTCTTTGAACATCTAGAGGCTTAGTCGCCTTTTCCTGCTGCACTTTTCTGATTAAAACACTGTTATCTGTAATATTTGAAAAAAGGGTCAAGCCAGCGAATGCTATCACCTACTTCCTAAATCAAACACCTTATTACGCCAGTTTAAACAGATGCTCAGTGAGACAAGTATTTGAACGTATGAGGGAAATGGCTTAAGAACTCTTAGTGGAAGGCACCATGAATCTTGGATCCCAAAATCTTATCCTATGTAACATGTCTTGCTGCTACAACTCTAGCCCTAGCTAACTACAAGCACCAAAAGATATGCAAAGATATTCTCTCTTGGTTGTGTTTTCATAACCTTGGAAGTTGACACCACACCTGTGTTCTATGCGAGATAACGGCACGTAAGACTGTGTGAAAAATAATCTGAAGCATTTAAGGCGTACATTCTAGAGATAAATTCCGCTCTCCGAAGAGAGACAGAAAGACAGAAAGACAAGTGAAACACCTAAAACAGTAGTAATTATAAAAACATCACTTTCGGAGAACATACCAAAAGGGACACAAAAATATCGTTCTCAATTGTAACCTCACAACACAAGTCTGGAATTTGTACACATAATACACAACAACAGATTTTGGAGATGAAAATATACATCACAACCTCAATATAAGTATGAATAGTTTAATCGACCATAGAAAAATAAACGCGATATCAGGCGCTTCAGAGTCCGCAGAAACGCTCTCCTGAACATCTAAGGGCTTGACTGCTTTTATCCTGACGCAGTTTGTTAATTACAACAGTGTTATCTGTGATATTTAAAAGACTTAAAAGCGTGAATAGTACATTGTCACAGACCAACTGGAAAGAGTGTGGGCGGAAAAATCTGAATGATGATAGAGATGGTGGAAAGATGAGGGTACAGAAATATCTAGAAAATGAAATGAAAAATTAAATCAAGTGTTAAAGCCAATTTGTTATGGCCATCTCTGAAAGAGACTTTTGAGAAATGCCACCAAACTAAAAATATCAATTAACAACTCTGTGCATTCAGGCCGGAAAAGTACGAGGTCATCATCAAATTATTTCCTGTAATAGTCCCATGAAACATTTTTTTGCACTAAGACTGTCTTCTTGGCATTTTTAATTGGCTTGCTCATTCAACAAGCTGCAGTCTGTTACAGCTAGTAAAGTTTCATTCCAGCGAGATAGCGGCACATAAGAGTGTGTGAAAAATTATCTGAAGCATTGAAGGCTTACATTTTAGAAATAAATTCTGTTATTCGGAAAAACAGATGTGACCCTTACGCTGATAAAAAAAAACCTCTAAGTCTTGTAGAAAAATGAAACACCTAAAATAGTGGTAATTATAGAAACATTACTTTCGAGAACATGTCAACATGAGACATAATATCGTTGTTAATTTTAACTTTACAACACAAGTCTGCAACTTGTACCATTAATACACAAAAAAAGATTTCGGAGATGAAAATATATCTCACTGCCTCAGTATGAGTATGAATACCGTAATCGACCATAGAAAAAATACACATGATATCAGGCGCTTCAGAGTCCGCAGAAACGCTCTCTTGAACATCTAAGGGCTTGACCGCTTGTATCCTGCCGCAGTTTGTTAATCACAACACTGTTATCCGTGATATTTAATAACGGGTCAACTTAACTAATCCTTTCATAGACGTATGGGCTATTTTCTGCCGGGGGTTGAACCACTTGCCCAAAAAATGCCTGCAAGTTGTCCAAGTTTTCAAGAAACAGTTGAAGAGAAGCAAGGGTCATAAGATAAACTACGGCCTTTATATGAAATAAATATATATTCTTATGTATGACTCTATCATACGAGCTCATAAAACACTTTAAAAGAAATAGCTGTCTCTGCCATTTCGACCAATGATATGGTCCATGTCACTGATGACTACAGAATCGGCATATTCCCTTTAAATGTTAATAAGTGCGATGTTACTAACATGTTGTTGCTCCATGGTGCTGCGGAATTAAGTTCTAATCTGCGCAATGCACTGAATGATCGTTCTGTAGAAAACGATGCGTGGATGTAGCAGGTATTACTGCAAAGATATGTACCACTTTATTCGGAAAAATCTGGAAACGTATCAAAAAGATCCTTGTCCTGTGTGTATTGCTCAGAATTACTCTCAAAACACACAGTCCGGAGATGAATTTAACTGGCTCTACCACGCTGACTTAAGCTCAAAACAAGTACTCCAAAATCGCTGTACTTCATGACGCGTTCATTTGTCATACCTCAGTTTATCACTCATGTCTGCCAAACTAAGCACAAAAAAATCCCTCATCAATCATAAGTTTTCATAGACAAAGTATAATATTGCTGAATAAAATTTCTCCCTTTTAGGGATATCTCCACGTATACAACGTTACGAGATCATTCGATGTTGCGAGCTGTTTCTCCTAAAATGAAGCTAAATTCTCATCAAGATTAGTTTCTGAAGAAACTGTTGTGCTACTCCGGCGAACAAGTAAATATCAATGAACATCAAGTACGTCCATCAAATTAAAATATGTTCTTTTTTCTTCCTCAGAAATCCGTTTTTGCTCCCGGATTTTCAGGGATTCCAGGATCAAATGGCATACCAGGAATGCCGGGAATTCCTGGCGCCCTAAGGCCGCAAGGACAATAAGGAAAAGATGGAGCTAAGGGGGAGCTGGTGTCAAGGGACCGAGAGGTATGACGGGAACAAGAGGATTGAAAGGAAATCCAGGCTCACTGGGTAAAAATGGTGCTCCTGGAATGATGGGAATAAAAGGAGATAAAGGTCATGAAGGGTCACGTGGAAGCAGTGGACCGCCAGGAATCAAGGGTGTGAAAGGAGAGCAGGGATCTAAAGGAGAGAAAGAAGAAATCGTGAATAGTGCAGTGTCACAGACCAACTGGAAACAGTGTGTGTGGAAAAATGCTGATAGTAGAGATAGTGGAAAGATTAAGGTACAGAAACATCTAGAAAATGTAATGAAAAATAAATGAAGAGTTAGAGCCAATTTGTAATGGCCATCTTTGAAAGAGACTTTTGAGAAATACCGCTAAACTAAAAACATCAGTTAATCAATTAACAATTCTGTGCGTTATCAAAGGCAGGAGAAGTTCAAGGTCATCATCAAATTGTTTCCTATAACGCTATTATAAGCATTTTTTTTGCACTAAGACTGTCTTCATGGCATTTTTTATAGGACTGCTTATTCAACAAGATTCAATCTGATACAGCTATTAAAGTCTCATTCCAGGGAAATACACTAGTCTATGGCAGTTCAGTTAAATGCAACCGGTGGTTCTTCAAGTTTAATGGAAATGAATGCAGTGGACCAATGACAATTGAGGCTGCTGTGTACAACAATTGGCCATCTGGGAGTCCTAATCTGCTTCATCACAGATCATTTGAGGGATACTGTGAAAATATGCCACAGGGTAGAGTTACTGTGGAGTTATGGGTAGGACAGTGTCACGGTAGTCGTACACTGGGTGATGCTAAAACTGGATGGAACTCAGTATCCCAGATAATTATAGAGGAAGTCTCCAGAGCCCAGTCCTGATTACTCCCGTCGTTTTCATACAAGGAATGGTGAACAATATATTGTTTCGTCATCCTAGCTTTCAAGATTTTCCCCCACTATTGATATCCTAAAGTGCGTAATGTTTTACTTTTTGTCACAAACATATTTTTCTTCTCTAAACATTTCCCCTACTTTTTGTGCGATTGTGGCACAAGATAATTAGGTTTTATCATCTGAGTTGATAAGGTTACTGATTTCTTTTCAATCGCGCGAGAAGGAGAAACTGTTCGTAATATAAAACTCACAAATATTTGCCAAAGTAGAGGTGGCTGGTGGAAGATATTTCCCGAGCTGCGAAGCGGCGAAGAAAATATCTACCCCTGCCACCCACACTAAGTTGAATAGCTGTTTTAGTAAATTAGTATATACCAAAGCAGAGAGTTAATATAGCACAAAAACGTCACTCATTTATTCTTGCAATGACTGAAATAAATTTCGGGAGCAAATCCAGCGCGCGTTTCTTAGAGGTGAATAACAAAGGAAATTCGAAATTTAAGTAGCCAATCAGAGCGGGATTTCAACACTATCCACTATCTTGGTACATACTAACAACAATTTTTTATTATTATTATCATTGAAATTATCGGTACTATTATTACCATTAATTTTAATATCGAAGAATTTTTTCAAATAAGCGTCAAGAAGTGGGCGCCTATCACTAGCTTCAATTTGTTTGTGCTCAAATATTCTGCAGGTAAAACTGAATATTTCATCCACTATTCATTGACTGGCCGACTTAGTCAAGTGACAGATAATTAGCGGTTCCGTTTATTAATTAGAACCTACCTCAAAGCGTTTGTCACAGTGTGCTATCAACTTCTTGGAAGCTAGTTTTTGAAACATAGACGGAGAGTCACTATGCTCATTTAAGAAAAAAGCGTTTACCATGGAATACATGTACCTTCAAGCTTCATCAGCCGAATCTGTAATTATCATTTCTCTACTAAATTCATTATTTTTGTGGCACTGAGTAATACTTTACATATTTCACGGTAAGGAAATTTCTCTGAGTTCCAAAGAAGATTTAGGCCACAGTAAATACTTTTCACCTCTAAAGAACATTGGTAAGGGTCAGATAACTTATACCGGCATAATGTTGGGCATAATGTTATAGTAAATGACTTCATAAAAATCCCTTGATGTTACAGTTAACCAAGAAATTAATTCCATCCTGAGTGCTGTCAACAGGAAGCCTGCTTTTCTTGCTTTCGCTTGAGGAATTTGTTCAGTAAAATGTTTGTTTTCTGAACTTCGATAAGCATTTTCTTGTTAGCAAGTGTTACCTGTTGGTGGTAGGAATAAGGTAGGGGGACGGGAGGTCGAGGGGTTCTTAAAAGCTGCTATTTTGAATAATCGAATTGAACAGAAAGAAAAATTTAAGCATAATTTTCTGCAAGATGCCATGGGTGACGGTTAGAAGGATAATGATCAAGTTTTCGCGCATAATTTATGTGAAACTTGCTCTGGCTAAAAAAGAACAAAAACACATTTCATCACAATTACTGGCAAATATGCATATGTGACAATGCAAAAATAGAAAGCAAAAAATAAATATGTGCATGATGTTTTTTCTGTTGTTGTTTTTATTTTACTGATAATGAAATAGACCCTTTTTAGAAACCAATTTAAAAGAAAAACAACAAAAAAAAAGCACAAAAGCACTCCGCCTTCGATCTCTTGCTTTCACCAGTTTCCTTGTGTTTAGAAACCCTGATAAAACACCCCACATTTATGAATTATTACATCACAATCGAGAACGGACCAACAAGAACCAAATGCCGCTCTAAATTTAAGCCACAAAACACAAGTTTACAATTTGCTTCATTAAAATGCATTAACAGATTTTGAACATGAAAATCTATCACGCCGCCTTATGGTAAGCACGGATCAAACAAACGCTTTTTAAAACATTTTGAGCTATTTTGGAATCGATCGAGAATGTACATGAATATCATAATCGACCGGAGGACAAATGAACATCATATCACAGACCATATTAAACTTATTTTCCTTCTCAATATGGCAAGTTTGATCAGAATACGAACATTTCGAGGCCCCGATTTTTCTGACTAATTTCTCTGAAATTACCTTTTTTGTATACGTAATAACATGATTTCGAGTGTAATTTGGTTGAAATAATTTGCAATTTGTAGTCTTTGAACAATTTACCAGAATTTATTGACACCAAATTTCAAGAAAAATCATGTTATTACATTTTAATAATGTACATGGAAAAAAACGCAGCAAGTCAAGACCGACGAAATTTTGAAAGCGTGCGCGCGCTACTTGTAATTTTCACTCGTGTTACAACTTTGCAATCGTGTTACAACTTTGCAGGCGTGTTACACGAGAATGCAATCGTTTTCAGCTAATCAGTGCGTAATTTTTTCCTGCGCATTATTAATTTGATTAAACGTGGCGGCGTTTATTTCATTTTTCGTGATTCGAAGTCTCAAATTCTGTACCATTAAAACACATCAACAGAGTTTGAAGATAAAAATCTATCGCACTGCCTCAAAATCAGTGATCAAAACAAACGGTGTTCAAAAAGTTTTTTCTGTTTAAGAATTGGTTCAAAATACATGAATACCGTAATCGACTAAAGAGGCAAAGAATGTTGGGAAGTTAGGGAGAAACTAGCTTAGGCAAACTCGCTGAGCTTATTGGCAATAAGATTCTTGGATCACAAAAGCTTTCGTCTTTGCTGCATCGTCTACGGTATTTTCTCGCTAATTAACTTCAACTGTATCTGTCACTCTATCTTCAACTACTTTCGACTACAACTCTACCTACAACTTATTACTATTAACCAAAAGCTACGTGCCTATATTCTAATTTAGTTATTATCTTATAACCTTAGGAGTTATTATTAAGAAGATATTTCAAAGAGAACACAAAATATTCGCGCAAAGTAACCATCGGAGTATGGCGAAGCTTCTGATCCTCGCTGCTTTCTTTATTTTTCTTGTCCAAACCAGGAGTCAGTTCAGTGGGAACAACTACGAGTCCTCATCAACAGAATCCACAAACTGGTGCTGACAAAGACCCATGTGAGGCACACTTGGCGATTAAAGCTCGATTATTTATATTAAAAAATCGCGGTTTTCCTATGTTTACATCACGAATCTATCAGTTGTAAAATCTTTACCACACATGTCTGCCAAGCTAAATGCTATTAAAAGACAAAATTGGCATCTGACAAGAATTTTCTGTGTATGTGTATTAAACTTATTTAAGTGTTGGAAAATGAATGGAAATAATATATCGTCATAAGCCATTCAGTAAAAAAGGCACCATGAATCTTGGATCCCAAAATCTTATTTTATGTAACATGTCTTGCTGCCACAACCCTAACCCGAACTAACTCTCACTAACTACTGTCACCAAACAGATATGCAAAGATATTCTCTCTTAATTGTGTTTTCATAACCTTGACACCACACGTGTGCTTTAGGCGAGTTAGCGGCACATAAGAGAGTGAAAAATAATTTGAAACATTGAAGGCTTGCATTCTAGAGATAAATTCCGTTATCCCAAAAAAAAAAACAGATGTGACACTGACGCTGATGATCTTGTAGTAAAATGAAACACCTAAAATAGTGAGAATTATAGAAACATCAGTTTCGAGAACATACCAAAAGAGACACAAAAATATCGTTCTTTATTTTAACTTTACAACAAAAGTCTACAATTTGTACCATTAATACACAAAAGCAGATTTTGGAGATGAAAATATATCTCACTGCCTCAATATAAGTATGAATACCGTAATCGACCATAGAACAGATAAACATGATATCAGGCGCTTCAGAGTCCGCAGAAACGCTCTCCTGAACATCTAGGGGCTTGACCGCTTTTATCCTGACGCAGTTTTTTAATTACAACATTGTTATCTGTGATATTTAAGAACGGGTCAAGCTAACCAATGTTATCATAGGCGTAAGGGTCATTTTTGCCGGGGCGGGAGGGGGGGAGGAAAGAGGGAGTGAATCACTTGCCCAAAAAAATTCTTGCAAGTTGCCTAAATTATTATGAAACAGTCAAAGAGTTCAGATGCCGATTTTGTAAAATTTGGCATTGCAGAAAAAGCTTTCTTTATTAGGTGTTTCACTGTGGCAGATGTTTCCCAAAGCACAGATTATTTTTACCAAACCTGAGCTCAAGCTCGGTCAGCACCGTCTGGCGTACGGTCTGTTTGGTCAAGTCGGCATTTCTCCAACTGCAGATGACATCGACCGTCTTCCCTGAAGATATCGGCACAAATTATAAGTGTTGCTCAGAATTACTCTCAGCACTCACAGTCCGGAGATGAATTTAACTGACTTTACCACGCCTACTTAAACCGTAAAATAAAAAAAATATCTTTGAAAGAAAAAGAAAGACGAAACGAAAAATGGAAACTTTTGTAAAAATTGGCTTTGCCAAAATTTCTCTTGCTGCCCAAAAGATCTGAGTTGCCCAAAATTTGGGGGAGGGAGGGTTGGCAGCCCCAGAGCTCCCCCGGCCTGTACGTTTATGGGTGCTCTATCACCTGTTTCTTCAATCAAACACATTAAAGTTTCAGATAAATTTCATATCAGTCAGACGTCTGGTTAAAGCGTGACTGTGTGTGCTAAAGTCTGCATGATAAGAGAGATCGTGGAAAGATTAAGGTACAGAAATATGCAGAAAATGCAATGAAAAATAAATTAAGCGTTAGAGCCAATTTGTCATGTCCATCTCTGAAAAAGACTTTTGAGAAACTAAAAATATCAATGAACAATTCTGTGCATTAAAACAGGCGGAAAAGTACAAGGTCATCATCAAATTATTTCCTGTAACATTCTTATAAAACATATTTTTTTCACTAAGACTGTCTTCTCGGCATATTTTAAAGGATTGTTCATTCAACGAGTTGCAGTCTGACACAACTATATTAATTATTCATTCCAGCATGATAGCGGCAGACAAGACTGTGTGAAAGGTAATCTGAAGCATTGAAGGCTTACATTCTAGGGATAAATTCCGTTATCCGAAAACAGTGACAGATGTGACCCTAACGCTGATAGAAAACCTTTAAGTCTTGTAGAAATATCGTTGGTAATTTTAACTACACAACACGAGTCTGCAATTTGTACCATTAATACACGAATCGTGATCACCAACAAGGTCTTAAAGGCTGCGCGATGGCGTTTGTCTTACTGGCTTCTCGTAATTCAAACTGAGAATTGTTTAACCACTTCTAATTTTTCAGACCCATTACTGACACTATCTGCCATACGCTGTTGGAACCTTCTTCACTGCGACACTGGCGTAAGATCTGAATGGTCATGTCGACATTTCTTCGAGTGGAAATGACGTCGACCGTCTTCCCCTGAAGATATCAGCACAGACTACGAGTGTTGCTCAGAATTGCTCTCAACACACAGTCCGGAGATGAATTTAACTGGCTTTACCACGCCGACTAGAGCTCGAAATAAAAAAATAACTCGTTCAAGGAAAAAAAAAGACGAAACGAAACATGGAAACTTTGTAAAAATTTGGTTTCCCCAAGTTTCTCTTACTGCCCCAAAAATCTGAGTTGCCCAAAATTTGGAGGGGCGTGGGGATGGGGGTGTTGCAGCCCCCCTGCCCCAATGGCACGTACGCCTATGGGTGCTATCACCTGTTTTTTTCAATTAAATAATGGAGTAATAATAATGAGTGGATCCAATATGATGGATGCCGAAATTGAGCTAAGGACAAATGAACGTCATATCACAGACTATATCGAACTTTTTTTTCTTCTCGATATGGCAAGTTTGATCAGAAGAGAAAGATTATGTGGTCAACAACTTTCCGCGTAATTTCTCTGAATCTGAGTGAAACATTGGTCTGTTGGTCAGTACGTGCTTCATTAGTGAAATGATAAGGATATTACACTCAGTTTGTTTACCAGTGTGTGAGTTCGAGTAGTTTCAGACATCCTTAGCATTTAGCTCCAGGCTTCTCTATTAAGATTGTTACTTTAACAAGAGAACTGACAGTTTGCATTTAATGAAATTCAGTGGGGTATAAATAAGGGTTACATAATGAGATATATATTTCAGTTATAGATCACAAACTATTCGCGCAAAGTAACCATCGAAGTATGACGAAGCTTCTGATCCTCGCTGCTTTGTTATTTGTCTCATTCAAAACAGGAATAAGTTCCGGGGGAACAACCACCAGTCCTCAACAACAGAATCCACAAACTGGTGCTGACAAAGACCCCTGTGAGGTACTCTTAAGCATGCTTTATCCACGATTATTTACTACAAAATCGCATGTACTTCATGAAGCGTTCATTTGTCATCCCTCGGTTTACCACTAATGTCTGCCAAGCTAAGCGCAAAACAAATCCCTAATCAATCATAAATTTTCAAAGACAAAGTGGAACATTGCTGCAAAAAATTTTCTCTTAGGGATATCTATACAACGTTACGAGATCATTCAATGTTCCAAGCTGTTTCTCGTACGCTGAAACTAAATTCTCAACATGATTAGTTTCTAAAGAAACTGCTGTGCTACTTCGGCGGACAAGTAATTATCAATGAACATCAAGTACATCCATCCAATAACTATATGTTTCATTTTCTTCCTCAGAAATCCATTTTTGCTCACGGATTTTCTTGGATTCTAGGATCGAGTGGCATGCCGGGAATTCCTGGCGCCACGGGGCCGCAAGGACAAATAGGAAGAGATGGAGCTAAGGGGGAGCCTGGTGTCAAGGGACCGAGAGGTACGACGGGAGCAAGAGGAGGAAAAGGAAATCCAGGTTCACCTGGTAAAAATGGTGCACCTGGAATGATGGGAGTAATAGGAAATAAAGATGATGAAGGGTCAGGTGGCAGCAGTGGACTGCCAGGAATCAAGGGTGTGAAAGGAGAGCAGGGATCTAAAGGAGAGAAAGGAGAAATCGTGAATAGTGTAGTGTCACAGACCAACTGGAAACAGTTTGCGTGGAAAAATCTTAATGGTAATAGAGATAGTGGAAGGATTAAGGTACACAAGTATCTACAAAATGCAATGAAAAATAAATTAAATGTCAGAGCAAATTTATTACGGCCATCTCTGAAAGAGATGTTTGAGAAATGGCACGAAACCAAAAATATCAATTAACAATTCGGTGCATTCTCGCAGGCAGGAAAACTGCAAGGTCATCATCAAATTGTTTCCTCTAGCACGATGTTCTTATAAAACATTTTTTTGCACTAAGACTGTCTTCTTGGCATTTTTTATAGGATTGCTCATTCAAAAAGCAGCAATCTGATACAGCTATTAACGTTTCATTCCAGGGAAATATGAGAGTCTTTGGCACTTCAACTAAATGCAATCGGTGGTTCTTCAAGTTTAATGGAAATGAATGCAGTGGACCAATGACAATCGAGGCTGCTGTGCGCAACGATTGGCCATCTGGGAGTCCTAATCGGCTTCATCACAGATCATTTGAGGGATACTGTGAAAACATTCCACAGGGCAGGGTTAGTGCGGAGTTATGGGTAGGAAAGTGTCCCGGTCACTGGGTAGTGCTTACACTGGATGGAACTCAGTATCCCGGATAATGTTTGAGGAAGTGTCTAGAGCCCAATCCTAATCAGTTCTGTCATTTTCAGCTGAGGACTGGAGTAGAATATTCTCTTTCTCATCTATCCATTTTTTTAGATTCATAATCTTCTCACATTTTCCAAAAACCACCCAAACATTGAAGTTACTGTTTGTCACAAGTAATTTTTTTGCCCTGATAATGTTGGATGTTATGAGGATTCCTTTATTCCATTTCCAACCTCCTGCTTCTCGTTAGTTACATGTACTTTTCTTTGTAATTAATTTTTAGTTTATGCTATGTACCGGTAGTACATTGTCTCCTCCTGAAAAATGTTTCTTGAATTATTTTAAGTTTGTTTCTGAATTAAAATAAAACTGTTTGACATGTGTCAGTTAACAAAATGATAGTTTCTTGAATCATTAGTGATACAACTGTATGTGGCTTCTTTGCATTTTTGGTTACATTACAAACTAGATATGATCTTTTACTTTTTGCCATTATTTCCATCATCTTTTTCTCAGTATCTTACAAATTAGTCTTGAAACCCCTTTAAAACATTAAATGAAGACAAAACATTCATAGCGTGATAACAAATTGAAGGGAAAATGTTTATCATGGAATTTCACAACTGACTCAATGTTTTTCAATTAGATGGTATACACCAGTCTTTTTTTATGGAAATATATTTTTTCCATCCTGTTTGTTCTGGAAAGACATTTGGATTTGGTGGTACATCTGGATTTTCCTTGTTATAAAAACTAAAAAAAAATTACAGAGGGTCAGTGAGCACAGACAGCCCAAGCACATAACAAGTATCTATCATTTTTCTATATTAGTCAAAAGATAAGATGTAAAGTAGCAGTTTCATAAAGCAAAAAATTACTCTGGTCTTGCAGAAGAAGTCTGTTGTATCACAGATTTTGAAATATTTTCAAGAGTTTGAAAGAAAGTAAAAAGTGTTAGTGATCAAAGTAAGGTTTTATTGTAGATGTTAAGAATTCATGACTATAAAATAAACTCCTTTTGCTTAATCACTTTGTATTGTCCTTTACTTGATCTCATTGAATGTAATTAGGTAAGTTCATAAAACATATTATTCTCATTTTCCTATTTAATCCTTACTCATTCCCAGTCCTTAGTAAAAAAAGATAAAGGTAATGAAGGTTCACGTCGCAGATACTTTCGAAACTCTTTAAATTGGCCAATTGGATAAAACTAAATTATTTTGTAATACCCCTCACCGACGCAATACTGCAGTTACAAAATTTCCCTTTTTGAACATCTAAGGGCTTGGCCGCCTTTCTCTGCTGCATTTTATCTGTGATATTTGAAAAAGGAGTCAAGCTGATGAATGCTATCACCTATGTCCTAAATCAAACACGTTATTACGCCAGTCTAATTAGATGCTCAGTTAGACAAGTATTTGAACGTATGGGGGAAATGGCTTGAGCAAACTGTGTGGAAGGCACCATGAACATTGGATCCCAAAATCTTCTTATTTTATGTAACATGGCTTGCTGCTACAACTCTAACCCTGGCTAAAAGGGTATGTAAAGATATTCTCACTCGGTTGTGTTTCCTTAACCTTGGAAGTTGACACCACACCCGTGCTCTGTGCGAGATAGCGGCACATAAGACTGCGTGAAAATAATCTGAAGCATTGAAGACTTACATTCTACAAATAAATTCCCTCACGCTGATAAAAAACCATTAAGACTTTTAGAAAATAAAACACCTGAAATAGTGTTTATTGTAGAGACATCACTTTAGAGAACATACCCGAAAGAGACACAAAAATATCCGTGTTAATTTGAACTTTACAACTCAAGTCTGCAATTTGTACCATTAATACACAAAAACTGATTTTGGAGATGAAAATATATTACACTACCTCAATATAAGTATAAATACCGTAATCGACCATAGAACAAATAAACCTGATACCAGGCGCTTCAGAGTCCGCAGAAACGCTCTCCTGAACTTCTAAGGGCTTAACCGCTTTTATCCTGCCGCAGTTTGTTAATTACAACACTGTTATCTGTGATATTTGAAAGCGTGAATGCTACATTGTCACAGACCAACTGGAGACAGTGTGTGTGGAAAAATCTGAATGATGAAAGAGATCCTCGAAAGATTAAGGTACAGGAATATCCAAAAAATGCAATGAAAAATACATTAATTGTTAGGGCCAATTTGTCCTGACCATCTCTGAAAAAGACCTTTGAGAATTGGCGCCAAACTAAAAATATCAATTAACAGTTCTGTGCATTCTAGCAGGCAGGAAAAGTACAAGGTCATCATCAAATTATTTCCTAAAACACTCTTATAAAACATTTTTTTGCGCTAAGACTGTCTTCCCGGCATTTTTATAGGATTGCTCATTCAACAAGCTGCATCTGCAGTCTGTTACTCATTCATTCCAGCGAGATAGCGGCACATAATACTGCGTGAAAAATAATCTGAACATTAAAGACTTACACTCTAGAAATAAATTCTGTTATCCAAAAAAACAGATGTGACCCTTAGGCTAATTAAAAACCTTGAAGTCTTTTAGAAAAATAAAACGCCTAAAATAATGGTAATTATAGAAACATCATCTCCGAGAACATATCAGAAAGAAATACAAAAATATCGTTCTTAATTTGAACTTCACAACACAAGTCTGCAATTTGTACCATTTATACACAAAAACAGATTTAGGAGGTGAAAATAGATTTCACCGTCTCAATAAAAATTCTTGCAAGTTGCCCAAATTTTTATGAAACAGCCGAAGAGTAACAAGGGTCATATAATTAACTAACATAGGCCTGCATCATACGAGCCCTTAAAACACGTTAAAAGAAATAGCGGTCTCTGCCATTTCGACGGCCGAAGATATCAATGATACGATCCAATGCTGACTACAGAGTTGGCCTATGGCCTTTTAATGTTTATAAGTATGATGTTACTCGAGTTATATTTAGACAATAGGTTTTCAATCACCACACCGGACTGAATGATCGTTGTGTAGAACACGATGTAGCAAGTATCACTGCAAGGATATGTACCACTTTAGAACGCTCTGGAAATGTATTAAATAGATAATTCTCGTGCATTACCCTTAGCATTTCTGGAACAGTTAAACTCGCGTATATTTTGTTCTCGGCTTCCAAAATCTCGCCGTCGATTTTCTTAAAACTTAGGAACGCAGGAGAAGCTTTCTTTATCAGGTGTTTCACTGTGACAGAGAGTTCCCAAAGCACAGGTTATTTCATGTTCATTTCCACTGAACCTGGGCTCAAGCTCGGTCAGCACCTTGTCGATGGACGCATAGTAAGTGTTCATCCGTTGGTGCAATTCCAATGTCAGCTGCGTTTGAATTTGCGCGTTATCACCTACAAGGTGTTAAAGGCTGCGGGGTGGCGTTTGCCTGAGTGCCCTGGCTTCTCATAATTCACACTGAAAATTGGTTAGCCACCTCTTAATTTTCAGACCTATTGCTAACAGTATTTGCCTTCCGCTGTTGAAAATTTCTTCACTACGACACTGGCGCACGGTCTGTAAGGTCACGTCGGCATTTCTAGAACTGCAGATGACATCGACCGTCTTCCCCTGAAGATATCAGTACAGATTATAAGTGTTGCTCAGAATTACTCTCAGCACTCACGATCCGAAAATTAATTATCTAGCTTTATTACGCCTACTTAAGTTTAAAATAAAAAATATCTCTTTCAAAGAGAAAAAAGACGAAACGAAACATGGATGCTTTTGTAAAAATTGGCTTTGCAAATTTGTTTCAGTTAAATTTTTTATCACTGAGACGGTCTGCAATTTGTACCATCACTAAATATCGACAGATTTTGAACACACCACCTCATGATAAGTTTGAGTCTAACATGCGACGTTTAAAAAGGTTTATACTATTTTGGAATGGATCCAATAACATGAATACCGAAATCGAGCCAAGGACAAATGAACATCCTACCATAGACTGTATCGAACTTTCCTTCTCAATATTTCTCATTTGATCAGGGTAGGTAGATTTTGTGGCCCAGATTTTCCTGCGTAAATCCTCTGAATCTAAGTGAAACATGGTCTGTTGGTCAGTACGTGCTTCATTAGTGAACTGATAAGGATATCGCAGTCAAGTTGTTTACCCGGTGTGTGGGTTCGAGTAGTTTCAGACATCCTTATCATTTAGCTCCAGCGCTGTTTAATTAAAGTTGTTATTTTAACATGATAACTAACAGTTTGCATTTAATGACATTCAGTAGGATATAAATAGGCACGTATATAAGGAGATATTTTACAGCGACCACAAAGCATTCGCGCGAAACAAACATCGAAGTATGGCGAAGCTTCTGATCCTCGCTGCTTCGTTATTTGTCTCATCCAAAACAGGAGTAACTTCCGTGGGAACAACCACCAGTCCTCAACAACAGAATCCACAAGCTGGCGCTGACAAAGACCCATGTGAGGTAATTTTAAGCATGCTTTATCTACGATTATTTACGACAAAATCGCATGTACTTCATGACGCGTCCATTTGTCATACCTCAGTTTACCACTCATGTCTGCCAAGCTAAGCGCAAAACAAATCCCATGTGAACAAATCAATCATAAGTTTTCAAAGAGAAAGTAGAACATTCCTGGAAAAAGTTTTCTCCTAGGAATATCTCCAGAAGGGTATGAGATCATCCAATGTTCCGAGCTGTTTCTCCAAAAACGAAGCTAAATTCTTAACGTGATTAGTTTCTGAAGAAACTGCTGTGCTACTTCGGCGACACGGAAATATCAATAAACATCAAGTATATCCATTCAATAACTATGTTCTTTTTTTCTTTTTCAGAAATCCATTTTTGCTCACGGATTTTCTGGGATTCCAGGATCGAATGGCATACCAGGAATGCCGGGAATTCCTGGCGCCCCTGGGCCGCAAGGACAACAGGGAAAAGATGGAGCTCAGGGGGAGCCTGGTGTAAGGGGACCGAGAGGTATGACGGGAACAAGAGGACAGAAAGGAAATTCCGGGTCACTTGGTAAAAATGGTGCACCTGGAATGATGGGAATTAAAGGAGATAAAGGTCATGGAGGGTCACGTGGCAGCAGTGGACCGCCAGGAGTAAAGGGTGTGAAAGGAGAGCAGGGATCTAAAGGAGAGAAAGGAGAAATCGTGAATAGTGCAGTGTCACAGACCAACTGGAAACAGTGTGTGTGGAAAAATCTGAATGATGATAGAGATAGTGGAAAGATTAAGGTATCCAAATATCTAGAAAATTCAGTGAAAATAAAGTGTTAGAGCCAATTTGTCATGGCCATCTCAACAAGACTTTAGAGATATGCTATCAAACTGAAAATATCAATTAACAATTCCGTGCATTCTAACAGGCAGGAAAAGTACAAGGTCATCATCACATTGTTCCCTATAATACTCTTTTAAAGCATTTGTTTTTGGGCACTAAGACTGTCTTCTCGGCATTTGTTATAGGACTGCTCATTCAACAAGCTGCAGTCTGATACAGCCATTAAAGTCTCATTCCAGGGAAATATGAGAGTATACAGCTCTTCTAAATGCAACAGGTGGTTCTTCAAGTTTAATGGAAATGAATGCAGTGGACCGATGACAATTGAGGCTGTTGTGTACAACAGCTGGCCATCTAGGAATCCTAGTCTGCTTCATCACAGATCATTTGAGGGATTCTGTGAAAACATTCCACAGGGCAGGGTTACTGTGGAGTTATGGGTAGGACAGTGTCTCACTCATACACTGGGTGATGCTTACACTGGATGGAACTCAGTATCCCGGATAATGATTGAGGAAGTGTCTAGAGCCCAGTCCTAATCACCCTGTCATTTTCAGCTGAGGAATGGAGAAGAATATTCTCTTTTTTATTTATCCATTATTTTAGATTCATAATTTTCTCACATTCTCCATACCACCTAAAAATTGAAGTTGCTGTTTGCCACTAATACTATTTTGCCCTGATAATGTTGGATGTTACGAAGATTCCTTTATTCCAATTTAAACCTTCTGCTTCTTTTTGATCATATGTACTTTTCTTTGTACTTTTTAGTTTATGCTATATACCGGTAGATACCTACACCCCTCTAAAAATTTTTTTTACAGAATTATTTTAAGTTTGTCTCTGTATTACAGTAAAACTGTTTGACATGTGAAAATGATAGTTTCTTTAATCATTAGTGATACAACTGTGTGTGCTTCTTAGTACTTTTGGTTACATCACAAACCAGATATGATCTCTCGCTTTTTTCCATTATTTCTATCATCTTTTCCTCAGTATCTCGAAAAATAGTTTTGAAACCCTTTTTAAATATTAAATGAAGACAAAAGATCCATAGTATGATAACAAATTGAAGGGAAAATGTTTATCATGAAATTTTAAAATTAATTCAATATTTTTAAATTAGATTGTATTCACAGCTAGTTTCTTTTAATGGAAATCAATTTTCTCCATCCTGTTTGTTCTGGAGAGTCCTTTAGATCTGGTGGTACATCTGCAATTTCATTAAAATAAAAAAGTAGCAACAAAATGTCAAAGGGTCAGTGGGCACAGACAGCCCAAGCTCATAACTTACTACTTGATCTTACTCGTTAAATCTGAATCCAATTAGGTAGGTTGATGAAACATCTTATTCCCATTTTCCTGTTTAATCCTCACTCGTTCCCAGTCCTTAATCCCTTTTTGCAACATGGGGCAGAGGAGAATTCAGTTGGAAGCTGATTGTGAACTTCAAGAAAGACAACTTGGAATAGGTCATTCTAATTTTTTCCCCTTTCGACCCGGGTTTCCATGCCTGAAAGAGGAAAATTTCCGCTAACAAAGAACTTCCCCTAAAAATTGTAGTTTTAGTTGATTATTGACAATTAGTGAAACCTACAATCAATTCCATTTACAAATGTTTTATGTGGCAGCTCAGGAGAACAGAAAAAGACAAATCTAGAGAATAAACAGTCAAGTTTCTAGACTGCTTACAAAAAAACATAACTCAGCTGATCTTTCCCTCAAGTTTTTTCAGAAGAGGGTGTCAAAGGGGGGGTTCCAATCACACATCACGTTGAATTTTCTATCGAATCACGCATCACGGGTAATTTTTTTTTAACCAATCACGCGTCACGTATAAAGGAGTAAGTACACTAATCTAACACGGTAAGATTTCAACCTATCGGATGTATTATTGAAAATTATATTGTATCCAACGATTTTATCCTGGAATGAATTGCGTTTCACTTGTCATATTGCTTTTTGTAAGACAAATGAAGATGATTTACTTGTTGAAACTAGACAACCAAGCGGTCGACAAAAAGAACACTGAAGAACATAGTCCCTGTGCAAATGTTAACTACATTAACTTATGCATATTGTGTTACGATTGTTCGGACCTACTTGGAAGATCAAAGACATCAAAGGTCAGGCGAAGGTCAGCAAAGGACGGAAAAGACCAGAAAACAGTTTGACGGCTGCCATGGTTTATTGATCTTTGTAAGACTCTATTTCCTTTGAATGATTGGTTTCCTCTTGGCCAAAGAGCGTTCATTATCACGGATATCTAATTAGTAAGTCTTGTAAATCACGCGTCACGCACTTGTAAAATAGAAAACCACCCATCAAGTTGTGATGTCCGGTCCCGCGTCACGCGGATAATTTGGGTTCAATCACGCGTCACCCTGCAGGTTTTGGGGCCAAGTGCCACACATTACAAAGTAAACCTTGCTTTAATTTAATAAACACAACAAAATAATCTCATCTGTAACACATGCAAGTACGAGGTTTGATCTTTATTTGTCAACTTTTTGGTTAACGTTTTCACACCCAAGATCTTATTGGTAATTCTCCTTACTGTCTGCCAGACAATTCTTGTGATGTGAGTTTGGAAAACTTGGTATTGGATCAACTAACAATCGCTACTTGATATTTTGATATATCGAGGGATACTGTGAAAACATCCCACAGGGCAAGGTGACCGTTGAATTATTGGTAGGAAGATGTCCCGGTGAATCACTGGGTAAGGCTTACATTGGATGGTCATTACTGTCCCATATAAAGTTAGAGGAAGTGTCAAGAGCCCAGACCTGATCACTCCTATCGTCTGCACTTAAGATGACTTTTCAGCATTGCACTGTGCATCATGCACTGAGCATCATGCACTGCGCATAGATATCAAGTAATCAATTTAATAAGTGTTGGTTTTCAGGCAAAGGACGAGGCAAACAGCTACTTTGATCTTTTGCTCTTGAAAAGGCACATTGACTAATATTGTTTATTGGATAATTTGGTTTAAAAATTATCTCCTTTAATTCAGAGAGACATAAAAAAAATTATCAGTGGAAAAAGATATAGTTAAAAACGCGCAGGAGGCCGTTACTCGAGGATGGAAATCATGATCTTATATGCAATGCCTCAAAGAACGCTTTTAGTCGATGTCGTTTAAAATCGGTTAATTTTTTCCATAAATTAAAAAACAAACATCACGAACTATTTTTTTATTGCATTTTTCGAAACAGACCTTGGTAGGGAACATTTAAGGGAAGTTTAACTTTTTTTTCATTCTTCCATCATCGTGATTTTCTAGATTGTCTCCAATTTTCAATATCGCAAGATATTTGTCTAACTTTTTGTTAGTAACAACTTTTGCTCTAAAAATATTCCCTGTTACCATTCCATTACTCCACAAAAAAAAGCTGGTATTTTTAACAAACTTGACAATTTGATCCCCTCCCTAAGTTTCTCCTGAGTAATTTGCAATCCGTTTGCAATCTCTCCCCTATTTTATGCACAGCAGGTAAAATAAATGTTTAATACGGAAGAGTAGTCCTTATACCTGATTAATTTTAAAGAATCAAAAGGAATCTAAGGCCTCAACACGACATACTGTAAGCGGTAAATTAGGTAGTTGCTGCCTGTGAAGGAAAACTGAGAATGTTTTAATAAAAAAAAAAGACAGTTTTTTTAATCATTAGTGATACACCTGTACATGCTTCTTTTCATGTTGGCTACATTGTCATCATTTCCTTCGTCTTTTTCTCAGTTCTTGCAAAAAAGTCTTGAAACCCTTCAAACACATTGATGAAGAAAAAGAGTTGTCCCTTGTACACAAAAGAAAAATGTTTATCACAGTCTCGCAACTGAGTTAGCATGTTTTCAATTAAATTTTATTTACTAGTCTCTCTTTAAAGAGACATATTTCCTCCATCCTGTTTGTTCTGGTAAGTCCTTTGAATCTGGTGGCACATCTATGATTTACTGTCGATAAAAAGTAAATACAAAATGATTAAGGGCGAGCAAGCACAAAGAGCGTAAACTCTTAAAAATAGTATCTATTATATTTCCTTTAGTCAAAACATGAGATGTGAAATGAAATTTTCATTAAACTAAACATGACTCTTGCCATGCAGAAGAATGATGCAGTATTATACAAATCTGCATAGCGTAATCTAACGTATTAAAGAAGTACTGGGATTTACTCAGTGTAAACTCACGTACCGAATAAAAATCGTTTTTCTTTGATGAAAAGCAATCCCATTGGTCATGGGATTTTTCTCGTTAGTTAAAAATATCGTTTGACTAATCAGAAGGGTAATAGGGTTTTTTTTCACAAGTGGGAAAATTGTATCGGTTTTTCTGCCTTTTGGAGCGGCATGCGAAATAATTGAGAGTGAATGTCTGCAACGCTCCTGAAGGTAAGATTAAATTTTCCACCCGTATTCAGTGCATAATTTTGATAGCATAACTGCATAATTATAATAGCAAGAGCATCGAAGATAATGCCGAAATAATAACGTAAGTTAAAAAAAAAATCCCTATGGTGTTACACTTTAACAAAAGATGAATTCTGTAGCCTGAGTAATGGCCATAATGAAACTGCTTTTCTTGCTCCCACTTAAAGAATTTGCAAGTTTTTCCTTCTGATAGTAGGAATGGGGAGGGGAGAGGGATGGGGAGGAGAGAGGGAGGGGGAGGGAGGGGGAGTGCACGCGCTTATTCAACTGATTACGTGATATCTATGCGCAGTGCATGATGCGCAGTGCATGATGTGCAGTGCATGGCGCGTAGTGCAATACTAAAGAATCATGAGCTAATACATTGTTATTTTGAGCTTTTTGAAAAATTCTAAGCATAATGTTTGGCATAACGCCATTTTTCCAGGGGGAGACACTCGAAAACAATGTTACTCGAAACTAATCTGAAACTAAATGCCACTTTCAATGAGCATACGCTGATCATACATGAGCGTGTGTACAGGAAGACGGATAATTCAGGTCTTTAAGAACGCCATACTGAACATCTAAGCTAATTAAAGTGTTGACATGTCTTAAAAGTATTGTCCAATAGGAGATTTTGTTTTAAATCGCACACAATTTTCAGAATTTTCAACACAAAGCTACATAATTTCAGGCCGTGAATTCGAGTAAAGCATGGTAAATCTATTACGCGAATCTTTTACATGCAAGAAATTAGTACGTTTTTTTCGCTTCTAAGCAGTAAATTTAGCTTTCCTTTAAAAGTAGCTTTAGTCTGGAAAATTTTCTTGGTCTAGAAGCTTAGGATGATCTTAGCTTCGTCTCGAACAACTCACGAGTCTCTCGTGCTCTCCAAACCTCCCGCATGTATCCATGGCATATCTGGATATACGCACGCTAAGCATGAAGAACATGATACATCCTGCTATGCAAATAAGGCGAGCTCGTGACCGATCATCTTCCTCAGATGCCAAGTCATAAACACGGCCATGCTGGTTGTCTTCTGATGATCTTCATGGATGATCATGGATAATCACAACTTCTGGGAAGCTCTAGGAAATTCACCCAATAAGGAAACAAGGAAAGGAAATAAAGCTGTTTTCGATAACACCGTACCTTATCACATCCCTTCTGAAATCACTGGTCATTTGGTCAAAGGCTAAACGGAAATCATGCCACTGACCATATCAAATATCTTTTCCTCCTTAATATGTCACGTTTGATCAGAGAAGGGATGCTACGTGGCCTGGATTTTCCGGGTAATTTCTCTGAATTTATGAAGATTACGTGCTTCATTAATGAACGTGATAAGGATATCATAGTCAAGTTATTTACCCGTGTGTGATTTCGAGTAGTTTCAGACTTCCTTTCCATTTGATTAGCTCCATCGCTTCCTTGTTAAAATTCTTATTTTAGAATGGTAGCTGAGAGTTTACATTTAAAGGAAATTCTTTAGGATACAAAAAGGCACGTACAGAAGGAAATGCTTCACAACGAACAAAGTCAGTGTGTAAACATCCGATTATGGCCGTCATTAATCTGTATTCATTAACACGCCAGCTAGATCAAGTAACAGATACTTAACAGTTTCGTTTGCTAAATTGAAAGATTTTGTTAAACTTCTTTGAGGTTAAATTTTGTAAAATAAACAAAAGGTCAATATGCTTAATTAAGAACTAAGGTTGTACTAAGAAATGTTAAATATATTTCAGAGAAAAATTTACCTCTGTTCCCGAGGAGATCTAACAAAGCAGTCATGAGGTACTGTAATAGTTCTTGACTGACAAATGATAACTTGCCCCTTCAAAAAAGCGTTAGCTAATTAAAAAAAAAAAAAAAAAAATCTCGAAAATTTTTTCAATGAGCATGCGTTATCTATACTTGAATTTATGTACAGGAAGATAGACAATACATGAAGTTTTCTAATTCTTTGAAATGAGCTTGAGGTCTCCAGGAACACTATACTGAACATCTGACGGCTTGGCCGCTTTAATACTGCCGCATTTTTCTAATTACAACACGGTTTTCTGTGATACTAACGACTGGCCGGGTCAAAATAACTAAAAATATCCCGCATTTCCTCAATCAAAAACATTATTGTTTCAGTTTAACAAGATTTGCAGCATGACGCGTCTGAAATTTGTACCGTTAATACATATGGTTAAGTTTGAAGATGAAAATCTATCACACTGCGTCAGAAAGGTCTAACACTAGGTATTTAGAACGTTTAATAATTAATCCAAAGGCCAAACGAAGATCACGTCAGTCACAGACTTTATCAAATTTCTATGCCTCCTCAATATGTCGCGTTTGATCAGAAAGGAACATTTCATTGCGCAGATGTTTCCGGGAAATTCTATGTATTTGTAGGGGGGTACGTGCTTCATTAAAAACGTGATAAGGATATCAGAGTTAAGTTGTTTACACGTGTGTGATCTCGAGTAGCTTGAGACTTCCTTATCATTTAGCTCCATCGCTTCCTACACTTAACATTTCAAGGAAATTCTCTGAGATATAAATAGGCGCGAATATAAGGAGATATATATTTCATTCATAGAACACGAACTGCTCGTGTGAAGCAACTATCGAAGAATGGCGAAGCTTCTGATCCTCGCTGCTTTGTTAATTTTCTCATCCAAAACAGAAGTAAGTTCCGTGGGAACAACCACCAGTCCTCAACAACAGAATCCGCAAGCTGGTGCTGACAAAGACCCATGTGAGGTACACTTAAGCATGCTTTATCCGCAGTTCTTTACTGTAAAATTGCATGTACTTCATGAAACGTTCATCTGCACACCTAAGTTTACTACCCATGTCTACCAAGCTAAGCGCAAAACAAATCCCTCATCAATCATAAGTTTTCAAATACAAAGTAGAACATTATTGGAAAAAGTTTTCTTTTAGGGATATCTCGACAAGGTTATGATATCATTCAATGTTCTGAGCTGTTTCTCATAAAACGAAGTTGCATTCTCAACGTGATTAGTTTCTGAAGAAACTGCTGTGCTACTTCGGCGGACAATTAAATATCAATGAACATCAAGTACGTCCATCCAATTACTATACGTTCTTTTTTCTTTCTCAGAAATCCGTTTTTGCTCCCGGATTTTCTGGGATTCCAGGTTCGAATGGCATACCAGGAATGCCGGGAGTTCCTGGCGCCCCAGGGCCGCAAGGGCAACAAGGAAAAGATGGAGCTAAGGGGGAGCCTGGTGTCAAGGGACCGAGAGGTATGACGGGAACTAGAGGACAAAAGGGAAATCCAGGGTCACTTGGTAAAAATGGTGCACCTGGAATGATGGGAATAAAAGGAAATAAAGGTCATGAAGGGTCACGTGGCAGCAGTGGACCGCCAGGAATCAAGGGTGTGAAAGGAGAGCAGGGATCTAAAGGAGAGAAAGGAGAAATCGTGAATAGTGCAGTGTCAGAGACCAACTGGAAACAGTGTGTGTGGAAAAATCTAGATGATGGTAGAGATAGTGGAAAGATTAAGGTACAGAAATATCTAGAAAATGCAATGAAAAATAAATAAAGCGTTAGAGCCAATTTGTCATAGCCATCTCTGAAAGAGACCTTAGAGAAATGCTATCAAACTGAAAATAGCAAGTTGCTAATCTGTGCAAAGGAGAGAAAGGAGAAATCGTAAATAGTGCAGTGTCACAGACCAACTGGAAACAGTGTGTGTGGAAAAATCTAAATGATGATAGAGATAGTGGAAAGATTAAGGTACAGAAATATCTAGAAAATGCAATGAAAAATGAAGTAAGTGTTAGAGCCAATTTGTCATGGCCATCTCTAAAACAGACTTTTGAGAAATGCTGCCAAACTAAAAATATCAATTAACAATTCTGTGCATTCAAGCAGACAGGAAAAGTATAAGGTCATCATCAAATTATTTTCTATAACACTCCTATGAAAGGTTTTTTTGCACTAAGACCGTCTTCTTGACATTTTTTAAAGGATTGCTCATTCAACAAGCTTCAATCTGATACAGCTATTAAAGTCTCATTCCAGGGAAATATGAGAGTCGATGGCACTTCAAGTAAATGCAACCGGTGGTTCTTCAAGTTTAATGGAAATGAATGCAGTGGACCAATGACAATTGACGCTGTTGTGTACAACAACTGGCCATCTGGGAATCCTAATCTGCTTCATCACAGATCATTTGAGGGATACTGTGAAAACATTCCACAGGGCAGGGTTACTGTGGAGTTATGGGTAGGACAGTGTCACGGTAGTTATCCACTGGGTGATGCTCACACTGGATGGAACTCAGTATCCCGTATAATGATAGAGGAAGTGTCTAGAGCCCAGTCCTGATTACTCTCGTCGTTTTCATACAAGGAATGGTGAACAATATTATACTATATATATATACTATATATTCTCTTTTTCATTCCTCCATTACTTTAGATTTCATAATATTCTCACATTTCCATGCTGCCCAAAAATTGAAGTTACTGTTTATCACAAGTACTATTTTGCCCTGATAATGTTGGATGTTATGAGGATTCCTTTTTTCTAATTTAAACCTTCTGCTTTTTTTAATCCCGTGTACTTTATTTTATGCTATGTACCACAAGATACCTTCGTCCCCTCCTGAAAATGTTTCCTGAATTATTTTAGGTTGGTCTCTGCATTACAATAAAACTCTTTGACATGTGTTAGTCAGCAAAATTATAGTTTCTATAGTCATTAGTGATATGTGCTTCTTTGGATTTTTGTTTACATTACAAACCAGGTGTTTCTCACTTTTTGTCATTATTTCTATCATCTTTTCCTCAGTATCTTGAAAAATAGTCTTGAAGCCCTTTAAAAACATTCAATGAAGACAAGAGATTCCTTGTGCGATCACAAATTGAAGGAAAAATGTTGATAATGGGATCTCACAACTGATTCAATATTTTTCAATCGAATTGTATTTACAACTAGTTTCTTTTTCAGGGAAATATGTGACCCTCCATGGGAAAATGGACACTAACGCTTTTCCGTTAAACGGTGTAGAGAAACGGTTTTAAATTGATAATAAACGGCTAACTCAAGCGTTTAAACGGTTTCCATAACGGCTTAAACGGATGGCAAAAAATTTAAAAGGTTGACCAAAGTCCAAAACCGGATAGCTTAGGACTTCTAACGGTTCACCTAACATAAAAACGGATAGCACAAAACGTTAAACGGTTTACCAAAGTCCAAAAACGGATAGCTCACACTGTTTAACGGTTGACCAAAAATAAAAACGAATAGCACGAAAAGTTAAACGGTTGACCAAAGTCCAAAAGCGGATAGCTCACATTGTTAAAACGGTTGACCAAAAATAAAAAACGAATAGCACGAAAAGTTAAACGGTTGACCAAAAATAAAAAACGGATAGCACGAAAAGTTAAACGGTTGACCAAAGTCCAAAAACGGATAGCTCACACTGTTAAACGGTTGACCAAAAATAAAAACGGTTAGCCCGAAACGTTAAACGGTTGCTAAAAATCGGAGAGCTAAAAATCAATGTTAAACGGTTGTGGTTGAGCCGGCAATATCTTCTGCGGAAAAACTTTCCGAGTGACAACGGATAATTATCTTAAAGCGAAAACATTGAGCTTGATGATTCGAAAAATAATAACCAGTATATACTTGCGCATTTTATTTCTGGGTTAACTACTGCCGTTTTCGTGTGACATTCATGAAATAAGGGCAATTTGCTGAGAATAGTTTAGCTGCCAAAAATCCCGAACGGCTACTGCGAGAAACTCATAATCTTCTCCTTTGTTTATTCTTATTATTATTGAAAATGAACTTCGTGTTTTTTTTGTTCTGAAGTTTCGCGAAAAAAATTTGCATACGTAATTCCGCCACCTTGTCGGAAGCCGAGACGCTTCAAGGTCAAATAACGCAATGAAGTTCCATTGCAAATAAAAGGTCGAATCGGTGTCACGCACCAAGCGGGGCCGTTGAAATGATTGTCAATAAAACCAAGAAAGATAAATTAAGATGATATAAACAGAGAGTAGCCGATTTAGCAGTCCAATTCGGCAGTCCATCGACTGGGGGTCTGCGAAATAAACCAACCCAGCTCACTGCGGCTGAAACACAACCCGATAAATGCTAGACAGCATAAGGTCAGTTCAACTGTAAATTGAAGTAAGCTTATTTACATGTTTGCTAAGGCGAGACTTCGAGTTAACTTTACTTTTGATGGACTTCCACACCTTTTCTTTCTCCGTGGCAGATTCAATTAGAAAGTAGCTAAACACTAGCACCCTCAACGCTTGAAGTATGTAACATCTAGCCGCTGTTTATTGTGGGTGCCGTCAGTGTTGCTGTTGCTCAGCTCTTCCGAGGTATAGAAGAAAGGCAAAAGTTTCAGAGCGCACCGGTGCCTCTCTTCTTCCTTTTCCAAGACGTCTCGCACCCCTTTCGATTTGCTGGGCGTCACCAACGATCGTATGACGTCTTCACCGACTTTATCGTCCTCGAGGGTTGTTGACTGAATTGCCGGTGTCCGAGCGGATTTGGATCCCTCAACAGAACTGAGTGAAAACATCATCCTCAACGTTCTCGTAGAAATAGACAATACTTTACGTTTCAATGCGTACTAAAGTATGTTTTTAATTCAAAATATGCGTATCTTCGATGCATACGAACTGGCAGCTAGAAATGGCCCGTCGGATGTTTCTTTTGACCAAGGGAAAATGTACAAGCATTTAGTTCAATGTTCGGAGAAAGGTCGTTTTTGAACCTTCTCCGTGATAATCGAACACCGTTAGATTCAGTAAGAGACAAACTTATGACACTAATGTTACTGTTCAATGCCCAAGTGTTGGGACGACATGGTACAGTGCGAGTTTGTTATTTCAGATACCTCAACAGTTAATAATCGTTAAAATTAGAAAATAAGATTGAGATCGATGAAATAGTCTCCACTTTTGTTAAGACGTAGACATTAATGTCGATTTGCATCTGAAAATAAGCTGAGAGTTCCAATAGTTCAGAATAGAAACATTTTTTCTTATCATAGGCTTTACGAACGACTTGTAGTAGGAGTTGTTACTTCGTTCTTGTTCAGAAACTGTTTAATGTTATTTAATTAGAAAATCAGACTGAGTTATTTTTGTGACTAGACGCAATAGTCTCCACTATTGTTATGACGTTTCGTATCAATGTTGATTCGCATCAGAAGAAGCAAAGATTTATTGTTACAATTTCAATCGTTCGAATACAGTAGTTTGTTCGCATCTAATTCTTGCGTATACTGTACGACTCGCTATGATAAATGCGGCAGGATTGGAACGAAATGGCTGTTTTTCTTCACCTTTATTGAGGAATGTTGTTTTGTCATATAAAAGAACATCGACAAAAAGCTTGCAAATAGAATTAGTTACCAAATTTGATGCAAACGATGCTTAGTAGGAAAGTTTGTTGGGGGGCCCAAATCTGCAAAGAGGGGTTCATATCCGCTAGCGGATTTGGACCGGGGGGGTCCAAATCCGCGGTGGCACTGGCGTTATTATATTTTTTCCATCCTGTTTGTTCTTGTACATCCTTTCGATTTGCTGGTACATCTGGACTCTCTTTTTATGATAAAAAACAAACAAAAAAACAAATAAAAAATAGCAATGGATGACAGTCACAGACCACGGTTAGCCTGAGCTCACAACAAGAGTATTATTTTTCTTTTCTTCAAAAGATGAGATGTAAAATGGCAGTTTCGTGAAGCAGAACATTACTCTCGCCTTGCAGAAGAAGTCTGTTTTATTAGAAAGTTTGAAATATTTTGGAGAGTTTATAAGAAAGTAAAAAGTTTTAGTAAGCAAAGTTAGGAATTATTGTGTTGCTATTTAAGTCTCATTCCAGGGAAATATGAGAGTCGAAGGCACTTCAGCTAAATGCAACCGGTGGTTCTTCAAGTTTAATGGAAATGAGTGCAATGGATCAATGACAATTGATGCTGTTGTGTACAACTATTGGCCATCTGGGAATCCTAATCTGTATCATCACAGGTCATTTGAGGGATACTGTGAAAATATTCTACAGGGCAGGGTTACTGTGGAGTTATGGGTAGGAAAGTGTCTCAGTGGTCATACATTAGGTGATGCTTACACTGGATGGCAATCAGTATCCCGGATAATGGCAGAGGAAGTGTCTAGAGCCCAGTCCTGATTACTCATGTCATTTTCATCCAAGGAATGGTGCACAATATTTAATTTTTCTATCATCCTAGCTTTTAAGATTTCCCCCACTATCGATATCCTAAAGTACGTAATGTTTACTTTTTTCAACAAACATCATTTTCTTCTCTAAACATTTCCCCTACTTTTAGTGTGCTTGGAGTACAAGATAATTAGGTTTCATCATCTGAGATGATAAGGTTACTGATTTCTTTTCAATCGCGGGAGAAGGAAAGACTGCTTGTAATATATAACTAACAAATATTTACCAAAGTAGAGGTGGCTGGTGGAAGATATTTCCCGAGCTGCGAAGCGGCGAAGAAAATATCCACCCTTGCCACCCACATTGAGTTGAATGGTTGTTTTAGTGAATTAGTCTATCCTAAAAAAAGTGAGTAAATATAGCACAAAAAAAATCACTCATTTATTCTTGCAATGGCTAGAATAAATTTCTGGCGCGCGCGTTGCTTAAAGGTGAATAAGAAAGGAAATGCAGAATTTGAGCAACCAATCAGAGCGCGATTTCAACGCTATCCACTACAAAAACACCTTTCATCACATGCACAACTGAACTGGCAAATATCCACACCTGATAATGAAACAGTAGAAAGCAAAAAATTATTATATGCGTGATATTTTTTCTGTTTTTTTTTTCCATTTTATTGATATTGAATTGGACCCTTTTGAGAAGCCAGTCTGCAATTTGCTTCATTAAAATGTATCAACAAATTTTGAACATGAAAATCTATCGCACCGCCATATGATAAACAAGAATCAAACAGACGGTTTCTAAAAAGTTTTGAGCTATTTTGATATCGATCGGGAATATACATGAATATCATAATCGACCAGAGGACAAATGAACATGATCACAGACCATATTAAACTTATTTTCCTTCTCAATATGGCAAGTTTGATCACAACACGAACATTTCGTGGCACCGATTTTTCTGGCTAATTTCTCTGACTTTTCTCTTATTTGGTGTAAATAAGCACGAGTAAATTTTTCAAAGATGACAAAATTTTATGAGCCCGAAGTAGAGTGCAATTTGCAGTCATTTAAAAATTTACAAGACGTTAATTTATCTCATTTGTGTCAGTAAATAACATGATTTCGAGTGCAATTTGGTGTAAATAGGCACGAGTAAATTTTTCAAAGATAACAAAATTGCACGAGCCCATAGGGAGGGTGCAAGTTGTAGTCTTTAAAAAATTTACAACAACATAGTGACACCAAATTGCAAGAGAAATCATCATATTACTTGCTATTATAAAATTTTCAGAGAAATGCGCGCTGTGATTGGACATAACGAGTTCGCTATATTTCCATAAGGCACGTGCCTTACGTCTCACGAGTGCACTGTTGAGATATAGTGTACGCAGCCAACGTCATCGGTACGAGCGCACGCAATTCACGATACGTTTTCTAAAAGAAATAAAAAAGCTTGTTTCTCGAGCATTGTTTAGTTATATAAGCACTGGGGAATTTTTTAGAACACTCGCGAAGTGCAAGAAGCACTCGCCTTCGGCTCGTGCTTCTCCGTGCTTATATAACTCAACAATACACTCGGCGCGTTTTTTATTCTTTAATAATGTACAGGGGGAAAAAAACGCAGAAAGTCCAGACAGACGAAATTTTGAAGGCGTGCGGGGGCCATTTGTAATCAATTTGCACTCGTGCTACAACTTTGCACGCGTGTTTCATGAGAATGCAATCGTTTTCAGCTAATCAGAAGCGCGTAAATTTTTCCTGTACATTATTAAAAGGATTAAAGCGTTTGTTACATTTTTCGGGATTCGAGTGCGGCGTTTAATTTATACGAGGGCAGCGTTTCTGAAACATTTCTCGGGATCCCTTGTGTCTTGCCGTGATCGACCGCTGCAAATTAAAAACAATGTACCAGTTCAACTAGCGTATCAAATAACTGACGTCATGCGGCCTCAAACCCACAGGGTTGTCTGCCTGTAGCAACATTGTGGGAACATTCACTGCTCCGAGGTGCACTGTTAGGGGGAAAATTATGTGTTTTAGTTTTGGACAAATTTTCAGTATTTTACGGCCGCGCAGTTCAAATTTATTTTACCGGTTTCGACCTAGTTTCTGTGTTCTGTTCGTTCTTTGACTCGACCGGTTGAGCGGTAAGGAATCATGAACGAGTTGTTCTATTCAAATTGTTATTATTCAAATTTTTGTTATTATTGTAAAAGTTATAACCAGAAAAAGTGAATTGTTGATATATATCACAAAATATTATATTTAGGGTTTTCGTGGGTTTTTGGGCAAACATCTTTAATAAATATTCATACACTTTCGCATTTGAAATATTCGTTTATTCGGGTTTTTCTTTTTAGTAGTTAAATAAAATGTATAAAAACCACAGTGGCTTTTAGAATAGAGTTTGCTTGTTATTCGCTTCCACCATGCACCTGCATGTCGGTATTTTTGTTGTTCGTAGGTAAATATAAGTGTTATTGGTCTTTTTGGCCAAAATTAGTTCTCATGGTAGTTTGCAGCTGAGTTTATACTCGAAACTTCAATTTCCTTTCGTACGATCAGACTTAACACCAACCTTGCATAGATTAGCAGGAACTTTTAATTACTTTTCCGCTCTTATTTCCTAAGCTGCGCTACTGCAATTTAGAAAAGTACATTTTCCATACCAGAGCTGTGACTTCTCACCTAAGTTTCCTAATTTTAATGGCCTCGAGTTTGTCATATCCGTCCTTTTAATTTGTAATTCTTCCTTGGTAGAAACAGTTGGGAATATTTAAGTAGTTTTCGTTTAACTTCAAAGAGACCTTTTCCGCTCCTTTGTGTCCTTATTCAAATATTGCGATTTGTGTAACAATAGCACTTCACACCAGTTAGTTGAAAAAGCAGCTACCTTGTACAGTTTAGTTGATTGCAATTTGTGTACGCTAGAGGTCATGCCGCTTGTTGGCCTGACTTAGAATAAAGCTTACTGTGGAACCAAAGATTGTCTTATCCTTGACGTCCGTATAAGCTCGCTCGAAGTAGATCTCCGTGTACCAGGGAATCGTGACGAGTTTCCGTTCTCGCTGCCAAGTGGTCTCTACCGAGTTATTTCCCCCAGTTATTGTGCCGTCCGCAGAGATTCAGTTTCCCAGTTTGGGCGCGAAAACCTATCGTCACGGCATTCGTCAGGTGAAAAATTTATTTGTTCTGGCGAAAACATTTTGCATCATCATCCAACAGAAATTGCTGCGCTGTCTGAACAGACAAGTAAGTATAGCAATGAACAACTAGTACGTACACCCAATCAATATATACAGTTTTTTCTTTCCAGATATCCATCTTTGCTCAAGGATATTCTGGCATTCCAGGATCGAATGGTATACCAGGAATGCAGGAATTCCTGGTGCCCCAGGGCCGCAAGGACAACAAGGAAAAGATGGAGCTAAGATGGAGGGAACGAGAGGCATGACGGGGAGAGGAAGGGGAAAAAGGAAATGAAAGGTCACGTGGTAATAATGGTGCACCTAGAATCAAGGGAATTAAAAAATATAATTGCAATGTAGGTTGTTTTGGTGGCAGATGCTTTAGAAACGCTTTAAGGTGGCCAATTTACATTATCAGTTCAGTTAATAAAACCTTATTATCTTGTAATACCACTCACTGACGTAGTACCACAGTTACAAAATTACCCTCTTTGAACATCTAAGGGCTTGGCCGCCTTTTCCTGCTGCATTTTGCTGCTTAAAACACAGGGGTGAAACAGACGAATGCTATCACCTATTTCCTAAATCAAACACGTTATTACGCCAGTTTAATTAGATTCTCAGTTATATAAGTATTCGAACGTTTGGGGAATCGCTTGAGTAAACTGGGTGGAAGGCACCATGAATATTGGATCCTAAAATCTTCTTATTTTAGGTAACATGTCTTCCTGCTACAACTTTAACCTAACTAACTCTCGCTAACTACTACGACCAAAAAGATATGCAAAGATCGATATTCTCACTTGGTTGTGTTTTCTTAACCTTGGAAGTTGACACCACACCTGTGCACTATGCGAGATAGGGGTATATAAGGCTGTGTGAAAAATAATCTGAAGCATTAAAGGCTTACATTCTTGAGATAAATTCTGTTATCCAATAACAGTAACAGATGTGACCCTTCCGCTGATAAAAAACCTTTAAGTCTTGTGGAAAATGAAATGAAATACCTAAAATAGTGATAATTAGTAGAAACATCACTTTCGAGAACAAACCAAAAGTGACACAAAAATATCGTTCTTGATTTTTAACTACACAACACGAGCCTACAATTCGCACCACTGACTAACACAAAACAGATTTTGGAGACGAAAATATATCTCACCGCCTCAATGTAAGTATGAATACCGTAATCGACCATACAACAAATAAACATGATATCAGGCGTTTCAGTGTCCGCAGAAACGCTCTCCTGAACTTCTAAGGGCTTGACCGCTTTTATCCTGCCGCAGTTGGTGAATTAGAAGGCTGTTATCTGTAATATTTAATAGCAGGTCAAATTAACCAATGCTATCACGGTGCCGCTACGAGCCATTTGCAGGGGGAAGAGGGAGAGAGGGAGTGAACCGATACGATGATACGATCCGCCCATTGCTGACTAAAAAGTTAGCATATACCCTTTAATGTCAATAGGTGCGATTTTACTGACACGTTGTTGCTCCATAGTGCTACTGAGGTAAGTTTTCAATCAGCGCAACGGACTCAATGATCGTTCTGTGGAACACGATGTAGCAGGTATCACAGCAAGAATATGTACCACTTTAGAAAACTGGAAACGTATCAAACAGATCATTCTCGTGCATTACCCTGAGCATCTCTGAAACAGTTATGTGGCCTAATGCACGCACACGACGAAAGCTCGCGTACATTTTCTTCTCGGGCTCCAGAATCTCGCCGCCGATTTTGTAAAATTAACATCGCGGGAGAAGCTTTCATTATCAGGTGCTTCACTGTGACAGAGAGTTCCCAAAGTACAGATTATTTCTACTAAACCTGGGCTCAAGCTCGGTCAGCATCTTGTCGATGGACGCATAATAAGCGTTAATATAAGGTGGTGCAATTCCGATGTCAGATGCCTTTATCCTGCACGTGATCGCCTACAAGGTCTTGAAGGCTGCGCGATGGCGTTTCTCAGAGTGCCCTGGCTTCTCGTAATTCAAACTGAGAACTGGGGAACCACCTCTAAATTTTCAGACCCATTGCTAACAGTATTTGCCATACGCTGTTGAAACTTATTTCTTGACTACGACACTGGCGTCTGTAAGGTCATGTCGTCATTTCTAGAACTGCAGATGACATCGAACGTCTTCCCCTGAAGATATCAGCACAGATTATAAGTGTTGCTCAGAACTACTCTCAACACTCACAGTCCGAAGATGAATTTAAATGAGTTTTACTACGCCTACTTAAACTTAAAATTAAAAAAATATCACTTTCAAAGAAAAAAAGACGAAACGAAACTTGGAAACTTTTATTAAAATTGGCTTTGCCAAAATTTCTCTTGCTGCCCAAAAAATCTGAGTTGCCCAAAATTTGGGAGGGGGAGGGGAGGGGGTGGCAGCCCCCAGCTCCCCTGGCCCGTACGCTCATGGGTGCTATCACCTGTTTCTTCGATCAAACACATATAGTTTCGGTAAAATTTGATATCACTGAGACGGGTCTGCAATTTGTACCATCATTAAATGTCGACAGATTTTGACTACACCACCTCAAGATAGGTTTGAGTCTAACATGTGGCGCTTGAAAAGGTTTACACTATTTTAGAATGGATCCAATAACACGAATATCGAAATCGAGCTAAGGACAAATGAACATCATATCACAGACTATATCGAACTTTCCTTCTTAATATTTCTCGATTGATCAAAGTAGGTAGATTTTGTGACCCAGATTTTTCTGCGTAATTTCCCTGAATCTGAGTGAAACATTGGTCTGTTGGTCAGTACGTGCTTCATTAGTGAACTGATATGGATATCAGTTGTTTGCTCGGTGTGTGGGTTCGAGTAGCTTCAGACATCCTTATCATTTAGCTCCAGCGCTTTTTAATTAAGGTTGTTATTTTAACATGGTCACTAACATTTTGCATTAGTTGAAATTCAGTAGGATATAAATAGGCACGTACATAAGGAGATATTTTACAGCGACCACAAAGTATTCGCGCGAAGCAACCATCAAAGTATGGGGAAGCTTCTGATTCTCGCTTCTTTGTCATTTTTCGCATCCAAAACAGGAGTAAGTTCCATGGGAATAACCACTAGTCCTCAACAACAGAATCCACAAACTGGCGCTGACAAAGACCCATGTGAGGTTCTTTTGAGCATGCTTTGTCTACGATTATTTACCACAAAATCGCATGTAATTCATGAAGCGTCCATTTGTCATACCTTAGTTTACCACTCATGTCTGCCAAGCTAAGTGCAAAACAAATCCCTCATCAACCATTAGTTTTGAAAGACAAAGTAGAACATTACTGCACAGAGTTTTGTTAAAGGGATATCTCTACAACGTTATGAGATATTTCAATTTTGTGAGTTGTTTCTCCTAAAACGAAGCTAAATTCTCGATGTGATTAGTTTCTGAAGGAACCGCTGTGCTCCTTTAGCAGACAACAAAATATCAAGGAACATCAAGTACGTTCATCCAATTACTATATTTTCTTTCTTCCTTCTCAGAAATCCGTTTTTGCTCGCGGATTTTCTGGGATTCCAGGATCCAATGGCATACGAGGAATGCCGAGAATTCCTGGCGTCCCAAGGCCGCAAGGACAACATGGAAAAGATGGAGCTAAGGGGGAGCCTGGTTTCAAGGGACCGAGAGGTATGACGGGAACAAGAGGACAAAAAGGAAATCTAGGATCACTTGGTAAAAATGGTGCACCTGGAATGATGGGAATAAAAGGAGATAAAGGTCATGAAGGGTCACGTGGCAGCAATGGACTGCCAGGAATCAAAGGTGTGAAAGGAGAGCAGGGATCTAAAGGAGAGAAAGGAGAGATCGTGAATAGTGCAGTGTCACAGACCAATTGGAAACAGTGCGTGCGGAGAAGTCTTAGTGATGATAGAGATAGCGGAAAGATTAAGTTACAGAAATATCTAGAAAATGCAATGAAATATAAATAAAGCGTTAGAGCCAATTTGTCATCCCCATCTCTCTGAAAGAAACTTTCGAGAAATGGTGCCAAACTAAAAATATCAATTAAACATTCTGTGCATTCTTGAAGGCAGGAAAAGTACAAGGTCATTATCAAATTATTTCCTATAACACTCTTATCAAAAATTTCTTTTGCACTTTGACTTTCTTCTTGGCATTTTTTTAGGATTGCTCATTCAACAAGCTGCAATCTGATACAGCTATTAAAGTCTCATTCCAGGAAAATATATAGGCACTTCAAGTAAATGCAACTGGTGGTTCTTCAAGTTTAATGAAAATGAATGCAGTGTGTAACAGCCGTCAATTCGATGTCAATTCCACGTTTTATTCGATCCGATCAACTACGCTCAGCACACCGTTCGAATACAATACCGTACAAGAAATCCTTACAAACAAGCAATTGTCTCTAGCCGTAACCTTGAAAACTGCTGAAATATCCGTAATGCTTCCGTAATGTTCTATTCCTTCGATGCGAGACTAGTTAAACGATCCTTATCCGAGAAATAAAGGCGAAAATAACAAGCGATAAAAGCACGTATATGCCTAGGTTTGACCTAGTGTCGAATGACAACACCTCGGCGCAGACTGGGCCTAGTGCACAGGACACCTAGCATTTACATGGCTCCCCTAAAATGCTCGTCATTTTAACCAAACAAATCTTACTCTAACTCGTTTAGAATACTAGAATTGCTAAGCGTTCTAGATATCCTGTTTCTGTACCATTACAGTTCCTCAGGCTCCTCGTCGGGGATTCCCGGTCTATCCTTAGGTGACTCTAGCAACAGCACAAGTTTATTGACTGGTCGATCCAATACTGATCCAGTTCCGGTTTGAACAGTCACCGATCTGACTTGGTCTTCATCATCACGACGTGTGGTAAGCACTTTAGCCATAAGCCACTTATTCCTACAAGAATTTTTGTCCTTTAATAGAACAATGTCGCCTTCCGTGAAGTTTCTTCTCTTGTGTGTCCACTTTTGTCTCAACTGTAAGATCTGAAGATATTCTTTACTCCATCTATTCCAGAATTCGTTAGCAATATGCTGTACGCGCCTCCAGCGACGTTTGCAGTAAGTATCTTCTCGTTGAAACTTTCCTGGAGGGGGGAGAATGAGCTTGGTTTTACCAGTGAGAAGGGTACTTGGCGATAGTGGCAACGGTGAGAGCGGATCACTTAAGGTCTCGGTAGTCAGAGGACGACTGTTGACAACATCTTCAGCTTCACATAACAAAGTTCGCAACGATTCGTCGTTTAAGCTGTGACCATGCTGTTTCATAAGTGCTGCCATGATGTTCCGCACGGACCGAATTTGTCGTTCCCAAACGCCTCCGAAATTACTTGCAGTAGCAGGATTTCTGATCCAATCAATGTTCTCCTTAAGCAACTCTGCCTTGATTTTCTCATCATCCATTTCTTGAAGTGCTGCCTTTAACTCGTTTTCGGCCCCAACAAAATTAGTCCCTTGGTCACTGCGAAGTTCTCTTATGGGTCCTCTACGACAGGTAAAGCGCCGTAATGCTTGTAAGAATGAATCTGTTTCCATGGAGTGGGCTACTTCGATATGTACCGCACGACTGGCCAAGCAAGTAAATAGGGCTCCGTACCTTTTAACTTCTTTCCTGCCTTCTTTGACATACCACGGACCAAAGTAGTCCACTGCACAGTATGAAAACTGTGGCGCGGGTTCAACACGGGAACTTGGGAGGTTGGCCATTTTCTGTTCTCCAAAGGTACCACGGAGATGTCGACACGTGACGCACTTTGATATGAAGTGTCTGACCGCAGCATTTCCATTGATAATCCAGTAACCACTCGAACGAAGTTCGTTTAAGGTGAGACCTCTTCCGCTGTGGTGAGTTTTCTCATGGGCGTGACGGAGGACCAGCTCTGTAATATGACCAGCCTTCGGTAAGATGACAGGGTTCTTAAGACTGTCTGAGAGGTTAGCCTTCCTTATCCGTCCTCCGACTCTCAACATTCCTCTGGCATCCAGGTATGGGTCGAGGGCGTTAAGGCTGCTACTTTTCTTCAAAACTGCTTTCCTTTCCTTATCATGATGACGATCTTTAGGCACACTTCCGGTCTGGGTTTGGAAATCTCTCAGAATCTTGATTTCTTTATCGAAGTAATTCGCTTGCACCAGCTTGAGAATTTCTGTTTCTGCTTGTTCAAGGTCTCTGACCATAAAGGAAGTAGCCGGGCAACCTTCACATTCACGGCTTCGTCCATTAACTTGAGGACCGTCAACAGTTACAGGTCTCTTGTCTATTTTACTGGCTCTCATCTTGAGACGCCGTTTGTATTCCATACAAAGCGCAACTGCGCCCTTTAGGACTTGCCACTTGGAGAATCCTTTGAATCTGCTTAACATGTTTTCGTGTTCTTCAATCACTGTCGCGTTAGCGGTAACCCCTTTAACGTCAGGAGAATTGTGGTCGACCTCTTTTTCGTATGAGTCTTGTTGAGGCCAGTGATCTTCCGTCTGCCACAAGAAGTCTGGGCCCTTAATCCACTGTGACCTTTGCATAAACTCCTTAGCGTTCATCCCCTCGATGCTTCATCTGCTGGGTTGGATCCAGACTCCACGTAGCGCCACTGGTCTGGTGAAGTGTGGTCACGGATGAATTGCACTCTATTTGCAACATACACTTGGAATCTTCGAGATTCATTGTTGATGAACCGAGGACAACCTTACTATCGGTCCAGTAGAATCTTGGAGTCCGCCATAGTCTAACTCTTCCTTTAGCATGCTTGCAACCCTTACTGAAACGGTAGCGGCAGTTAGTTCAAGTCTTGGAATAGTGACTGTCTTCAACGGTGCAACACGAGCTTTCCCCATAACAAGAGAACAATGAATTCTTCCGTTTTCATCAACCAGTCTGAGATAAGAACATTGTCCGTACCCGACTTGAGACGCATCTGACATATTATGTAGCTGGGCAGTGGCAATGCTTCCAAAATCAGGAGGCTGAAAGTTTCTTGGGATGTTCAGCTGCTCTAATAGCGGTAACTGACTTCTCCATCTTCCCCATTTGGCAAGAACTTCTCCCTCGATTGACTCGTCCCAGTCTTTTCCGTGACAGATCTCTTGAAGTATCTGCTTTCCAACAAGGACGACGGGCGCAATCAGCCCTAGAGGATCAAAGATCGAGCTTATAGTTGCCAGTATACCCCTACGGGTGCACTGCTTGTCCTTCAACTCTATTCTGAATTTGAATGCGTCCGATTCAATGCACCATTCTACACCCAAAGCTCTCTCTATTGGTAACTTGTCACTACCTAGGTCTAGGCCCTTGATCTCCTTAGCTCTGTCTTCAGCAGGTACTGACATCATCACCTTTCTACTGTTGCTGACAAATTTCGTTAGTTTGAACCCTCCCTTTGCACACATCTCTTTAACAGCTTGTACTAGTTCTACAGCGTCCTTCTCTGTCGGTACCGAACTCAGAGCATCATCGACGTAAAAGTTCTTCCTTAATGTTTCGGCAGCCTTTGCACCAAACTCTCTTTCACCGTCTTCGGCTGTACGTTTCAAGGCGAAGTTAGAACACCCTGGAGATGAACCAGCTCCAAAGAGGTGCACTGTCATGCAGTACTCTTTGAGGCTCTTGAGTTAAATCTCCATTTGGCCACCATAAGAAGCGAAGGAAGTTCTGATCTTCCCTTGGAACCTTGACTTGAAAAAACATTTTCTCTATGTCAGCCATGAAGGCTACCTTCTCCTCTCTGAATCTTGTGAGCACCCCAGTGAGCTTGTTTGTTAGATCGGGCCCTTGCAATAGGTGGCCATTCAGCGATTCACCCTGGTAACGAGCTGAACAGTCAAATACTACGCGTATGCTGCCTGGTTTTTTGGGGTGGTAAACCCCGTGGTGAGGTAAGTACCAGGCCTTTTCTTCTTGATGGGGTAGCTCTTCAACCTTGACCTTTCGAGCATATCCCTTCTCTATGATTTCAGTCATGAATCTGACGTAGTCAGCACGATACCTTGCGTCGCCTTGGAGTCTCTTCTTAAGGCCGTGCAGGCGTTGCTCTGCTTGAGGACGGTTATTGGGTAGCTGTACATTCTTTTCTCTAAAGGGCAGAGGCATCTCGTAATGCATGTCATCTCTATGATGGATTCCATCTTCTACAATCTTCAGGAACTGACGGTCTTCTCTTGATAATGCGACTCCGTGCTCCCTTTCAGCAAAGTCCACCTCAAACATTCGGGAAACCACTTGAGGGGTTAGCCGCTCCTTAATCTCTGTCTTAGCAATGATGTACCCATTCACGTTATCCTCTGTGTTGCTCTTAAGAATCTGAATACGGTTACAATGTACTTGTTTACTGCTCTTTTGGTTAACAGGACCGTTTACGTGCCATCCTAGTAGTGATCTTACTGCATAGGGTTCATTCTCATTCCCGCAAACAATGTCTCTTGGTCTTAATTAGTTGTGATCTTGAAAACGCAAAGTCGCAAAATGCCTAATAACCCTTTCAAAAGACTGTTGAAACAGTTTATTATCCTGTGCGCTTTTTGAAATTCAAAAGTGAGACGAGACAAAGAAATATTCTGATGTGTTCAACTGATATCTGATTGGCTCTATTGTTTTGTTGCCAAGGGAATTTCATGCTTGATTTAGTTCCTTCCATGTGGGTTTTGTAAACACACAAGCAATTGATCATAAACTCATATAAAAAACATGTCTACTAAGTGGAAGCAAGCTGTTCTTTCTATTAAAGATAAGGAGATAATTATTTCACGTTTGGATAAAAGAGGCAGCGCAATGTTTCAAAAAATGCTTATAACAAATGTTATATATAGCAGCTTAGGAGAATAAAAAAAACACAAATCTTGAGAATAAAGAGTCAAGTTTCTCCACTGCAAACAAACAAATATAACTCAGCTGATCTTTCAAACCAGTTTTGTTTTAGAGGTGCAAG